ACATTTTTTTTTGTTTTCATCTAGTTAAAAAATATATATGGAAATTTCCCTTTCTCTTAATCTCTCTCTCTCTCACTTTTTTTTTTTTTAAACGCGTTTTCTATTTAACTTCTTTCTCCTTTTTCTGATTTATTTTTTTTCTTTCTTTTTTCCTTTTCCACGTTTTTTATCGATCAAATCAATCAATCAATTAAAAACAGAAAAGAAATTTCCTCAATAATCAAATTTTCAGAAAGAAATCTGACTTTCAAAAAAATATTATTATTATTATTATGGGGGGGTGTAGAAGGGAAGTAGAAAACTACGATGAAGGTCCAAGTCGGACATTGCTGGAAAATGGGGGAGGAGAAACATAAAGTGCTCGACCAATCTGTACCCGATTTTGTTTTTTTAATAGAAAATATTTTAGTGTAGTTGAACATTATTATTAATTTTTTTTTTGAAAGCGTTATTCACTCCTATTAATTTGAAACAGAAACGATGTTGCCAAATATAACAAAAAGAAAAAAAAAGTAGATATAAGACCTGAATATGCAATCTATGTATATGACAAGATAATTTAATATATATTTGGCGCATAAAAGTGTATTAAGCTACAATCATTGTTATGCATATGTGGGGGGAATGGGGGGGGGAGAGGGGAAGAGTCGAAAAAGGTTACTAGTTACCTCCTACTACTAGCTTGAATAATAGTTACATACATAACGGGTGTTACCAAAAAAAAAACAAGGCACTCGAATTTTTTTTTTTTTTTTTAATTGAAATTATTTCCTTCCTTATAAAATAATGGCGTGTTGTACAGCCTTTCAAATCTGTCAAATATCTTCAATGTAGGGCACGTTACATCAATCAAATTTCTTTGATCATGTTACTATATCTAATCATTTTTATGCCTTGATTTATGTTCCTTTTTTATTTTATTTTTTATTTAAGAGCCAAGAATCATAAAAGATAAAGCTAAACTTAATCTGGTGTATTAGAGTAGCAACAATTATTCCTTTCTTCATTATCGGCTGATACTCAAAAAAAGTGTATTATACCGAGAAATTTAATCTCCGATTATTCTAAATATGGTAATGTGATATCATAAAAAGATTTTGACCCAAACAACTAACAGTCATTAATATACATGAATTAATTTGTAAGTAATAATAATAATGGACAGAAATAGAAATACAAAATGGAACAGCCACCATTATTCAAAGTAAGTATTAAAAAAAAAACGATGAAGTGCATGTAGCATTTAGGAAGGAGAAATCATGCACTTTAGTAAAAAAAAAAAATTAAAATAAAAATTAAAAACAAAACAAGTAAAATAAAGTAAAATAAAATCAGACAAGATAAGTGTGTATTCCTTAGATATAAAAGGAAGCCAAGAATATATAAAAAAAAATTAGAAAATACAATGAATATTTCGGCCTTCATTTTTTTTTTCTTTTTAAAGTATTTTATCCATGGATTTCATCCATTTATTAAAAGTAGTTGTTAATCTAGAATCGATATGAATCCTTTTTTTTTTTTTTTTTTTTTTTTTTTTTTTTTTTACATTGAGTACATAAAGTTACAATAGGGTCTAGTTGCCTAGAATGGTTAGTGGGTTTTTTAATCCCTTTATTTTGCATTTATCAATCAATATTTTTATTTTTTTTTTATTCAACAATATTCTATTTCTTTTCAAAAAAAAAATATACTTTAAAATTATTTCAAAAAAAAAAGATCAGATCATGTATGCTTTTATCAAATATCAAATCAGTTAAATCGATCAGCAATAATGCTATAAAGACGTTATTATTAAAAAAAAAAATAGGTTTGTTCAGATATTACTAAATCGGGACAATCTTTACCATCTGAGAATCAATTTTATGTGTAAGATTTTATCGTTATAAACATAATTTTCTTTTTTATACTGATCATGTTAATTATTATATAGAGTTTTAGAGTCATTCATCTAAAAATAAAAAGTATCTTATTGTAGTCCTTAGTAAGAATTGAGAAGAAAGATATAGGTTAGATGTTATTAAAAGAGAAGGAAGCATGATATTCAAGTCTTTTTTTTTTTTTTTTTTTTTTTTTTTTTTTTGTTTTTTTTTTTTTTTTTAATGCAGAAGAGATCTGTTTGATATAGTCTATGATACTAATAATACAATTATTATTATATATACACACATACGCTTTATTCTATTTATTTATCTTTTTCTAATGACAGAAAACGATGGTTTATAATAATTCCTTACAAAGATGATTTGACACTTTTAGTGCTGTCTCTTCAATCGAATTCTCATCCGTATTTAGAGTAAATAAATCACTAATCATCTCGTTTGTTGGCTTAGTCTAATGTATTCAGGCCAAACAATCTTATCAAAAATAGTTGGTGGATCTACCCAATAACCTTCTACAGTGTGATATCCCTGTCGTTTCTCTCGTCTTGATTTCAATGAATGATAACTTGCTGTCACAAATACCTTACAATCTAAAAGACTTGTCACTCTTTCGTCCAATAGAGCAATGAATCCATCAACAAGAAAAATATTCTCGTCATCCATCAGGGGCTTCAAGATGGCTTGTAATTTTGCCAATGTCTGTTGGGTAATTAGAGAAGATCCGTCATGTGTGTTATTCTCCTCTTTAGAGTGATAATTTGATGGTAATTTTCCTTCTTTTTGTGCATATTCAATATAATCTGCAAGTTTATCGAAATAGACTGATTCTGGACAATCCCAATTTTCTAATTGTGTTTTTTCATCTATTGGTATTAGAGAGTCAGGCTTAATAAAAAAAAAAAAAAAAAAAAAAGGAAAAAAAAATTAGCTTCTATTATTTTAAATAATGTGAAAACTAATAACCTTATAAAAGTCATCTTGGTAAAAAACAATTACATTTCGAAGCACTTGTCTTAAAATGCGTGCTACTGTCTAAATTTTATGCATTTTAAAAAAGTAATGTTTAGATTACCATTTATTTTTTTAATTTATTTTTTTTTATAAATTAAAACTAACCGTTTTCCCTGAACAAGATGGACCACTTGATAAAAATAAAGATATGAAAAAAAATTTTTTTTAAAAAAAAAAAGACACTTCCATCGTTATTTACCTAATACCTATGTATATATTTTCCCCATAAATAACAATAAATAAATAAAATAAAAAGGGTCACAACACAATGATATTACATGATTATATAATATAATCATTTTTAATGAGAAATTTTTTATTGGCCAGTTGTAGGAGAATTCTAAAGACAGCGATCACTTGTTATCATTACAGTATTTTTCGAAATTATTCGCGCACTTTATAAAACTCATTTCACGCACTAACCAAATAAAAATTGATGCATTGACAAATCATTATTTGAACAGTCTTCAAATCTTGACAATGAATGCCTGCAAAATCCTTGGAGGTCGCTTACGAGCACACTGTTGTAAGCTTCTCTGATATTCTCAGACAATGTTTCTTCTTCAAGTAGTATTTCCCTCTTGACTTTACTCTTGAAAACAGACCAAAACTGTTCAATTAGATTTAGTTTAGGTGAGTAAGGAGGGGGGAGAGAGAGAGATAAACACAACCGTAACCATGAGCTTCAGTATACTTTCGAATGTCAACGTGTTTATGAATAGAAAAGTTGTCCATTACCAGTGAATGTCCCTTAAACTCTTTGAATTTGTGTTCATAATTTCTATCGTGCTAGCGATAAAAATTGAAGTAATTGCTAGTTACCATACCCACCTTTTCCTGTCTCTGGCTTCTTGACAACCCCTCCTAAAGCGTTTTTTTTTTTTTTTTTTTCGATGGTGAAGTGGCCTTTTGGAACCTTTAACTGCACGTTTATTACACTAGAGACTGACATGACTGCCATGATAGTATGTGATTTTGCCTTTGTAATATTGAACACATTTCAAATTTATTTTTCTTTTTTCTTTACACGTAAAGATAGAAACCAGTAACATGGACAAAAGTGTATTAATACTTTATTTAAATCTTTCATCATTGGTAATAAAGAAGTGTATATTTGATTCATAATGAATTTAGTAATCCATACACATTTTTTCCATGTGTATACATATACATTAATAAAGAAGAAGTTATCTATCCAGCTATACACTACACATCTTTATTATTATTATTATTATGTTGAGTGCATATTCAAGAAATACGTTAAAGAAAATTCACACTTTTAAATAATATTTAGGAAATAATAGATTTTATTACAATTATACAGTTTATAAGCAATAATATATATTGTATATATATCAAAGAGAGCTAAAAAGTAAAAGCTAGTTAGTAAGAACATTATTTTATAAAAAAATAAAATAAAAAGTCAATAAAAAGCCAATTGAACATTCAGGTCTAAAATATGGGGTGGAGGGTCTAAAATATAACATTATGGAGAGATAATACTAGAATGACGATTGTTGAGACCAAGTTGCTGAAGAGACCCATTTGTTGCACCCAACCCGGTGGGGATATAGAGACGCCTACCCTCTACCTATTACCCATCAGTAAAGGGTAGAATGATATACTAGTTGCCCACCTTCACATCTACCTGTCAATGTGTCCCGCATAGATAGAGATATATTTATATGTATATCGTCATCATTATGTTCAAGTCTATGGTTTTTAAAGAAGAAGAAGAAGAAGAAGAAAGAGAATAAGATAAGAGAATAAATAGAGAAGAAGAAGGATAATAAATAGAGAAGAAGAAGGATAATAATAAGAAAAGATAATAAAGAATAAGAAGGATAATAGTAAGAAAAGATAATAAAGAAGAAGAAGGATAATAGGGAAGAAAGAGGAATTTTGTTTGAAAAATAAGGCGTGTTTATATTCTTTTTGTTATTTTTTTTTTTTTAGCTTACTTTTTTTAAGGAGAGAAAATGTATTAAAATATACGTGTGATTAATTATGAAAATTATGCATTGTATAAATTTAAAAAGCTAAAATTATTAGGTGTACTACTGCAGTCTAAAGAAGGAATATGTTTCATCAAAAAAAGTAAATAAATATTAATTATAATTTGTATTCTATACAATTAACTAACTACTCTTCTGTAATAAAACAAAGCATTAAACATTTTATATCTTTTTATCTTTTTGTTCATGTATACATTATTATAAGCAAAGCATAAAATGTACCTTTTCAAAAAAGGAGAAGATAAGGAAAAAAATGTAGTAATTAAAAAAGATAAACAAAGGAGAAAGTAGGAATTCAAAAGAGGAAACATGTATACAGTATGTAAATAACGAAAGGAGCCTAGGCCTTTTTTTTTTTTTTTTTTTTTTTTTTTTTTTTTTTTTTTTAATCAAGAAGGATCAGCACTAATATATTCTCACGTCATGCATATTGTTCTATTAATATATTATTTTAGGTTAACCATATGGCGTATAATATTACTATACTATATAGAAAGTAGCGTGTAACAAACAACAATAAGCAAAATCTAGAGCGTACATAAGCTAATGTTATCTTATCTTTATTACTACATAGTATAGTATAGCATAGTATAGTATAGTACAGTGCAGTATAGTATAGTATAGTGTATATATAATAACTGTATCATAATATTATCATTTTATATACAAGGAAATTAATTTAAATATTTCCGTAGACCCTAATTTAGTAAGAAACAAGATAAAGACGTATATGAACAATCTAAACATATAAGCCTCATTATTTATTTAATTTATGATACGTATAGGTCATATAGTAAATTATCATGATTTACTATATGCAGCAATGTAAATACTGAGGATAAGAAAAGTATGCATATTTTTTTTTTTGCTTATTTCTTGTGTTCCCTCACGCAGATTAAAAAAATAGGGGGGAGAGAGAGGAGGAAACACAAGAAATTAGCAAAAAAAAAAAAAAAAAAAAAAAAAAAAAAAAAAAAAAAAAAAAAAAAAAAAAAAAAAAAACTGGTTGTTTGAAGTTCAATTCGTGGATTGTGAGAGGGTCATTTCACACTTTATTTTAAATAAAAATATTAGGTATTAAATTGGAATATGATTCAAACAGTTATCAAACTGGTTCTTTGAATGTTGAATTATATTTTCAAGGTGTTGAATAGGAACTTCATTCGCAGCACCGACAATTCTTTCTTGCAGGGTTTCGGTATCTTTAAGCTTTTCACGTCTAACTATACGTTTAATTAACGCCCAAAATTGCTTAATGGGGTTAAGCTCTGGCGAATATGGAGGAAGATACACGCACTTATAGTTGTTATAGAACAAGCTCTGGATATAAGCACAAGTAATATTATAATAGATGAATTACATAATAAAGGATAAACTATAAGCCTGGATATGAAATAAAACTCTGTATATAACATCTTGTAAATAATATAAAACTTGATGACATCCAATCATCTAAATGTATCAACTAAATAAGATATCGTATCATTTCTACATATTTATGTTTATAACCTCGACAAAGGATTCAGGTCGTCTTTGATCTAATAAAATAAAATATAAAAAATATCAGGAACATATACTCAGATTGAATAATAAATTTTTTATTTAAAACTTAATCAGATCAATCTCTTGAATCAACAAGACGTGTATATATGAATACTAATATTGTTCCATGACTTATGTCCTTTGACGGTTGTTTTTATTTCTTTGATTTAGGATTCATTATTATAAATACATGTAGTTGTGTAGACACGAAATAGTCCTTATATCATTCTTTTTGTATTGAATAAACAAGTCTCAAACTATACTTCCTTCTGTTCTCTTTCTTTTTTTTTCTTTTTATTTCTTCTTTAAATTATATCATCACATTTAATATGCACATTATTTGAACTCACACTACTGTTATAATTTTTGTCAATTATCCTCATATGTGTGATAAGCGACTTTAATGACTTCACTCAATAAAGTAAAGGATGATCCATATCAATTACATCCATTATACGGATTTTAGTTTCGTGCTGATTGGAGACTAGCAATTAAGAACTTTTCAAAAGCTTCAGCATCCGTCATATTAGAGACTTATGTGTACATTAATCAGAAATGAATGATATTTACTTTAACGTTAGAATTCGTTCTGAAAACATCAAAAATAAAAATTGTCTTTTTTTTTATGATTTAAAATACGCCCATAATTCTCATTTTAACGATATATAGCCTCAATCCATAGGTTCTTTGTCTTATAGAATTTATTAAGGAAATATCAAATTTGCCTGTTTGGTCATTGTCACAACTTCTAGAGTTTTTATAGCTCTCTACATACCTTACCCAACTACCAATGTTAAAAAAAGAATTCATAGTTCTTCTATCATTTTTATCAGCTTTGGCCACTAAGTCAATATCCTTAATATCCTTCCTTATTATTAAAGTAATTATTTTTAATGTTAGATAGCTTATTTGATGTATCAGCTATAACAAGTCTGCCATCAGTTTCATACTATTTTTTGCGCTATCAGTCCTTCGTTGTGTTCTCATCATTAAAAATTTGCTATTTATATTATATTATATTGTCGTTGTTATTATTATTAATATAATATTCGCCTTCATATTATTATTATTTTCGTCTATTACTGATGAGTCTATTGCCTCGCCTCTGAATTAACATTTTTTTTTCTTTATCCCAAAACTGTGTTCTATAAAAAGTTGTGTGCTTATTTTTGCCATACAGGTTTTTTTTTATGATAACTTATTCTTTCATGTTTTTTCATGTACGTCGTTGTTTTTTAATTTGTTAAATTTAATAATATCTTCTTCGTTTGTCAATTCTTTACATAATATTTCTTCTAGTTCAAGTCTTTGTGTATAACCACACAAGTAGTTTATACTATTTCCTTACTGTTACATATTATAATTTATAAGTATTCTGTAACCGCAACAAGTATGACAGTAGTTCTAAATAAATAACGTGTAACTTTTTATAGCAATTGTACTACACAAAACGTATTAACTTTAGAGCCCATCCTCCTTTCTTTTTCATTTTTTTTTTATTTTATATGAGAAAAAAAAATTATTGAAGAGGAAGTCCTTTTATAGTGTAGAGGTGGATTAGATTCTGTTCTTGTTTGCTTCTACTACAGCCGTGTTACTCCCAGGAATGCCCTCAATGCTGCGGGCTTTCCTCTCTTGCATGGTAGGAAATTACCCCGCGATTTAACAACATCTTTTTATCGACCTCCATTTGAAGGCCTGGTGTTGAACATTGGATCCTGGAAGGTAGCATGTTATCATTAAAGCTCAGAACTAACCCCGATTTTATTATTAAATCACTCCCATCTACAGCTAACAAAGTTCATCTCTCCATGATCGCCGCTTGGCCAACAGAAAGGCGCTGCCCTTTCCGATCAAGTTGTTTTATTTACCTCAATTTTTTTCTTTATAAACCCAAGATTTTAGGTATAGTTGCCGAATTGTGGTATTCAGAAAAAAATAAAAAACATTTCCCTTTTATGCATGCATATGCTATAATCTTATATCATCAAACAATTTTTTTTTAATAAGAATTCAACGACCATCGAAATAAATAGGCGTAGTCAGAGTCATTTACTCTTCCTTTATTAAATGTTATACTTAAAGTCCCTGGACAAATAGTATAAAGGAATGCGGCTTCAACTTATTTATGTATTATACTTCCTCATGTTTTATAAACTTAAGGAAGTTGGTACACTCTACTGACAATACTAAACAGGATTATTCTGTCGTAACTAATACTTTTCTAATGCCTCTCTGACCATAGATATTCTTATATGAACACCTAACTGTTAAAATTATAGATAAAACTGTAGTATTACTTGTAAAATATTAAAAAAAAAAAATAAAAGACAAAAGAAGTCAATGAGAGCGAACAATAGTTCTAAGGTCAAAAATTTTTATTTAGCTATTTATAAGAATTGTTAAAGAGGTCTCAGATAAGTTGTGAATAAGAAAAAATGTTAGTTACGACCGAATAAGATATGTTACAGTTAATAAAGTGTTAGAGGTTTTAATATTATTTGATAAAGTGGATCAAGAGAGATTCAGGGGAATCTAGATAGAATTCCTTGATCCGCTTGTTTAATCAAGGTACATGACATTATAAGTCAGCTCATGACAAAATGTATAAATGCGGATTATTTTTTATTTTTTTAAAAGAAAGAAACAAGGTGTACATTACCGCTGTTGAAAGGGTCTATTCTCTCAAAAGGATTACCCAGAACGATATTTGCTAGTTGGCTAACTTCATGCGTCCATTTCATACAATGATTAGTCATCTTATCAGCTTAAGTATAGCACGTTGTATTTAAATTGATTTCTGTCATATTGTTTGGATCAAACATACTTCATATGCTTGTCAGAAAAGAAGATAAAAAAAGAAAGGTTCATATAGTCATCACCGAAAAGTATATGTGTATATATGTACATGTAATGGGCTACTTATTATGTTTGCTTACTTTTTCTTAGAGAGTATAGCAGAAATGTGAAACTCACTTAAATTCTTTGGCACGTCAAAGTTACATTATTATTAGGTATATCAAATACATATCCTTTAAAGTACTCTTGTTGTAGCGTTCTCTTCCCTTCTTTCTTTTATGTACGCTATATTTCAGTAATGGTATTAAAGTCGTTTAACAATTTACTATGTAGATTCTTTTTTTTTATAATCCTAATGATGTTAGTATACTCATACTTTTTTTTCCAGTAGAAAACTAGTGCAAAGTAATGTTCGTTATTATAATAAAGAAAGAAAGAAAGAAAAAGGAGATTAATAAGGGACATTAGAACATCATTTACCTTCGTTTGCTGATGACTGTCTTTGAGAAATAGGTTGCTCGAGAAAAGAATCAAAAGTTGTTTCTACATTAGAAATAGCTTGCTTAAATCTCTACTCCCATTTTGAAGTAGTTTCACTAGAACCAAAGAAACCACTCATTATTAAATCATTTAAAAGCTTTATATGAATGGGATTTCAAAAAAAAAAAAAAAGAAATATGTAGTATAAGTTTTAGGAAAAGCGGAAATTAAAAGTCTCTTTTTCAATATCCTTAATAGATTGTACTCATCTTAGTTAATTTTTGATAATTTGATTGTAAAGGAAGAATAATAATCATGATAGTTTCTCTGATAAAATATTAGTCAATAGTTTACATAATCACTACTACATTACATCTTATATCTCCTATATTATTTAAGTCAATTATTTTATAACTTCTCTACTTGTTTTTATACTTCTTAAAGTCAATTTGGAGCAAAAAGATATTTTATTATACAAACAATAGTTAAAGAAGGCACAAGATTATTAAAAGACGCGTAAGAAAAGATATATTTATTGTATTTTATTTTCATTTTTATTTCATATAAAAAGTGAATCCCCAATTCGTCAACAGTAAAAATAATAATATTTACTGCAGTCCAAAGGTGGCCGCGTGGAGGCTAGGATTCTTTGCACCTTCTTTGTTCTTGTATTTTTTATTTTTACTAGGAGGTTAGAAAAAACCCATGGCTAGCACAATATGTAACGCCCTCTGAAACAACAAGATACCCTACAGTGTCCTCCTAATTCAAGGAGGGCAAGATAGGGTGTCTTGTTGATTCAGAAGGCGTTACATAAGTGATAACCATGAGAAAAAGAATTTCCTCCTAGGGCAGGGAAGAAGAAGAAGAATAAAATAGTATTATTTAATGACTTACCAACAGAAGAAATAGTAATAATAAAGAAGATAAAGAAGACGAAAAAAAAGGGAAAAAATAATAACTTTGAATATCTACTTTTTTATAAGAATAAGGAGGTCGTTGTTGTAAATTACAGTCACAATCATATGAAATCGATAAGAATATGTGTTACCCCACATTTAATACAGTTACATTATTTAATTTTCTTCCTTTCTTATAAAAAGTAACAATATGTAAAATAGTAAAATGTTGTCAATTTTATATCTTCTTTATGACTATATGAAATGTGTTTATGCTAAAGAAAAGAAAAGTAAGTAAAATAAATGTCTTTTGTTTTCACTTTTTTGTTTATATTCTCATCAACTTTCTTTTTTCCTATTTAGGCAATTAATATGCATCTCATTTAGTCTCCCTTATGTTGTGCTTAAAATCATTCTTTTACTCACATACATCGTTTGCCAAAATGATATTGTAAAGATTAACAATTTTAGCTTCTTTGATGTATGCTATGAAAACCAGTTTAAGTATCTTTGACTTGCATTCACAGTAATCTTTCCTCCCTTTTTAAATACAAAGATATGTTATAGATAATGAATTCTTTGATTCGCTTGTTTAATCAGCTCATGACATCAAGTCTTGAAAAAGCCCGTCAATTAGGCAAACAAATAATGTGGTGTAGTTAGGTGTTTGGGGGCATAATCCTTCAGCTATTAACTTTTATACACGTCAAGGTTTCTATAAAGTGGGAAGCCATACATTCAAATTAGGTTCACAAAAAGATACAGATCATATCATAATCAAGACACTTTAGATTTACTGTAATATAATTATTATTATTTATTTTATTTAACGTACATTAAAATGAATTGGGTCTATTCCAATGATTATAATGGCTGTAAAGGAATCTTATAAAGACTAAAAGGGAGATAAGAAGAATGATATATAATATGTTACAATATACCAAATATAAACGAGGAACAGTATAAATATCTCTTTTTTGTAACAAAGATATCAATTAGAATAATTTGTTCTGATGATGCCTATTTCTTCCTTAAAAAAAAAATAATAATCCATAGCAATAATGTTCATATTACTGCTGTCTTCCTGTATAATTTACAGCTTTTGAAATATTATCCTTAACCTCTTTTGGCCTTCAATTTGTAGGCATTGACAAGTATTTGATAATATACTGCACGGAACAAGGGATTTATTAGGTAATTCATTTCAACTTTTTTTTTTTTTTTTTTTTTTTTGATGAGGCAAAATATTAACTTTAGATGTAAAATTGGATAAAGGAAGAGTTGAGATTATTCATTTTGTTTATACAATATCTAGATAACGTCTCAGTAAAATAAAGTAAAAAAAAAAAAATGTTGAATATTTCTGGAAAAGAAATATCCTTGCATTTATTACTGTTACAGTGACAGAATTGTTATATTTGTCAATATCTTCTTTTTTTGAAGTAATCGAGAACATTCTTCTTTACACTAGTTTATAGAGAGATATTGATTGTTATTACAATATTCTTGGTAGATCTTTTTAAGTCTTTATTCTTAAGTAAGCCATAACATAATGTATATTATTAGTTAGAGAAGCTTGCTGTTAATCAATTAAAAGAGTCTGTATATTACGTTTACTTATGATTATTTCCTGAGATGTTGATTATGATCAAACACAGCAACTATAGATTTGTATCTGTATATGCTTAAAATAAGGCTTTTTAGACACTCTATTATCTTTCTATGGCTTGAGGACCATAATGATACCAAGGTACATAGTATACATTCATGTGTAAGAATTTATTTCTGATATATAATCTGACTATAATAGTATCAAGTAATAATAGAAAATTTGTAATTACTACTGTTCCTCCTGTACCCACTACCATTGATTGGTAGAATGAAGCTATAATATATCATCCTTCTTCATCATCGTCATTATTCATGCTGCTGCTGTAAAAAAAAAGAGTTATTGGTGTAGTACAAAAAACAAGAATAATTAAAAAAATTAAGGGTTCATTTGATTTGGTGGGGAACCCTTGAAGTGATTCGATTCCACAGCCTAGGCTTGGGCTAAATATGCTGCGAATTCTAGTCACTCTCCAAACACCCGTCTTACTTTCATCAGAAATAGAGGATACACATAGGGCTATGTTTACTATAAACACACCACTTATACCACCACCGCCATTTATACCTACAACTACAATACTACTACCAACACATCCTTACTAATGTTAATAATCACTACACAATACCAGTGTTACTTATTACCACTACTACTACTACCACCACTACTACTACTACTTTGATTTGCTTTCATTTTTTTTTTGTAACCCTTATCGTTGGATTATGGAACAGTCTATAATATATATGTATGAACAGAAAAAAAAAAAACTACTTCTTTTATTATTAACACTTACTATTATTATAAATAAGCTATATTGGAACATCAAATGATATACTTTGTGATATCGGTTGGGTTATAGTATATATGAACCTTTTTATGATATTTGTTATAGAATAAGCTCTGGATATAAGCATAAACAATATTATAGTAGATGAGTTACATAATAAAGGATAAACTATGAGCCTGAATATATAATAAAACTCTGTATATAACATCTTGTAAATAATATAAAACTTAGGGACATCCAGTTATCTAAATGTGTCAACTAAGTAAGATATCGTATCATTTCTAAATATTTATTTTTATAACCTTGACAAAGGATTCAGGTCGTCTTTGATCCAATAAAATAAAATACAAAAATATCAGGAACCTGTGCTCAGATCAAACAATAAAGTTTTTGTTTAAAGCCTCAATCAGATCATTATAACACCCAGTAGATAATCCATAGATCAGCATTTTGAATCAGCACAATGTATATCCAAATACTAACACTGTTTCATGACTCATGTTCTTTGACAGCTATTTTTACTTCTTTGATTCAGGACTCATTAATATAAATACAAGCAGTTGTGTATACACAAAATAATTTTCAACCTTTAATTCTTTTATTTTCATTTTTAATTGAATAAAACAGTCTCAAACTATACTTCCTTTTGTTCCCTTTCTCTCTCTTCTATTTTCTCTTTTATTTTTTATTTACGTTCCATCACACTCAGAATGTAGCCGAGTGCTCTGATGGAGACTTGGCTGGCTACCTGGTGGTAAATCTAAAGAATGTATCTTTCATCCGTCTCATAATTGAAGCTGGCGACATGCTATTGAGTGCTTACATGTACATCATCGTCTCTACATGCCTACTTCAGTTGAAAATTCCACCTCGTTTCTTCTCAACTTGCTTCCATTACATAAACCTCGTCGTCCTTTTGATTGTACGAGCTGGTGTACTTTATAGCCTATTCTTTGTACAATTCTACATGAACTTGATTACTGCTTCCATAATGAATTTCCTCCTGATCCTGTCGAACCGGATCGCAAGCTGCTGAATTGGTTGTCCAAGTAATAGTGTGTGTCTTCCTAGTCACTTTGGTCTGATTTGTATTTAAAATGTTTCTTTTCACTTTTTTCACTTGATCCTCCTTATATTTTCTCTTAATTCCAAAATACTGCTCTTTTCTTTTTCCTTCTTGTCCTTTAGGGAAGTTTTTATTCTTATTTCCCCTCGATAACTGGCTCGGGCAATATTGCGCATTTGTTTCGTCGCTACATGCTCATTGCCAAAAAATTTTTAAAAAAAAAAATCAAAATAATAATAATAATAAAACTCAATTTTGTTGTCGGAATTACAAATTTCTTATTATATTTTAGACAGTTACTTCTTTTTGATCATTTTCTACATTGAAAAAAAAAAATATTTCAAATGAGAGATCAGTTTGTATTGACAGATGAGATTTTGAAAATACAAGAAGCTGGCTCTTCAAATTACTACATTCCAAATGAAATTGATATTACGGGAAAGAATGATCATGATCTAGCTAGATATCTGAATGGTAATGATCATTTTAATAATACTTGTTTTGATTTGTTGATTGATAGTTTATTTGTTACATCTACATGGAAAATAGAAATTACAGATGGTATTCAAGTATCATCTGAAAATATAGCAGATCCTTTTATATTTGATAAGATTCGTAGCTTTTTAAAGTAAATTAAAAAAATATAATCTATATATAAATAGAAGTCATCTTAAACTAAACCTACATTAAAGGTACTTCACAAGTGCTCAACCGCGTATACTTTCTCGATTGTTTGATATTATACTTTCAGGTATAATGAATACAGATTCCTTTCACGTTATTTAATCTAAAATATGCGTTATAGCCTTTCGAGTTGAAATTAAATCTACATCAGAGGATTTAGATAATAATGAAAAGGAAACATTCAATAATCATCGTTATAATTTAGAATTATATGGATTTTTAATTCATTGGTTTTTATTATTGGCAGAAGAAAATGCAACTTCATCAAACATAATTAGAAAATCTAAAACAGCACAATCGTCATCTTTATCAAATAATGATTTGAGAACATTTGATTGGAGTTCACAAAAGTTGAAAGCATTTGATTTGGCAAGTTGGTTACTTGGATTAAAGCTAACAAAAATTTGGACATTGACACCTGATCGAGTTAATTTTGTTACACTTTTTACTAAGCCAGCTTATCAATTATTTGAAAATCCAGTATATGCAAAATCGAATCCAATCAAGGAACGTATATTTCGTATTCTAAGTCTTTGTATTAAATACTATGATCATTTATCAGGTAAACTAAATAAATGAATACTAGAATACAATTAAAGTTCTAACATTTATAATAAATGATGATAGTTGCTCAAACAACAATTATGCAAAATCTTCAATACTGGGAACATTCTGCTGAACCGATGGCAGAATTATTGGTTTACATGGTGGAGAAACATAATTATACACAATTAGCAGACGAAATTTTACGTGAAATTAGTAATCGTGAGTTTAAGGATGTGACTAATAAAGAAGTCAAAGACTCTCCAAATCCAAAAACATTTGCTTTATTTCTACAAAAACTTGCAGAATTATCAACAAAGACTGTGTTGAAAAATTTGACTGTTTTAATTAGTCAACTCGATAGTGAATCATATTTAATGAGATCGACACTCATAGATATTTTGGGTCATTTAATCGCTGAATTATCAAAGACGATTGAAGAGAATCCACGCAATATGGATCAAATCAATGGCTTCTTTGATTTATTAGAAGAACGTATGTTAGATCCAATTGCCTATTGTCGACAAAAAGTATTGCAAGTCTATCTTCGTTTATTCAAGTAAGTTATATATATATATATATAAATATTAATAATTTACCTGATAAACAATTACGTTATTAGTTTGAAGACCAAATTTCCAAAAAGAAGACATACTGCTACTATCCTTTGTGTTCGACATTTACAAGATAAAAGTAGTATTGTAAGAAAGTACGCTATCAGAGCTTTGACAACCTTGATTTCAACCCATCCATATAGTATGTATGGTGGTGAATTAAGTTTAGAAGAATGGAATACTAGATTAGATACTTTAAAGCATGAAATTGAGGTAAAATAATAATTGAATGAGTAAGAATATAGTCTTTTGTTAATTCATATCTCTTTTGAATTTTTATAGAATGTATGTACTGAAGATGAAATGCGTGCCTTTTTGGTTGCTAGTGAAGAGCAATCTAAAGAAGAGCAACTAGATGAAATGCAAAATAAAGATGTAGAAATGGAAGAAGCTGTTGAGGATAAAGAGAAACAAACTGAAGAACAAAGGGCTGATGTCGAAGAAATAACACCAGTAACAAATATAACTACTGAAATACAGTCTGTAAATATGGCTCCAAAAAAGACAGTTGTATCTGCAGAAAAATTACAACAGCTCGTAATGATGCGTGCTTTCCACGCTGATGCTGTTCAATTTATTGAGCTCATTCATAAGGCTATACCAATTATTACTCAACTCTTATCATCAAAATCAAAAGCTGAAGTGCTGGAGTCAATGGATTTCTTAGTTGTTGCTTATAACTATAAAGTTAAAATTGCAAATGTAAGGTTATATACACGTATAAAAAAAAAAAAAAATCAAGGACACTTATTAAATAATTTTCATTCATAGGATGGTATTAAGAAAATGCTACATTTAATTTGGACTAAAGACACTAGTGATGAGGGAAAGGGTATTAAAATGAAGCTCATTTCTTGTTACGAGAATTTATATTTAGAAATGGATTCCAAACTTTCAAAGAAAGAAAACGTCAATCGTGTTGCTAAAAATTTAATTCAATTAACTTATAATACTAACTTGGCAGAATTAACCTCGTTAGAGCAATTAATGAGTACATTGATGGCGGAAAATAAGATAACAAGGGATGTAATTCAAAAACTTTGGTCGGTTTATGGTTTTACGCAAGGTCGAATTCAAAAATCCCAACGTCGTGGCGCGATTATTATTCTAAGCATGCTTGCTAAAGCCAAAACTGAAGTAGTCTCTGACAAGATAGATGTGATGCTTAAGATAGGGTTGGGACCCCTCGGCAAAGCTGATATGGATCTTGCACGATATACATGTATTGCACTTCAACGTTTAGAGGGCGCTAAGCCTAAAGAAAAGACACGCGGTGTTCAAGAAGGTATTCGATTTCCTTTAAATTATCCAATTTTCACAAGATTAAAGGATATCATTGAGACACCTACAAACAATCAGCTTTGGTTTAGTTTTGCTGAACAAGCGATCAACACTATCTTTTTACTTTGCAAAAACCCTGAGACTCTCTGTGAGGAAATTATTCGTAATAAAACAAACAAAGTATTCGGTGATAAAGAAATTTCAGTAAGTCCTACGCCTTCTACTGAAGCAAGTACTCAAAATGATACTTCAACCATTATGGAATTCGATTTGAGTATGACACAACAAGCACTACCATTTCCTCAACATCCTATTTATCAAGATCCTTTAGAGCTTTCACAACTATTTTTCCTTGTTGGTCATGTTGCTCTTAAAGAAATTGTTCACTTGGAGATTGTTGAGGCTGCTTGGAAACGCAAAAAGTCAATGAAAGAAAGTAAGAAACAAGATGGGGAGCAAAACACGTCTGTTGATGATGAGTTAGACCAAGTAGGTGGAACTGCCGAAGATGATATTGGTGAAGCCATAACAAAGATTCGTGAAAGAGAAATTCTTTTTGGCCCTCATTCATTACTTGGTATCTATGGCCCATTAATTACGGAAGTGTGTGCTCGTAATAAGATCTATACGGTAAATTGAACAAATATACATATACATATAGCCTCTTAGATACTTATATACATCTATCTAGGATCGCACTTTGCAATTGAATGCAACACTTGCGTTATCCAAATTTATGTGCGTTAGCTCCGATTTTTGCGAACAAAGACTTCAATTGTTATTTACAATACTTGAAAAGTCTAAAGATCCTAATATTCGTAGTAATATTGTGATTGCTTTAGGGGATATGGCTGTATGTTTTAGTACACTTATTGATGATAATATTACATTCCTATATAATCGACTTTCAGATCCGAACACACTTGTTCGTAAAAATGCTGTTATGGTATTGACGCATCTTATTCTGAATGGTATGGTCAAAGTAAAAGGACAACTTAGTGAAATGGCTAAATGTCTCGAGGATAAAGATCAACGTATTGCTGATCTGGCAAAGCTATTCTTTACAGAATTGGCCTCTAAGGATAATGCGATTTATAACAATTTACCAGACATCATTAGTAGTCTAACTAATAATCAGCCTAATCGTTTAGAAGAAGACTCGTTTAGAAAAATTATGAAGTTTATCTTTAGTTTTGATTTTACTGAAAAGGAAAAACAAGCAGAAAACATTGTTGATAAGTTATGTCAACGTTTCCTTACTGCTGAAGATGAACGTAGTTGGCGTGATATAGCTTACTGTCTGTCATTATTACCTTTCAAATCTGAAAAGACATTTAAAAAACTATTAGAAGGATGGCCTACTTACCAAGACAAGATTCATGAAGATGCTGTACACAAAAGCTTTTTAGAAATTATCCAAAAGGTAATATGTCCCTTGTTTTTTTTTTTTTAAATCATAAATCTAATTTTTTTTTTTTACGTTGTATTCAATAGGGCCGCTTCCATAAAAATCAAAAGCCGGAACTTAAAGCAATTGTAGATGAGTTTGAACAAAAGATTGAGAAGCAAAGAGGACCAGATGCAGATAAAAATGAAGCTGTAGTGAAGAAAGGTATTCAAACAGAATATACCGAGAAATAAAAAAGAAGACATGTATGTATTAATCACTCTCTTTTCTATTAATAGGAAAAGTATCAAAACCAAAGGAAAAGAAAAAGAAAGAAGAGAGTAAAACTACTTCTGCATCTAAAAAGCAAGTACGCAAGCGAAAAAGATATATCGAAGAAGATAGTGAAGAAGAGGAAGAGGAAATGGATTTTGATGAAGAAGACGAAGATGATGAAGATGATGAAGAAGACGAAGACGAAGACGAAGATGAAGAAGAAGAAGAAGACGAAGAAGAATATCAAGAAGAAGTTGCTGAAGAGGAGAATCAAATAGAAGACAAAGGAGAAAAGAAAATAGTAGAAGAAGAAGATGAATAAAGTGAATTTAAAATCAACATTGATATACCCATACTTGTTTAGCATGCATACATACATACATAATACATATGCTCTTTATTTTCTGTACTCACATATTAAATAAATTTGTATACATAGTGTGTAGCTCTTTATTGTTTTAAGTTCAGTCAAATAAAATGCCCCTTCTTGAAAATATGTATTTTTTTTTTATATCTATTTATATGAACTCTCCTTTAAAATCTTTGTCTATTTCTTTCTTTTTTTTTTTTTTTTTTTTTTTTTTTTTTTTTTTTTTGTATATATTAAATGGTGACACTTGATCTCGATGCCTGTTTAGAAAAATTATATAAAAAACAATTACTAGCAGAATGCGTGTTAAAAGAAATATGTGAACGTACAAAAGAGTTATTAATGAATGAAAGTAATGTTGTTCACATTAAAGCACCAGTTACAGTAGTAGGTGATATTCATGGGTAAGGCAAGTAAATCTATATCTGTATTTAGTCATCACTTATATTTTTGAAAAAAATAAAATAAAATAAATAATAGGCAGTATTATGATTTGATTGAAATATTTCGTATTGGAGGCTATTGTCCTGACACCAATTACCTCTTTCTTGGTAAGGAACATGATGGATGACATGTGTTTGTTTGTTGCTGTTGCTAATGTTTGTAATCATTAGGTGATTATGTTGACAGAGGATTATATAGTATTGAAACTATATCTCTTTTAACTTGTTTAAAATTAAGATACCCAGAACGTGTACAACTTGTAAGAGGAAATCATGAATCAAGAACAGTAACTCAAGTAAGTAATGCATATGGTATTGTGTGGTATATACGAATATGATTACGTTTTTAGTTTAAACTAAAAATGATAGTCTTATAAATTTTAGACGTATGGATTTTATTCTGAATGTTTAAGGAAATATGGAACAATTCAAGTTTGGCAATACTTTACAGACATGTTTGATTATTTAACATTATCAGTTGTAATTGATAATAGTATATTTTGTGTTCATGGAGGTAATCATAATAGTAGCAGTAGTAAAGTGATAATATAACCTAATTCATCTTTATGTTCTATTAGGATTATCTCCTTCAATTCATGTATTAGATCAAATAAAGATTATTGATAGATTTAAAGGTAAGACTATGTAGCATATATAAATATGTATATGGATATACTAATACGCATTTGTCTATAGAAATCCCTCATGAAGGTGCAATGGCAGATTTAGTTTGGTCTGATCCCGATCCAGATAAAGAGGAATTTGCTATATCAGCTAGGTAATATGAAATACACATGAATAGATACAAATATGTATTTATACTGTATAAAATAGAGGGGCTGGTTATACATTTGGTAGTTCAGTCGTAGATAGATTTTTACATTTAAATAATATGGACCACATTTTAAGAGCTCATCAATTATGTAATGCAGGCTATCAAGTACTATTTAACGATAAACTATCCACTGTATGGTCTGCACCAAATTATTGTTATCGTTGTGGTAACTTGGCCTCTATCTTAGAGGTGAATGTTAATGGTGAAAGATTCTTTAATGTCTTTGATGCCGCACCTGAAAATGAAAGAATAATAGATAATAATGATACTTCTTCAATGACGCCATCAATGAAGGTAAACTTGTACATTGTCTTTTATAGAGTACATAAGCTAACTGTGTATTTTTTATAGGATAATAAAATTGAATACTTTCTATAATACGTAAAATGCAAATGTCGTAATATGCGGAGCTTTTGCTATCTATAGTTCACCCTTTTCCGTATTCTAGAAATCTTTTTTTCTCTATCTATCTTTCTCTCTTTTCTTTTACTTTTATGAACCATTCCAATCATTAACATGTTCAAGACAACCAATCCCTTCGATTTACCAACTCATACGACAATAGATCCTAAACATGGCAAACGAGCAGTGTTTCTAAATACTTCTTTATTAAGAATAGCTAAACAATCTATAGAAATCATATTAAACAATAAAGATTCGAAACAAATCTTTTATTTCTTCTTATTAAATCTATCATACATGTTTGTACAATTAGCCTATGGGATCTGGACTAATTCATTAGGTCTAATTTCAGATGGTAATAAGAAATATGGCTATTGTATATAATGATGGTAACACTTTCCTCTCTGTCAATTTTAAAGCAATACATATGTTTTTTGATTGTCTTGCACTAGGTATTGGCTTACTTGCAACCGTTATGAGTAAATGGCCTTCTAATTCAGAATATTCATATGGGTAAAATTACATTGATGTATTTATGATGCTATCATATATTCATTTTATATGATAGTTATAGTCGAATTGAAACTGTAGCAGCTTACTTTAATGGCGTTTTTTTGGTATTAATTTCACTATCCATCGTAACAGAAGCCATCCACAGATTAATCGATCCTCCTCATATAAATACCCATCGATTATTATTTATTAGCTTTATTGGATTAGTTGTTAATTTGGTTGGTATCTTTGCTTTTAATCATGGACACACTCATGCTGGACATGATCATCATCATCATGAAGATGAACATGATAATAATGGGCATAGTGCAAATATGAAAGGTAGAGAAGAAGGAAAATTTTTAAGTTTTCATTACTAATAAACTTTTTGCATGTAGGGGTGTTTTTGCATATTATGGCAGATACATTAGGATCAATAGGAGTGATTATATCAACATTATTAATTAAATGGTATGGTTGGACTGGATTTGATCCTATTGCTTCTATATTTATTTCTATCTTGATTACACTGTCTGTGATACCCTTAATTAAACAATCCTCAGCTATTTTGATGTTAGAATTAGATGATCAAACAGTAGCCATTATAGAAGGTGCAATAGAGGAACTGAAGCACCTTGAGGGTGTCATTAGTGTGAGTCATCCTAGGTTTTGGCCTTATGAAGCTGAAAGTATGATGGGTTCTATTCATGTTCAAATCAAAGATGAAGAAGATACTCAAGTGATACATCAAAAGGCAACAGATTTACTTAAAAGCCGTATTCATAGATTAAGAGAAGTATGTGTACAGATTGAGCTACAAAGTACAATGAAAAAGAAACAGAATTTGTCATTTTTTGGTACTAGCGTGGGGGGTGTGCAGAGAAATTCTTTCTATCGACCTCTAAATTATTCAGGTATATCTTCTATGAATGACGCTTATGTGAATCATAGATTATCTGCCATGTCAGATACCACCAGTGCACTATTCTCATCGTCTAGTAATCAAACAAATACCGCAGCGAATCTTTCTACTTCCTCACGGCCAATAAATTCTCCCGTTAGTTCTAATCTATCTTCTCAAAGCATCCATCCTATGTCAGGGTTACAGAAACAAAATAAAAAAGAATAAAAACAAGTAAAATTATGCAATTTGCCTTTTTTTTTTTTTTTTTTTTTTTTAATAGCGATCGCGATTGTCGGGTTCTGAGTCTCGTGTGACTGTATACATTTTTAGCTTTGGGTAAAAAAAAAAAGACTTTTTACGTAAAGTATAAAGTGTTGATTTTATTTCTTTTTTTTATTATTTCATTATTTTATTTTTTACTATTTGACTTTTTTCTTTTTTTTTAAAAAAAAATGAATAATAATTGGAGAGGAAGAGGCGGAAGAGGAGGAAGAGGTCGAGGACAAAATAGTCGCGATTATGTTGATAGTAATAACAACAATGGTAGTGGTATTTCAATTATTGCTCGACTAGGACCTACCAATTTACCTCTTAATGAAAGAGCTGTTCACCAATCAAATAATTCAAATCGTAACCAATCTTCTCATCCATCTTCTCATCAACAAAGAGGAGGTAGAGCTTTTGATTCTCAAAACTATCGCGGGAAAAATAACCAAAACTATAACAACGCTCGCTTTAATGATGAATTTATTGAAGAGGATATTGAAATGAATTCGTAAAGTATACTATTGGCTTTTTGTTTTAATAGATTTAAAGAATGAATTTAGTTAATAGCTCCTTAATTTTATTATTTCTTTTCTTTTAACAAAAAAAAAAAAAAAAAAAAAAAAAAAAAAAAAAAAAAGAGGGAATTTAGCTAGAAATATTGTTACAGTAAAGTATTCATTATCATTTAAAAATGAATAATATATTGATAATATTACTTTTATAGGTTACTGGATACCCTCCTGGATCTGAAGAAAAGGTCCTTGGATTTATTTCGAGAAAATCAAAAGCTGCTTGGGAACCTTTGAATGTAAGTTGAAATGAGTCCGTATTTATTTAAAACCTGTAAAGATTTTAACTTTGATATTCAAGGTACAATATGAACAAAAAGCAATGCATATAACGGTTGCTGATGAAACAGTAGTGGAAGCTCTATGTAAAATAAATAATTATCGTTTTGGAAATGCATTTGTAAGTTTGAATCAGACATACTAAAAATGCAATTTTTCTAATATTCCATGATTATAAAGCTACATATTATGAGAAAGAGTCAAAATAGTACACATAATAATCAAAGTAATAAAATCAGCAGTAATAGAAAGGGAACATCGCCTGTTTTAGTTAATTTCCTAGAAGAAAGATGGAATGCTCAAATTGGATTTTTAACGATGGATAATTTACCACCTACCTCACATAAACTTACAGTTGTGATAGCACGTTTATTAGATGAAGCTAAGAACTTGTTTGGAAATAATGTAGATATAATTTGAAATAGGAGAGAGAGAGAGAGAGAGAGAGAGAGAGTATGCATTCATAGTTATTGAACTTATTTTTTATTTAGGTTAAAACTATCTCATTTGCAAATAATAAGCTATGGTCTGTTATACCTATACTTAAAGTAATTGAACTTTTTCCTGATCTTCAAAACTTGTCACTTGCCAATAACGATATTGCAGAATTCCGTAATTTAGATAAAATAGCCAACAAGTTACCCAATCTACAGGAACTTATGTTATCAGGAAACCCAATTCAAACCAATAATCCTCTCAATGTTTATCAGGAGGAAGTCATCAAGAGATTTCCTTCTATCAAATTTTTAGATGCTCAACCTATCAATAGCAAGACGAACAATAACATGGGTGCTATCTCATCATCATTACCTCTTCCTGTTCGTTCTCACTTCTTTGATCAAGATAATTCTCGACTTGCAGTACAAGATTTATTATCAAAATATTTCCCTTTATTTGATTCAAATCGAGCATCTTTATTAGATTTATATGATAGTCAAGCTATATTCTCTGTCGTCTTCAGTCAGGGCAATCCTCATCAAAGAAGTGTATGGGGTGATAGTCAAGGTAATATGATAATAATACATAGATTTGTTCATATAAATGTATATAAATATTGATACTATCGATATACAGCGTCCCCTAGACAAAGAATGGTATTTGGCAATGAAAACATTATTAAGCGCTTAATTCAATTACCAGCTACAGTGCATGATTTATCAAGCGCAGATAAATTTATAACAGATGCATGGCAAACTACTGGGTCCCAAGCTCATCCAATTGTCTTATTCTTAACTGTTCATGGTGAATTTAATGAATTACATGCTGGAAACAGACTATCGTTTGATCGTTCCTTTTTAGTAGCTCCTTCAAGTCCAGGATCAAGGTAACTAAATATAATTTATTTAGTTTAATATTCTTTGCTCATCTATTATTGTAGAGCACATTCTGCTGGTTGGAGTTATATTATCTTGTCAGATTCATTAATTGTTCGTAATTATTCCTGTACACCTGCTTCTTTAATTAATGCGTAAAATATACACATAGAATTCCAGTTATGTATAAAGTGTATATAAAAGCATACGTATATGTATATATGCTATAATAATAAAACATTATAGTATTTTGACTTGTTCTTACACTTGCCAAATAGTAAAATTTGTATAATCATATTCATTATAATACATATAATACATGTCAGCCCCTTACCTACATTTTCTTTTGCAAATTCATTCACGTTATATGCTTTCCTTCATTTTTTTTATTATTAGATAACACTACTACACAAAGCTTTATGTGTCATCTTTACTCTGTCTTTTACTATAGATCCTTTGGCTGTTCTCATGATTTTTTTATTGATTCTTATTAACAGGGTATTGTACTCTATCATCCAAGGAGAAATACATTAGCAATTAGTATGTCAGAGGATGAAATTAACAGACATATATATATATATACACAAAACGTTAAGCCTTATACAAGCCATCAATCAAAGATGCTATTTAGCAATACAACAATATAATAAAACTAGCTTGACTATTATCGTTTTTTGGGACAACACGTATAAGGGAGTAGACATTGCTATTAGCTTTAAAGGATTTCTTCAGATTTTGATTTTTTAGTCTTCAAAGCTTATTTCATTGTCCGCAATAGATAATGTTGTTATCATTATTAAAAAAAAAAATATATACAACAAAATAGGTGAATCACTTTGCTTACAATCATTTCAATTCTAGAGATACATGGAAGGATTAACCATCAATACGATTCCTGTACAAATATTAGCACGTATTATGTTGCAGCTACCTACATTTCCACCACAAGATGACATTAATCTTATATCCATATTATCAGCAGGACTACAAAAATATGGACATACACATGACCTGAACGCGTTTTTGGATTACTGTCAGTCATTAATAACTACAGATCCTTCTAGAATGCCATCATCATGGCTATGGCAACAGTATATAATTACACAAGATAATGACTGGAGCATTTCTACTCACAGAAAGCCACAGGAACTTGCGGGCCTTCGATTCTTACTAGTTTCAGACATAGTAAAATATTACAAGTATATATGAATGTGACATGAGAATTTTTAGATTATAATTTTTAATTTTCTTTCTTTCTTTCTTTCTTTTTTTAACTGAAAGTCAAGGAAGAGTATAGAATTAACACGGGTTACAAAGAGAACACTATACGATCCTCAATGTGTCCGCTTTGTCAAAGGACAAGCATTTTCTGTGGATAGTCTATTGAATGACACTTTGCAATATTTTAAAAGGGAATACGATGATGATGAATCTTCAGTCCAGCTTGTTGAGAAGATGATTGAACTAAGATTAGAAAAATTTGTACGTGATAAGTTTGCATTTATACAGCAATCTAATGAATTAGACTACACCAGTTATCACTTAATAGGAGTGTTGATGGTAAGCCGTACACAAGGTAAAACCGACGATATTGGTAATTGGTGTCTCTATTTGAGAGACTATTTTACTGAAGGTGAATCTGTTTGGAGAGTATTTGTAGATGACTCTGAAATGCAGGTAAAAAAAAAAAAAAAAAAAAAAAAAAAAAAAAAAAAAAAAAAAAAAAAAGAAAAAAGAAAAAAAACCTGATATAGTCATAGGCTTATTAAATATGAATAAATTCTAAATAAATGCTTATCATTTAGATCTCTTCAGAGCAAGTAATGGCTGATATTCGTGATAGTGAATATAATCAACGAATGCCAAATACATTCTCAAAGGCATTTAGACCTCTTTATTTATTTTATGGAAATTATGATATTTTATTACCAACTGAAAATAGTAACAGCAATATTGATAATGAAAATAGAGGGCCTATTATTACTTTAGATGATTATACATTTGATGATGAATATTATGATGAATTTGATCAGCAGCCAGATTCTGTTCCTGAAGAAGAAAATGAGCAATGTATGCATTGTGGTATTAGAAATATTATAGAAGATGTCAATGATATGTTCTTTTGTGAGTCTTGTAATAGGGGAGTACATCAATTATGTGAGGATCCTCCTATTCAAGTATTTGAAAAGGATATCGATCCCTGGTTTTGTCGAACCTGTTCTAGAGCAAAAAACTTGCCCATTCCAACACAGTCGTCAGATACATCTTTGATACAATGGGGAGCCCAGGACAAAAATGATAGCAATCATTTATTAACCAAAAGAAAAAGAGAAGATAATAATAGCCTTTCTACAATAATAGAAGAAACAGATATCAATCATGATAACGACATAAAAAAAGTAATAAAAAAATCAATATAAATACATATTTTATCTATAGAATTATACACTATATTTTTACCTCGTAGTTGTTGTATATAATTTATGGGGTTAAGTGGTCAGGAACTTTAAAACTTATAGTTTGCGTCCTAGCATCCTATCGAGTCATATGTCATCATTCAACCGCGTAAATACAATAAAATCTCAATTATCTAAATATTTATGTATAAAACACTTTTGCCCAGATACAAAGGTGCTAATATAAGCAATGACTAGAAATACAAGGTTTTGTCCTGACTTATTGAGGGGAGCAGAATAATGTCTTAATTCTATTTGATCCTATCATTAAATGCATTTCCTCATCCCCTCCCTCTTTTTTTTTCCTAATATGACTTGGGGAAAGCACAGTATACACAAGTAGAACCTTTCATTATGAGATTAGGCCTTGAAGTTAGTGCTTCCTTTGAACCTATTCATTCTTTTAATTTATGTACACAGTGCTTCCGGCACCAATTTTTTTTTTTTTTTTAGTTGAGTTTTATTAAATAAAATCCAAATGAGCACAGGTATTTTATATACTAAAATTGCCCGGACCAGTTCAAATCTGTTATTTAGAGGAAAAAAAAACTTCTTAGGCTGAAGGAAAAAAGGATAGAAAAAGAGGAAGAAAGGAGAGTCTATGAATGCTGGGCTAAGTCAGAGAAGAAAAGGGGAGTTTAAAGATAGATTAGGTAGGACTAAATCATCGTAGGGAGCACCATGCTGTATCATGTCAACTTCATAGAGGAATCTTTGGATGGCAATCCAATGTATTCTCTAGTAGGCCTGTGTATGAAGTGGCTTGGGTGGTCGAGAGGGAAGTCGATTGAGAAGACACGAGATGGAGTCATCCACGTCTTGCGATATATGTAATTGATGCTGTGTTTCTTTGTTAGATTGTGTGATCTACATTGACAAGGTTTAGGAGTACCACCAGGTAGCCAGCCCAGCCCAACCGCCATCTAATGAGTCGACTACGTTCGATTGGGAGCATAGGTAACCACAGGATGGGATCCAGAGACAAAGAAGGACAGCAGACAGACAGACAATAATTTGCTATGCCTTTGATGGAGAGTAAGTTGAAAGTTCCTTGAAATAAAATCATGGCAACGTCGGCGAAGGGTAGAGGTGTTCAGGCTATCAAGAGGCGCAGGTAAGGTCTTAGCAAGAGCTGTATTATTAAGTTTTACGCCATTGACTGGATCATAGGGTGTTAATACAGGGTAGGAGACAGGTGAGTACTGCATCAGTTGGAAGTGAGTATGATCAGACGATATATTTGGCTTGCAATATGTGGCTAAGGATTTTAATTTGTGCAAATTGGTGCCAGAGACACTGTATGTATACATAAGTGTGAAATAGCTCCCTATTTGTCGTATTTGCACATGTGTAATTGAATAATTTAACTATGTATGTAAAGTTCAAAGTTAAAAAAAAGAAAGAAAAAACATAAAATATTCAATTCTATAAGATCATTATGGAATATTTAGATAAGGAAATTAGAAGAATAAATGGTTTTGTGATGAGTAAGGATGGGGTAATAAAAGTAGAACATATTAATTTCATAAGGACAACATTGATACCAAATTATTTTATATTATATTTTAGTAGAATGATACGCTAACTTGTTGGTTAATTCAGAGGGGAAAAAATGCAAGACTTAAAAAATAGCTGTAATTTTCTTTTTTCTTTTTCTTTTTTTTTTTTTTTTTAATAAAGACCATTTCTCTTATAGTTAGATGAGCTTCTATAGATTAATATCAACTTTTAAAATTAAGAATACTTTTATTTATTAAAGGAATCCATCCATTTATTTATTTATTTATATATTTATATATTTATGAGAGTAAGAAAATAGTTTAATTGTTTAGTATACTATTATTTCAGTACAAACTTGATTGTAGAGCTTGACTATTACGCGTTTAAAGAAAATTTTTTTTTAATATAGCTGTAGAGATAACAAAACCCAGTTTTAAAGAGAAGGAGATTGATTCGTGTCTATTAACCAGGGTCAAAAAGAGAGCATGAAAGAATGTTTAAAGTAGCTGGAGTTTAGAGGAGGCCATTATAACGAAAAGAGTCAGAATTGAATATTTAGAGTGACCAATGTCTAGATAAGTCCATTAAGATTGAATATGTAGAGTAACTAGATTTTAGAGAAGAAGACCATTATGAAGAAAAGAGTCAGGATTAAATATATAGAGTAGGTAGAGTTTAGAGGAGACCATTATGAAGAAAAGAGTCATAATTGAATATTTAGGATGGACAATATCTAGAGGAATCACTAGGATTGAATATTTAGAGTGGCCAATATCCTTAGAAGCCCACTAGGATTGAATATTTAAAGTGACCAGTATCCTTGAAACCCACTAGGATTGAATATTTAAAGTGACCAATATCCTTGAAGCCCACTAGGATTGAATATTTAAAGTGACCAATATCCTTGAAGCCCACTAGGATTGATTTTATAAGGCGACCAATATCCTTGAAGCCCGCCATGAAAAAAAAATAAAAGATAAAGAAAAAAAGGAAAAGAAAAAAGGAAAAGAATAAAAAAAAATGAATAAATAAATAAAAAATATGTGCATTTAAAAAATATGTATATAAAAATAAATAAAATATACAAAAAAAAGAAGAAAATAAAGTTTGAATACGTAAAGGGACAAATATTTAGAAACTACTTCCTAATATGATGAAAAGCAAGCAATGACTGATTTGTTTGCACTAACTAAATTTTAGGGAGCCTACTATAATTAATGTTTATAGTAGCCAGCATCAGGAGAAAATTACTATGTAAAAACACATGCTTCTATTCTATAAAATAGACAAAGTACAAAAATGTATATGTATGAAAATATATGCATTTATTCTATTAAAATAGGCAAAGTACAGTCCAAAAAAAAAACGATTTTATTAAAAATAAGGAGAGACCATGAGAAAGTTTGCTTGTACATAAACAAAGAAAAAGTTTTCAAAGATTAATATCCAGTACCTCTTTGTGGCTTATTATTTATCTTTCATATCTTTTATACACAAAAATAACTATGATAATTATTAAAGATATTATATTGAATTATGTTAAAGAAGTTTAAATGCTTTCTTTACTACTTGATGATAGATCATTAAATGTGTAACTTTCCTTTTGTCAACTATTGTTTTATTTAACCGGAGCTGTAGCAAATGTTTCATTTTGCGATGAATTAAAAAAAAAAAAAAAAAAATCTTCGTACAACTGTGCAATCTTCTATTGCAGTTGGGAATTATTATTAAGAAAATAAAGCGTGACTTATTGAGAATTTATTAGGTACAACAACAAGCAATTATAAATAGAATTACTGTGTAACTAGCGTACTTCAATGCATGATGTTTATCATTTAACTTTATAAATCCTCTTAAACTTAAGACGAAAAAACTGATTTATGACGTTATTAAGTATCTGCTTAATGAATATAGCACTACTGTTTTCAGTATACTCCGTTTCTTGTGAAACTATAGTCATTTCTTGCGCTTTTTGTAGGCTGTAATTACAAGTATTTATTTGGAGATATGATCTCAATGATTTTAGCTTAGAAGATGTTATGAATGTTAGAAATCGCTGTTCGATCACTAAATGTACTCATGTATATTGGTTATGATTATAGTCGTCTTTATAACCAAATTAATGGAAATAAACTATCAATTATTACCTGATAACAGAGATTATTCAAATAAAACTAGTATACTGTACTTTACAGCAGAAAATGTTTAGTCTACACTCGGTTTTAATAATAGCCATTGGTAGAGTGTTCGAGTATCAATAATAATTATATATACTGTATTATGTAATAGTATCTTATATAATGATAATAATGGTAACATATGAATAATTGATATTGCTGTCATAGTTGGAATATTTACTATAAAATAATATTGATGTGTCACTTACTACACTAGAAATAATGATTAAGTATATTTCTAATAAGAGAGAAAGCTCAGAGAGAAAAAAGAATAAAAATATATCTTATTGAATGCAAAATTATTCAAAGACAATATTTTTTACATGATTCTTTATTACACAAGCATTTGCTTGTCTAAATCATATTTCGATTAATATCAGTTATCTTGTATAGAAGCAGCCCTTGATATTTTTCCATATTATTGCTTTTTTCTTTGTACAATTTTTGTATTATGTTTCTCGAATGAACCATACCGAGTTTTCACAGACTTGTTTTTTGTTTTATTCTCTTTCTTTATCTCTTTGCCCATCAAAACATATACAAACCGCAGAAGGTAACAGCTTAGGTACTAGCTCCTATTAATTTATATAAATTAAGCTTATTCATTCAACTCGTATAGATTTTACTTGATACATCTTAAAGAGGATTCTGATGCCGCAAAATTTCTATATGACATATTATCCTAGACATATTACTCTTTTCAAGGATTTAAAAAGTTTGTATATTCAAGAGGCAATTCATAATGGAATAAAAGCCCAATATATAAAGTTTGAAGTTTGTTGATTAAAAAAAGATTATTATTAACAAAAGCTTTGACATAAGATCTCTCAACTTTTCAAGCACAGCTGAATTTATCAAATACCTAGTGCCATTGCCCATATAGCAATACCACTGAGTATAACAGTGTTATTAAAGATAAAATTCATGAAGATAAGAAAGATGTTAAAAGAATGTTAATGAAGCTAAAAGGTGAGGTGAAAAAAATGAGAAGAGAGACTTTGATCTTAAATACAAAAAGCTCAAGTTACTTGAAGATCCATTTGGCTATTTAATGATTGGCTTTTTTTTTATTATTTTGGAGAGGACTGCGATTCCTATAATAAATAGTATGATTGTAGACATTAGAGTACCTCAAATGGATAAAAGGAAAAGCTCTTGAAAGACACAAAAGAAAAGCTGCAAACACATAAAAAATCTATCTTTACATGAATAAAATTTTTATATTGCACATAAACCAAATTCGTCGCTTTGTATACATTAAAAAAAATGAAGTTTGCATTATTAAGTATTTTTTTTTAATTTAAACGAGTTTATAGTTTCAAATATGAATAATGACAGCAGCATTAAAAGTCTTTAAGTAGATATTATTACAAGAATTAGCTTATTTTATAGTTGGAATTCCCTTCTTCAAGTGTTTTTCTCTTATTGTTTTTGATTATTACAAACCTAAAAAATTTGCTTCATTAGATTAAGCTCTGAATAGAATGATAGAGGATATATGTACCCATATCCTCGGCTTATAATTAACTTTGCGATCTAATCTGAACTGTGTATAGGAGCATTTTCCATGATAAGATAATGCTCTTTGAATTGTTCATAGCTTTTAATTCCTCGGTGGTTTTTTTTTTTTCATCAGAGCTCTGTTTATAGGACATTTGTATTTTATTAATGTTAATAATACTTTGTAGAAAGATTGCTCTTAATATGGATGTAGTTTTAGCTCTTATCTTAAGCTAAGTAATAACAGCGCTAGTACTCTCCCTCCCCACCCCTTTTTTTTTCCTAAACTAAGCCATATTCCGACCCAATTTTATAAAATACAATTGTTTTAATAATCTATTTCTGTTGTCATAAGGTTGGTTACTTGGTTGAATTATGTGGTGATTCTATCTGTTTATTTTCTTTCTTTGAACTTCACATATAATTTTTTGAAATTCAAAGCATACTCATTGGTCGTAAAGTTATGAACAGCAATTTTGGTAATTTTCAAGCCCATAAACTACGAAGGCATTGACTGTTTCATTTATCTTGAATAAACTCAAAGTTCTTTTTTTTTCTTTTATTATAGAAATTAGAAAAGCTCTTGATTTATTCAGTCTTTAATTTTCATGTGTGGAAAGGTACTTGTACAAACTATTTCTTGAAATGATGTGTAGAAAAAAAATGACAAAGATGACAGAATCGACTGTAGATGCGAAATTGTCTCCATGTTATAAAGGTGAGGAAAACGAAAAATAGGAATCATGAGAATGTCAATCAATATGAATTGTTTTGATGTACAAGAAACTGGTATCTTTCATTTCATTAAAACATTATCCTTGTACTAAAAAAATGGCTACATAAATCTTATCGCCAACTAAATAACATTCGGTTTTAATTAATTATGAAAGAAAAAACGGAGTGTAATTTTTTTTTTTTAAAAAAAAAGGGGAATGAAACAAGTTTATTTTACCAAAAATGGAAATTGTTTTTATTCCTATTTTTTGACAAAAATCAACAATTGCTTTCAACTCTAATTTTTTTTTTTAATTTTTTTTTTTTTTGTCTTGTTTTGTTTTCTCAATTTGAGATGAGATACTCTGACATCCACTTTCAGAATAGTGAGCAAAATATGAACCAAAAGACACTAAGAGGGCCTAGACCATTAATAACATCGACTTATATGTCATCTAAGCCACGACCATCAAGGAAACCACTTGAGATATATATGCATTCAAGCTTAAATAAATACCAGCAAAAGTCAAAATACTATACATATCCTATACCATCATCCCTTGAAGAGCGATTTTCAAAAACACAAGTAACAGTCGATAATTTACCTTCACCTGCTAAATCCTCTTCCACAAAAGCAATTGATGAAGATGTCTCTTCATCACCAGTACAGAATACTTTTCCAAATCGTAAAAAACGATTACCGCATCGACCAGCACCTGCACCTAAAGAAAGCATTTCAATGGAAAAACCAGTGATATGCTATTATTCATCGGATGAGGAAGAGGAAGAGGAAGAGGAAAAAGAGGGAAAAAAAGTATTACAGGATTTGAATGTATCACGTCGAATGAATACTTTTAACAGCAAGACACCAGATGTTAAAGTAAAAGATGAAGAAAAGAAAAAGTCTAGCAATCCATTAACAAGATCAAGTTCTCAAAAGCCTTTACCAAACTACAACTCCTATCATAATGAACCAGCTAATTCTTCGAAAAACAATACATCATCAGCACCACCTCCTCCCATTCCTGTTATATCCGCACCTGGTTATTCAGATGATGAAGACGAAAAAGTAAAAAACAACAACAACAACTCAATGCCGACTATTCCTACTATTTGTGCTCCTGGAGGTCTTTCAGACGATGAAGATGAAAAGCAGGACCAAAGGAAATCTAAAACAAAGTCACTTTTTGGATCCTTATATTTTGGTATTCGATGTGCAGGTTGTGATGAACCCCTCAGTGGACAAGCGATTACGACCTTTGGGAAGCATTGGCATCCTCATTGTTTCAAATGTCAGTCATGTCATCAAAATTTAGAACATATTGCGTTTTATGAAAAGGAAGGTATGCCGTATTGTGCATTAGATTATCATGAATTGTTCAGTCCTCGTTGTGATTATTGTAAGACACCAATAGAGGAACATTCGATATCGGCATTAGGGAAAACATATCATCCTGGTCATTTCTTTTGTAGAGAGTGTGGTAAACCCTTTGATGAAGAGACGACCTTTTTGGAACATGATGGACATGCTTATTGTGAAAAAGATTATTATAAACAATTTGGTAAAGCATGTAAAGGATGCGAAGAAATAATTACAGGTGATTTCTTAGTAGCCTTAGGTGGTGAATGGCATAAGGAATGCTTTGTATGTGCTGACTGTGGTGGTACTTTTAGTTCTTCAACCTTTTTAATTCGTGGTGGGAAACCGTATTGTGAGGAACATTATGATAAACAAAGAACGCATCATAAAAAGAAAAATAGTCTGTTATTAAAGGAGACGCCCTTGACTAACCTGCCTCAATTGGATTTATTACCTCCCATCTTGGGTGAGGACAACAAGAAGGAAACAATAGAAAAAATATGTCATCATTGTGAGAAACCAATTGAAGGAAGAAGTCATAGTGCATTTGGATTTGATTATCATCCTCTGCATTTTCAATGCTCGCAGTGTAATAAACTACTATCTGTGAGAGTAAAAGGTACCACTGATATTTATTTATTTCTTTTTATTATTTACTTATTTTTTTTTGATCTATGTATTAGGCCTATACCAGAGCACAGAAAACAATGAATTAATTTGTAATCCTTGTATCAGAAAGAATAGAATTTTATATAATTTGTCATGATGAATCAAGTCAAGAGTTCATATAAAATTAATATAGTCATATATAAATATACCACTTTGAATAACTATTTCTAATCTATAATAAAAGAAAAAAAAATTATTTATTTATTTTTTGTTTTGAAACAAAAAAAAAAAAAAAAAAATGGTAGGGGGAGAAGAGGAAGAAGTAAAGGGGAGAGGAGTAAAAAAAGGAGTAGCATATAAATATGTATATGATATGTCATATAGAAATAAATAACGGGTTTTAGACAAAAGAAAAATAAATAAATATATATTTATATATGTGTATGTATTATATGAATGTATGTTTGTATATAAAAATTAAAGCTTGGCTTTAACAGGTTCAATTTGACTGTTGAGAACTTCATAAAGTTCAGTAATTTGCTTTTCATAATATTTCTTTGCTTGAGGACGTTTAACCTTGAAGGTAGGTGTCAAAAGATCTTTCTCAACAGTAAAAGGATCGGATTCTAAATAAATGGCCTTTGCAAATTCAAATCCACGCATGTCTGCCTTCTTACCAACCTTGTTCATTTGATGAAGGACAAGAGCGTTTACTTCAGGCACCTTACATAATTCTATAAAACTTAACTTTTTAGCATGAATATGAGGCAATTTGGTTTGAACGATGGAAGCCAAGGTATCAGGATCAGGAACAACGATAGCAACTAAGGAGCTTTGTAAAGAATCTCCATGTAAATAAATTTGTCCAATAACAGGATCCTTGGCATAAATATTTTCAATCTTCTCGGGAGCAATGTATTCACCTTGAGCAAGCTTAAAGATATTCTTCTTGCGATCAATAATGACGATACAACCACGTTCATTAATCATACCAATATCACCAGTATGATACCAACCTTCGTCGTCAAGGGCTTCCCTTGTCTTTTCTTCATCCTTGAAATAACCCTTAAAGACATTGGGACCACGAATACAGATTTCACCACGTGGGTAAGGATCAGTAGACAAGTAATTCATCTCAGGTACGTCGACTAACTTCAATTCATTACAGGTAAAGGGAGCACCAATGTGACCTGCCTTATATTCATTAGGATAATGAATTGTAGAGGCAGCAGAGGTCTCGGTAGCACCATAGCCTTCACGAATATCACAACAAAGGGCAATACGAAGGAATTGCATGACATCTTTACCAATAGGAGCTGAGCCAGTCACTATGATTCGAACTTGACCACCTAACGCCTTCTTTACCTTATTAAAAATCAGACGGTCCCAGAAAGGATGAGTATATCCCTTTCCAGCCTCCAAATTAGCTAATTTTGTAGCAACGGCACGACGTGCTAAAGCACCTGTAGTGCCTGGAGCATTTATTGTAGAAGCTACAATTTTACCATATACACGATTTAAAAGACGAGGTACAGTAGCAAAGATAGTAGGTTTCAATTCCTGAATATCCTCTACTATTAAATTCATATCTCCACTAAAATAACCTAATCGTCCACCAAGACAGAGACAGATCATATCACAAATACGACCAAAGATATGAGCAAGAGGTAAATATGAAATACTTGAATCTTCAGAAGAACCACCCAGACTTTGATAACTAGCAGATAAAGCAGAAACAAAGTTACCATGAGTCAACATAGCGCCCTATTTATTATTATGTTAAATCAGATGCTAAATATCCAAAAAAAAAAAAGTGTCTTTCCCCCCCATCTATCCCTCCTTTTTTTTTTTTTTTTTTGTCTTACCTTTGGCATACCAGTTGTACCACTGGTATACATAATACAGGCCAGATCTTCAGATTTAGGGTAATTGTAAGAACGTCTATTCTTCTTGCCTAAATCTTCTATAAAATTAAAGTCAACTAATTGAACATTCTTCTCAGTAGCCCATGCCTTAATAATATCACTTTTAGAAGCGATACCAGGACGTGAAGGTTCATCGATAGAATCCATTGAAATAATTGTTTTAAGATGAGGCAACATGTGCTTTAATTTTAACAAATCAGCAATATGATCTCCAGAACAGACAATTGTCTCAAGTTCAGCATGATTAATTACATATTCAACTGTATCAGGACCCAAGGTATCATAAAGTGCAACAGTATAAAGAGAATAAGCTGCACAAGCTAAATCAGTGATTGTCCATTCAGGACGATTCACAGACCAAATACCAATAGGAATATTCTGAGTACGGTTTTCATTCATATTATGATTCAAATAATTTAAAAGACCAGAACCAAAATTTGTAAGACGATGATTCACTTGACGATAGGTTTGCCAGACATAAGGACCTCTTTCACCTGTTTGAGCATTCTTAATAGAACGAACACCAACACAAGGACGATCCTTTGAAATTTTTAAGCCTAGAGATAAAGATGATGATGAATACATATAAATATATACTCCTCTTCTTTACATATAAATCAACTTACCATTATTGAAAATATCAATTATAGATCTAACTTTAGGAGAAAATGATTCTTCAACAACAGGACGTTGAGCATTACGATAAATACCTAAATTAAGATAATCGTTTTATGTTAATATACGAAAGATCAAATAACATATCACTTTATGTAACTTTTTTTTTAAAAAAAATAAATAAATAAATAAGCTTTACCAGTTTGTCCAGGAGTTCTGCTACCAGGAACCTCGTATGTTTGCTTCTCTAAACTGAATTTACCCATTTTTTTTTTTAATAAAAAGAAGTAGGAAAAAAAAAGAAAGGGTGAAAGGGAAATAAATATGAAATGTAACTGAAAAAAAGATAAGTCAGCAAAAAAGATAAATTTATTATATTGCGGGGCCGCGGTTTTAAAACGTGCGAAGTCAAAAAGTGATTATCACATGCGATCCAATTAAAAAGAAGGACCCACTCACTAGCATATTTTAACACTGTGCTGACAAAGATCAAAAGTACAAAGATTTTCTATGTTATTAAAGTTCATATATACATGACAAAATTATCTAATCATTCATTCATCAATAAAATAGAGGTATACAAGCAAGCAAGCAAATAATTAACTGCTGCTAGATACATTCACTTTTGCTAACTAGTTTTTTTATTTTATTTTTATTTTATTTTTTTTTATAAATGAACTTTGTATTTTATAAGGCAAAACTATTTTAATTCCAGGAAAAACTATTTAATTTAAATATCATAAAAAATAAATGTTAGCTTTATTCCTTTCCAACCACCAATTAGTTGCATTCTTTTGTCTATTTGTCCGAAAACGATGCAATATTTTACTGAGAAAAGTGATTATCAGAAAGCCATAGAGAGAGAGAGAGCGTATATGTATATAACCACTGTCACTGATTGTATACTTTTTTTTTTTTCCCTGTGTCGATGTAAAGTAATATATGCAGTAGGGAAGAAGCACTATTTCTAGACGGATATGAACGCAGGATATAGTCCAAAAAAAAGGTATACTTGATTCAGTTTTGTTATAAATACGTTAGATTATCATTTATTCAATTGATCTGCTGTTATATACTCAAACAGGCTTGGTGTTGATTTTTTTTTTTTTTTTTTTTATTTTATTTATTTTTTACAGTCACCAATGGTTAATTTTATCATCAAAGTCCAGTTTCTTTTTTCAAGTCAGTTTCTTCAATCTTGATATCTATAATACATATTTGTATATAAATAAAATCCCAGATATATCTAGTATATTAACAATGACAACACATCATCAAGATACGGTGTAAGTAAGGGTCAACATACTTACAACTTCTTTTTGAGATCTATAAATGACTGTAAGCATCTAAATAAAAAGCTTGTATGACATCAATCGAAAATTTTTTTTTCGCAACTGTTATTTGTCGAATACATTCATTTAAAAGTAAAATGGATAAGCATTACACACCACTTATCTCAAATGTACCAAACTAATACATAAGCACTTTATGCATAAATAACCAAGAAATTGTTTATAGAAATGTTTATATTTATTAAAAGGAGATTTTATTTAAAATAAAAAAAAATGGAATTTTTTTATTTATTTATTTAGTGTAAAGGTAATTTACTATATGAAATCAAATTTATACAATTAGTTTCCTACTTTCATTTAAAATAAAGTTTCTTTCTTTACCTGCTTCATGGCTTCCTTCTTGCCCTTACGTTCGAGGATAGCAAGACGAGACTTATCCAACTTAAGCTTGGTGACAACAACCTTGGAAGCAGAGATACCAATAGGAGCAGTAGCACCGTTAACCTTCTCACGAGCGACACGATCAATGTGAATGACCCACTTCTTACGGTAGACTTGGGTGACCTTACCTTCACGGCCCTTGTAGGTACCACGAACAACCATAACTTCATCATCCTTACGAACAGGGATAGAACGAACGTTGTACTTTTCACGGAGTTCCTTGGATAAAGGAGCGCTCATGATCTTACGACGAACATCGGAGGTGGCGGTGAAATGAGCCTTTCTGCTCTTACGGCGAGAAGAACTGACGTCTAATAAAGAAAGGAAAAAACGTAGATTAAGTATATTGTTTAACTCTAATTACAAAAAAAAATAAACAGAAACGAATATAAAATGGAAAATAGTGATTGACGTTTGTCTTCTTCTTTTTGTTCTCTCCCTCTTTTCTCTTCTTTTTTTTTTCTTCTGAAAACTTCCTGCCAATTACTCTTGAGTTTTAATATATATGTTTACCAGTTGTAATCGAATGGATCAAAACTCATAAAGAGATTTGAAATCAAGTTTGCTGAAGAATTCAACTCAAACAAAAAAGAAAGGCAACTTTATGTCTTCATTTGTATTCGAGAATTGAATTTATTTGAATGTGACCGAGTTAATGTAGTTTGATTCACTTTATGAGCGGTAACAAATAGTATTTTTTTTTTCAAGAGGTTAAGAAAAGAAAAAGAAAAGACATCCATCGTTTATATATGTTTAACATGCATCCATCTATTTTCCATCTATTCGTTTCTTTCAACCCTATTCAAGAACGGGCCATGTTTCTTTTAAAATATTTACCAGCAGAGAACTTCATCCTGTCTATATGATGAGAAAAGAGGAAGATTCTAACTGTAGCTTACTTGAGTATTTCTTTTGTCTCTTTTCATTTCTTGGTCCGAACTTTGAAAAATAAAAAATAAAAAAAAAAATTAAAAAATGAATGGTGAAAATAAAAATAATACCGGCCCGGACAAAAAATCAATTTAAATTCAGCAATAATAGATAATAAAAGGTACTCGTGTTTATTATATAGTGCATATAAAATAAATTTAAAAGAGTGTAATAACGCCTGCAGTGAATAGAACTAGTATAGAGATAAATAGATAGAATATAGAATGGCCATAATGACATTTCATAAAAATAATAGTAGTAGCGTCACTACGAGATGGACTAGAAGAGTTATTATTTAGATTAGGTATTGTACTATTGTTAATAGCAGTAGTCGTATTCGTAGCACCCGTAGTTTTCTTGAGTGGTGGTCCATCATAAGAAGGCTCGTCAGATGAATTTTCAGTTTCAAGATAACTTGGTGGAGCAAATTCTGTACCGCATTGATAATAAGAAGTACAAGCAGTCGAACAAGCAGAAGGATTTACTTTATCTTGATTACAAATCAATTGACAGTCTTGAGATTTACCTGTGCATTCAGCTTGCACAACTGGCCAAAGATAAGGGGCAAAATCGGCTTCTTTTCTCTATAGTAAACATTGAGATAATTTATTGTATTTTATTTCTCTCTCTCTATATATATATAATTTAAATAGCAGTCTATTTCTTACATCGCAACCACAGTTCCAAGCCATTGAAGTTGCATTACAGAAACTTTTATATACATATATATATATATATTTAGTCATATATTTTAATAGATAGATTGCTACTATACATACTTTTTCGGTGTATTATTAGGCCCCCCACAATTATTCTATAATATAAATATTTATGTATATACATGTATGTTAGTAAAATATATATGCAACTACATATAGTGTGACAGCTTACAAAACAATAAGCGATTTGACGTTGACACAAGTTTTCTCGAGAAGAAGGATCGATACGAAGGATAGTCCAGCCAACATGTGGTAAATTGGCTATTGAATATTAATAACAATAGTCTTGATTTTTTTTTTTTTTATTACACCGTATTTTGTTTTACCTGGTCGTTGTTCTGTTGAATTGTTATTATTACTATCTCCCTCATCTGCATATACTCTCACTAGTTGACTAGCAGCAAATATAAAAAAGCAATAATGATAAATGGTAGTAACAAGCATAATAATATATTAAGAAGAATAGTAAACAAAAAAAAAAGGTCGAAACAAAATACGTTATTTATATATCTTGTTAAAATTATAATTGATATACAACATGCAAAAAATAAAAAAAATTAAAAAAAAAAATCCATATATTTTTATTCATTTGATTAAAGGAATATATTATATAAAAAAGTATCAAACTCTTTATATGTACATCTATATAATATACGTTTTAATTAATTGTATATATTAATGATTATTTTGTTATATTTATTCTTGCAAGTTATCCTTTATGCGAACAAATTCAATCATTAATTCACAGTGATCTGTATGTGGAAAGAGATCAAATGAAATAGCACGAGCAGGTTTGAAAGGCATGCCTACAAAACTATTTGACTCAGGACGGCATAATCTATTGTTAATAAAAGAATATGAGTATAATTTATCATTATAAAATAACCTCCTTCCTTGTTTTCTAAACTACTCTACTTACCCAAGGAAGTTGTTAAAAGCTTGTTTAGCATCACAACTGATATAAATAACACGATCAATATGCTTGGCTTTACGAATAGCACGAATAACACTAGCATGTACACCATTTCTAATAATAATAAAAAATTAATTTATCACTACTACCAAGGAAAAAAAAAAAAAAAAAGAAGCATATTATCATTTTTTTTTTTTACCTTGGTGGGTCTAAGACAGCAATAACTTCTTCATTTTCTTCGTTTTGAACAATATCAATCTTATTCTCTACCTTGTCAGCATAATAAGTAACATTTTTAATATCTGTAGGTATATTAGATGAGTATTAATAACATTATTCATATACATATACATTTGCATAATATTTATAGGAAGGGCATACCATTTAATTTAGCATTTTCTTTTGCATCAACAATAGCTTCAGGGACCATTTCAATACCAATAACGCGATCAACAGATTTAGCCATTGTGATACCAATTGTACCAGTACCACAACAAAGATCTAATAAAGTAGTCTTCTTCTCCTTATCAATATTACACCATTCAGCACACTTGGAATAAAGTAATTCAGTAGCAGGAGTATTCACTTGGAAGAAGGCACTAGCAGAAAGACGGAAGCGACAATCAAGTAAATTTTCATATATATATCCATCACCTGTTAATATATCAATAGGTGCTTTATCAGTAAAACCGTTAGAGGCACCATTCCATGATTGGAAAAGTAAGGTTGTCACCTTAACACCACTTTCTTCATTCCAGAATCGAATTAAATCTTTTTTAATTTCTTCGACACGTTCAGAACTTAAATCTTCATCACGCATTTGCACTAAAACTAAAATATCACCTGTACTTTGTGTTTTAGTCATTAATGTGCGCCAATAGCCTTCTTTAGTGACACGATCATAAACAGGTAAACCAGATTGACGAATATAATCACACATAGCTTTAGCAATCTTCTTTGCAATATCAGGTATATGTAAACATTCACTAGGATCTAAAACAGACGTGACACCCTCACGATAAAGACCTAATAAGAAACCAACAGTAGGTTCACCGTCCAGGTCTTTACCAATAGTAAATTCACATTTAGTACGATACCCATTTGTTTGAGGTGAGGGAACGGGATCAAGGACTTCACATGGTAGTCTTCCTTTCTGAAGAGCCCATTCAATTTGACTAGGATCACGTGCTGTCTTTGTTAACTCAGTAACGCGCTTTTTAAGAGTCACTAATTGCCTAATACCCTTATTATTCTTATCTTTCAATTGAATATCGTAAGACTTTCTCCACATGGGTGTAACTTGATCCGAGAGTTTTTCAGCAGGAGTACGAGCATCATTTTCAATCTCATCCTTATTAGAGCCCTTTCTTCTTTTAGTTCTTGTGTTTGATCTATTACGAAATTCGTCTTCAGTTTGAATAAGGATTTCAGCTGATAATGGTGTATTTTTGTATACACATTCATTAATAGTCTTTACACATTCTTGTGCTTCTTGTTCAGTCTAATTGTAAGTTTGGTAAATAAATAAATAAATAAATTTCTATTTATATATATATATGTTGGTACACGTTTATAACATACATCAACTGAAATAAAAGCATAAGTCCACCTTGGTGCTTTGCTTACACGAACATAACCCATTTTTTTGAAAAACGTTCTAATTCCCTCCATCTCAGCTCTAGGTAAATTATTAACTTTAACGCGATAGACCATGGTCATCTTTTGTCTCTTATTTTCAGATGCCTGTTGTTCTTGATCATCTTCATCTGTTTCTAAAGGCCTTTTTTTGCCAAAAACAGCATCAAGAATTGATTTTGCAAACTTAAACATCAGTAAATGTTGAATTTAATAAATAAATAAATAAAAAGGTTTCAAATAAACAATAAAAGGAACCAACAGACTATACGAAAAAAAAAATGAAAAATGAAAAATAAAAAATTTAATATTACTTTATTTTAATTGGTACGTTTTCTGAAATTATACATTATATTCTTCTTAGTATTAAAATTGAGGCTTTGCAATTTTTTTTTTTTTTTTTCTTGAAAAATAAAAAAAAAACACAGAAATTGAAAATTTATAGTACGTATATTTGCCTTTCAGAGTTTAATAAATATATATTTGTATACATATACATAAACAAAATGAAAGCATATAATATTGTATATATATATATATATATATAAAAAGAAAGAAAGAAAAGAAAAGAAAAAAGAACATATTACATAAAGAACTGAGTATATTGGCGACTATCCATGTGAACAAGCATATCCTTCAATTTGTATTCATTTAGTTCCTCTTTGATCTTTAAGGCTAAATCAGGTGTCAGTTTTTGACATGTAGCATTTGTATCACATCGTCGGTCATATTCTGACGCAGAAAATGTTTCGTGTAATTTAACGACAGGATTAAATGATAGAGATTTTTTACTCGAAATAGTAGAAATGGTATCATTTGTTGCAAAAGAGGAAGAAGAGGAAGAAGTGATAGAATAGGCTGGTAGAGAGTATAAATGATGTTGATCAATAGAATAAGAATGACTATGACGATGACGATGACGATTATATCGTTTTGACGATATCGTTGAAATAGGTGAATCAGGTATTATTTTATTACTCGGTAAATTAACTACCAACAATGTAAACATTTTTAGATTTAATCTCCTCTTTTATGTTTAATGGTTTAAAATTACCTTTTTTAATTCTTAGTAACGAGTCCGAAGAATACTTTGGTAATTCATTACCAGCTTTTTTCTCAGTAGTAGTAGTAGTAGTAGTAGTAGCAGTAGTAGAAGTGAGAGCACCTTCATTATTGTGGTGACTTTCTGAAATGATGCCAAGTACTTGTTTAATTTTTTTACCTAATGATTGCCTTCGTTTAGGTGCCTCATATGCTAAATTAGTTTGTTTAGAAGTAGTAGTAGTAGTATCATGATTGGTTCTATTTATTCTTGTCTTTGTAGTTGCTGTTGAAGTAGCCGCGATGTTTGCTTTCCTTGATTCTAGGGTTTTATTAGATGACTTTGATGAAGCAGAGGGAGTTAAGGGTAAGGAGGATGCTGAGGAAGAAGATGAGTGATGGTAAGAAGAACGATATCTGTTACTATTATTTGTTGTGATACTACTATTAGTAGAGGATGAGATAGTAGATGACCTTTTGCTAGTATTATCACTGTTGCTGCTTATACTGTGACGCATCATCATCGTCATCATTTGCTGTTGCTGTTGCTGTTGTTGTTGTAATTGAAGATGGTGGTAATAATTTGCTTGCAACTGTTGCTGGTAGTAATAATAATAGTACTCATTTTGTTGCTGTTGTAGTGTCCAATCATACCATATATCATTTTCCATTGTAATCAATTTCTAATTGGTGTAATAAAAGGGAAAAAAAAATAAAAGGTATTATAGCTATAGGTATAAATGTATGTATATAAATATATAAAAAAGGAAAATAATAAAGAAGAAGAAAAAGAAGAAGAAAAAGAAACAAATAAATAAGCGAATAAAAAAAGGTTACTGTTCTATGATATAATAATAGCACACACACACACACACACACACATACACATACACATACACAAACACACGTATATATTAATGTGAATCATATTTATTTAAACTGTCTCTATTTTCTTTTTTCCTGTCTTTCCGCTGTTCTCTTCTTTAAGCTGAGATTATAGTCTATTTTAACATCATTCAAGCTCAATATAGTAATACTTTTATTATATTCACTATTCTTCTTCTTTTTCTTCTTCTTCTGTATAATTGTTTAAAAAGGAAAAAGAGATACCTTTTCATCTTGCTTTGTAATTTTCAAAGACATGATATCTGCTAGTAACATATTATCGTCGTCATCATCATCATTATCCTTCATATTCTTTTTTTCTATTTTACAATTCATAATAGTAGACATAAAATTTGTTTATTATATAAGAAGACTATAGGCCATATATTAAATAGAAGAAAGAAAGAAAAATAATAATATACATATTTACTCTTTTTTTTTTTTTTTTTTTTTTTTTTTTTTTTTTGCTCCTTTTCTTACATGCATGTATGTAATTCATCATTTATAGTAAAGTTTTCGTTTTTTTTCCCTCCCTGTCTCAATTAATATTTTATCTCCTTTCTTGTATAAATATTTATTTTTATATCTGTCAGTTGACTTGTATATTTATACACGTATACATTTATATATGAATATTTGTATTTTTTTTAAAAAAAAAAGGAAAAGGAGGTAACAAAAAAGATTCTCCTTTTATGTGTTTTATCATTTATTCATATTCAACAGAATCTTCGGGTTCCTATGGAAATAAATTATTAATATCGTTGTTATGTATATACGTGTAGTTATATCAATTTACTTTTGGCTCTAAATCTTCTCCATATTGCATAGAATTATCCACATGAGATAAAACATATTCGATTGAATCTTCATCTGTAATATTAAGAGGTATAAAGCGTACCATACTATAATCATCAATCTATATTCATAGTGTTATATTAATAATTCTTGGTCTTACAAATAAGAATAAACTTACTAAGTGTACAATAGCTTGATTTAAAGCTTGGAATTTCATATTCATTGGACTTTGCTCTTCCTCATTCATAACTGTTTCCGCATCTTCTGCCATTAGTAATGGATCAGGTTCTAAATATCTTTCCAATTCACGTTCTGTCATAGCCTTTTCCATCATTCTTCTTCTTCTCCTTTGTCTACGACGCTTTTTTTGAGCTGCTGTTTCAGCATCATCTTCTTCATCGTCCTCTTCTTCCTCTACACGTCTATTACCATAATCGCCCTCAATTAAATCCATTTTAGTCATAACATTAATATGAGGAATTTCTAAATTAACCATAGCACTCATCGCGCTGAGTACTCCAGAAAAATATTTGCTTTTATCTTCGATAAATTGTGATTCAAGACAATACACGCCACAGACATTCATATTAAGGCGATTAAGAGTTTCACAAAGACGCTTCATAATAGGGAAATGAGTATATAATTCGATTTGTCCAGGACAATCAAAGATCAAATAGTCATCGTCATAAGATCCAATCTCTTCTTCAAGCCAATCAATATTATTTAACAAGAACCTAAGCGTGAATTATTATTATTATTTTCTCTTTTTTGTAAAATACAAATATCGTATCTCTTACTCTAAACAATAGATCAAACCACCATTGGGTCCATAGTCCAATTCTTCCATAACATCTTCTAATGTGATCAAATCTCGAATATCGATAGTTGGCTCATATTCGAAGTGTTCTGCAGCAGGATCTAAGTTGACTAAATGAACTTTACGTCCAGCTGTTTGGCAGTGTGTCATTATGGTTGCACAATAAGTAGACTAAAGTATAACAGATCTTGATTATCAACACGATCGGATTCTTCTTTTGAAGATTAAACAAATAAGCATATATATATATATTTTTCTTTACCTTGCCACTACCAGCTGGTCCCATAACTAATTGACAATGACGACCCCTAATACGAAAATAAAAAATTATTTAATCTCTATTATTTGATCTGAAATAGTTTCTAATTTACATTATTGTTAAATAGTAATGTCAATTTAAAACAATGATAAAAAATTATCTTTTTTTTTTAACTGCGTATGAAGTTTATTTTTATTTATTTATTTATTTTTTTTTTTTTTTTTGATTTTTCATCACAAGTCACTTAGGGCGTCTCATGCTTATATCAACTCAATTATTTTAAGCTTCCGTTTCTTATATTTATTTAATGATAAATACTATAGTTTTCAAAAAAAAAAAAAAAAAAAAAAAAAAAAAAAAAAAAAAATGATAGACTCATTTATTACATTACATTTTTGGGTGTTTTTTTTTAAAAAAAAAAAAAAAAAAAAAAAAAAAAAAAAAACATATATTCATCTATAAAAAGGCATTTATTTGAAATTAAAGATATACATATTACAGGGAAAAAAATAATATTAAACAACACCATCAAATCATTCTTTATTTTCTTTTTTTCTTGGCTTCAAAATTAGCGGCATCTCTCTTCTTTGCCTGTAGACGAGCAGCTTTATCTGTGTTTAATATATCTGATTTACCAACAATTTTATTCAAAATATCCAAGGAACTATTCTTTTCGGCTTTCACATCACCAATGGTAGGGCTAAATTGATGAGTCACACCCTTCATCTTTGTTTCACCCTTTAACTTGGCATCAAATTTACCAAGACTAGCTGTAGCCTTCTTGGATGCAGCAATAGCTGTTTCAAGTTCATTCTTTTTAAATTCTTTGATATCCTTTTTACCTGCCAAGGTAGCCGCAGTTCTCTCTTCTTCATTACGACGTTGACGTTTCAAATTCTTTTCCACACGTGCCTTCTTTGCCTCACGAGCCTTTGCATATTGATCCTCCATAGGGTCAACATGATCAGGAACAGGCAAAAGCCAATCATCCTCAAGTTGATCTTTATCCTTAGCTTTATAACCCCAACGAGGTTCATATTCGCCAGTTTCTTCGTTGAATACCATACGTTCACGTTTCTTATTTTGAATACCCTTCGCTTTAGCAAACTTCTCCCAACGAGTAAGAGGTTTATCTTTAGGCAAAGGCTTTTCACGAGGTAAGGCTGTTGTACGTTCAGGTAATTGTGCAAGAACTCCTACATCGGTACTATTTACAGGTAATTTGAAAAGTTCATTGACAATCAATTGTGTATTATCTCTTGTTAAATCTAAAAGATATTTTTCAACTTTATTGTTATTTCTATTATTTTTTTTTTAAAAAAAAAAGAGAGTTAGTTTCCATCGATAAATAAAAAAAAAGACTTTCTAATATCTTCCAACACATTTCTCTATCAATATACATGTGTATGTACTAATCTTACTTTAATGTCTTTTCATCCAATGCATTCGTATCAAAAGCTGATAAAAGGTTGATATCTAAATCGAGTGGAACAAGTTTTTCGACTGTAATGGGCTTGCTGTTGATTTAAATGTATATTTATATATGTATAAATATTTATAAGGATATAATCTATTAGTGATCAACTTCTACCAATGGTCTTTTTTATTTATTTTTTCAAGACTTGCAAAAAAAAAAAGGTAAACTTACAATTGCGCTTTATGGGACTCTAAGATCTCGGTAACATCCATCGTAGATTATAGTTATAAAAGTAAATGACAGAAATTTTTTGACTTCCCTTTTCTATTTTAATAAAAAAAAAAAAAAATAAGGCTTTTACCAATTCCCCTGTGACTGTTTAGTGACTTTTACCGGGAACAACGACTGGATAACAAAAAAAAAAAAAAAAAAAAAAAAAAAAAAAAAAAAAAAAGAACTTAACAGAGTTGTAGAGTTTAAAATAGTGTAATAACATGATACTACAGTATTTATCACCTTAAGACTCGAGTGAGACTTAAATAAAATTTACATTAGAATTATGTAGCGTTATAGTCTATCCGGAAAACAATATCCTTCTTTCTTTGACTATTTTATCGGGTATTAAATTACTAAATTGGTGTATTTTTTATTTATTTATTTATTTATTTTTTCGAAACTGTCTCTGATCCAGGTACATATTTTAATATCCTTCATAGACTCAATTACTTTTTTTTTTCAGCATAAAAGAAAAATCATCCTCTACTATCGTCATAACCAGTAAAAAGATATCTCAATTAGCCTTCCTCTTCCTATAACCATTATATGTCTTATAACTATTCACTCTCATCATTTTTTTTATCCTTGATCCTGAAAGGAATTTTTTTTAAATAATCTTTACTTTTATTAGTTATATTAAATGAAAATAGAAAAAAAAAACTAAGTACAACAATATACAAATCTAGATAATAATACTCAACGATTTAACTTCATCCATAAAGTGGATAGAACAATCTGAAAATAGTAGAAACTCGGTATATATATTAAATGTAAGCTTGGTATTAATAAAAGAACTAAGTAAAAGTAGCGAACACATTACGTTGAAACAAAGAAACTACTTTTATTTTATAAAGGAAAAACAACAACAATAACAACTACATGATACAATAGTAAACATGTAGAGGACCACATAAAATTATGATATCCACAAACAATAGTTGTTATAAGTAGTATGTCAAATAAATACAAAGACATTTTTTATATCTAGAACTTGTTTTTATCATCATATGAAGAATACCATTTTAAATTTAACCTTTCAAGCTTTAAAACTATAACTCGAAATAATTTTAAAAAAAACTTGGAGAAATAAAAAAAAAGGATTTTAATGATTTTCATTCTTCTATAAGGATACAGTTCTTGATTATTTGAAGTACTGGAATAACTGATGTTTATAATGAAATTTACATGAGTAACTCAACTGAATGTGTAAGTCAAAATATAAAATGTTATAATAAAGACTTATTTTGAGTATTAAGTTTAATGAGAAAGGCAAACTATAATAATATGCTATTTATCAAAAGACTGTATAGGTATAAGCGTAAGAACAGGGGCTTGACTAACTCTGTGATAATTATAGGTATATCAGAGGTACAGTTTATAATAACAAAGAATATAGAGACAAGTAAAAGCTAATAGTTCTAAAAGTCTTTATTATCAAATGATGGGTATTTAAATGAGATCAGAGGAAAGCATTAATTATGACTATCGAATAATATATATTTTTAGCACTGTTAATGAATTGTACAATGCTCTTGAATAGTTTTATAAATTAAGAAGAAGCAACTAAAAATCCTTCTTTCACATTATTTGTCCAGATACTCTTAATCTGAACAATTAAATAGATGTAAAAATTCTTTATATCTGCTTGTCAAGATTATATTATTGAGTTTATAAAACTATATTAATAACCCTATCCGCTTTCCATCATTGCAGTCCTCTGAAATATTCTAATAAACTACACAAAGTTCATTGTAAGCTTGTCTTTTTTTTTTTTTTAGCTTAAAGAGTCTGAATGGTTGAATATTCTACATTAACATTTATAGAGCGCTCACAAGTAGTAACATTAAATAACTTAAATGTTTAAGCATTAATTAACATTTTAGGATATTCTTTAGACTCTTTTTTTTTTTTTTTTTTTTTTTTTTTTTTTTTTTTTTTTTGTGTACCAATTAATTCTTTGTCACCAACTAACCAGTAAACTCAATGGCATTTTATTAGCATTTGTGGTAATTTCGATTCTTTTTTTTTTGAAAAGCCTACTATATTTGTTTGATTCTATTTCAGTTATCATTAATGACCTTTCTTAAGTTTGTCTTTGTTATTTTCTATATCTTTTAGCTAAAAACATAGTTTTTTTTATAGAAAGATTGCCCTTATTTTTTATAAATTATAAATTAATGTACACTTCATTTATTTATTTTGGGTTCGAAAAAAAAAAACTTATTCACTAGTTCCTTGACAGGCGTCTTGAATTGTAATAACTTGAAGATTTTTATGATAAAAAAAAAGAGGGGGGTAAGAAAGTTCTTTATGTAATACTACTTTGTGCCTATTTAAACTATGAAATATTTGGGACGTTTTTTTTTTTACTGATAATGAGCCATACTCTCTTTCACGTCCGCACTTTAATCCTAAGAATTATGTTATAATCTTTGTATCTACTAGGATATATCTAAACTGTTCTTATAAAAACACTCTGCTGCGTCTCAACTATTTGATCACTCTCATTGACAATTTGGGCTTGATTCTATTTTTAAGACGTGTACTCACATGTTCACTCATTCATAAGAATTTACTTAATCCATAGCCTTAAATGACATTGTTCTCATCATATATGATCTTCCCTCCCCCACCCTTGTCCATTTTCATTCAAAAGCTGGCTAATTTTGACACGATGAATAATGAATACTACCATCAAAAGTACTAATAAGAAAATGTGTGTATGTGTTTTTTCACAACTCTGTAAAAAAAAAAAAAAAATGAGAAAATATTCAGTTGTTGTAGTGAAACGACGACGACTGCTGCAAATGACTCTTACACTTAATTAGGAATTCTGACTCATTGTTCATCATAAAAGTCAAGGTCAAATTCAAGTCCGACATAATATGCTATCAATCACTTGTTTAGTTTTATCTATTTATAAAAGAAAAAAAAAAAGAAACCAAAAAAAAACGATATGATAGCTTATGGATTGACTCTCTCATGGCAAGATATTCGAATACAGTTTATTGGATATCTGGGTGCTCTTGTCTAGTTCATGTTATAAAGTTAAAGTCTAAATAGATTTTAAGAAATAGTTGATTTAACTCGTCGGTCTTTGAATTTAGTGTTGCTCCTTTTTTTTTTTTTTTTTTTTGACATTATATAAATATGGGGTAACATTTTTTGTTTTATTTTTATTTCCTTCTATTTAAATAATAATAATAATAATAATAATGGTTGATAATAAAGGAAAGGTTCTTCTTGCTTACTCTGGTGGTTTAGATACATCTGTCATTTTGGCATGGTTGATTGAACAAGGCTATGAAACATTAGCTTATATTGCTGATGTGGGTCAAGAAGAAGATTTTGAAGCTATCAAAGCCAAGGCCTTGAAGGTGGGTGCTTCCAAGGTCTTTGTTGAGGTAATACAATTTATAGATTGTTAGGAGTAAACAGATGAATTGATTATTAACAAAACGTATGATTATAATAGGATCTTAAGGAACAATTCGTCAAAGAACAAATTTTCCCAGCTATTCAAGCTAATGCTATTTATGAATCGATCTATCTTTTGGGTACTTCTTTAGCCCGTCCCGTCATTGCTCGTCGTCAAATTGAAATTGCTGCTCGTGAAGGATGTCAATATGTATCTCACGGCTGTACGGGTAAGGGTAATGATCAAGTCCGATTTGAACTTGCTTATTATGCTTTGAAGTCAGATATTGAAGTGATTGCTCCTTGGAGATTACCAAGTAAGTATAAAACAAAATAGTAAGATACATCAAGAATGCGAATATTTATATGTGTGTGTGTTTTTTTTTCATAGTTTTCTTTGAACGATTTGCTGGTCGAAGCGCTCTTTTAGACTTTGCTGCCGAAAAGGGTATTCCTGTTGCTCAGACGAAGGCCAAGCCTTGGTCTACAGATGAGAATTTATTCCATATCTCTTATGAAGCCGGTATCCTTGAAGATCCTAATGTCACACCCCCCAAGGAAATGTGGAAGCTTACAGTTGACCCTGAAGATGCACCTAATACACCAGAACGTATTACGATTACTTTTGAAAAGGGTATTCCTGTAAAGGTAGTGAATCATAATGATGGTCATGAAGAGACAGAGCCTGTGAAGCTTTTCAGTTATCTTAACACAGTGGCTCGTCGTAACGGTATTGGCCGTATCGATATTGTCGAATCTCGTTTTATTGGTGTCAAATCGCGTGGTTGTTATGAAACTCCTGGTGGTACTATTTTGCGTACTGCACACAAGGATCTTGAAGGTTTAACATTAGATGGACAATTACGTGCGATGCGTGATCAAAATATCACTGTTCCTTACGGTCGAGCACTCTATAATGGTCAATATTTCTCTCCTGAATGTGAATTCTTATCAAAGTCAATTGCTTTCACTCAACGAAATGTTACAGGTGATGTCAAATTGAAACTTTATAAGGGTAATACAATCGTGGAGGGTCGCGTTGCTCGAGGTGATGGCGCTAAACTTTACAATATGCAAGAATCCTCTATGGATGAACAAGGTGGCTATAATCCTCAAGATGCTGATGGTTTCATCAAGATTCATTCCATTCGTCTTAAAAAATGGACTCCTGCAGAACAATAAATGATTTGTTCCCTTTTAAAAAAAACACACTTTTTTGTATATTTACTGAACCCCCCCTAATCTTATTCCACATAAAAAAGAAAAATAAGAGAGAGACCTTTTACATACACTTGCAATTTAATTTCCCCCAAAAAAATCCCATTATTATTGTACGTTAAATAAAGAAACCTTTTTTTTTTATATATAGACTGCTTCAAATTAGTTTTTTTTTTTTAAATCTCAGTAAAATCTATTTACTGTCTTTACCATCCCCCCCCACAAAATTAAAAAAAAAAATTCAAACAGAGATACTAAACATTTAAACGTATTTTATGTTTGCTTTACAAATGTCATTAACAAATACTTTTTATAAATGATAGATAACAAAAAAAAAAAGGAAAATAGATATGATAAAGAAATACAAGCAAGAATACAAGATTACACTATATTCTTTTCGAATTTTTTTTTATTACTTTATAAATGTTTTTTCATACTATATTATTATAGGTTCTATTTAACTAAATATCTTCTCTTTATAATTATCCGGGGGGAAGAGAGAGAGAAATGAAAATAAACTAGCGGAGTTGGCAGATGACGCATCTGAAAACAAGCTTTACTTATTAACTTTTATCCACATTTAGACAAATTTTTATTAAAATATATACATGTATAACACATATTAACATTCAAAAATACTTGGTATTCTAGTGATAATTATAATTAAAGAATAATAAAAAAAAACGTAACTTACGTAAGTTGTCAAGGTGATTTTCGATGAATTCAATCGGCCCTGGATGGTTATTTCATCACCCCCGCTTTTTTTTTTTTTTTTTTTTTTTTTAGCTTTTCTGGGTTGGACTTGCTAAATTTTTATATTCATCTATCTTTTTTTTTTTTTTGAAACTCCAAATCCTGTCCCTCTTCTTCCCTTTATTTACCTCATTGTTTGATAATGTTCTTGTCTCAGACTTCTTCTGCCGCACTTAAGGCTACCGCTTGGTCCTCTCTTAAGGTAATAATAATAATAATTATAAAAAAGGATGACTTTATTGAAAATAAAATAAAATAAAACATTTACAACTAAAATAAAATAAATAAATGTGTCATTTTTTTTTTATGTAGGCCAACGCTTTCCGCACTATTACCACAGCCACTCCCACTATTACACAAGCCTTTAATGCTCAAAAGAACAGCAATGTATGTCTAAAAAAGATCGTTGACAGTACAATTACTAAGTGTATTCTGATTGTTTATTTCTGTTTACTTATTTTTTTTCTCTCTCTTTTTGTTCTAGGGTAATTACCTTGTCACCTTGATTCCTGGTGATGGTATTGGTCCCGAGATTTCACGTTCAGTTAAAGATATCTTTGCTGCTGCAAAGACACCAATTGAATGGGAAGAAGTTGATGTCACACCTATTATTAAAGATGGCAAGACTGCCATTCCTGATGAAGCCATTGCCAGTGTTCGTAAGAGTACTGTTGCTCTTAAGGGTCCTCTTGCTACACCTATCGGTAAGGGTCATGTCTCTCTCAATTTGACTCTTCGTCGTACTTTTAACTTGTACGCTAATGTCCGTCCTTGTCGTTCTGTTGCTGGTTACAAGACTCCTTATGAAAATGTCGATACTGTTCTTATTCGTGAAAATACAGAAGGTGAATATTCTGGTATTGAACATGAGGTAAAAAAAAAAAAAAAATGCAAGAGAGGAGTGTATGCTTCTTTTTTGTTTAAAAAAAAATATATGTTTATTTTTTTTTTCTTGATGATTTTGTATAGGTTGTTGATGGTGTTGTTCAGTCTATCAAATTAATTACAAGAGATGCTTCTGAACGTGTTGCTCGTTATGCCTTCAGTTATGCTGAAGCTGTTGGTCGTAATCGCGTCACAGCTGTCCACAAAGCTAACATTATGTAAAGTACAAAAAAAAAAAAAAGTATTTATTATTCATGTTATGAATGTATAACTTACATTTTTGTTTCTTTTAGGAAATTAGCTGATGGTCTTTTCTTGGATGTCTGTAAGCAAGTCTCTAAAGAATTCCCTAATATTAAGTTTGATGATGTTCTCTTAGATCGTGCCTGTCTTCATGTAAGCAAAATAATAATAATATGGATATAAAAATATTTATATATCATGATTAGATTACTTCTGATCCTTCTATTTATGGCGATACTGTCATGGTTATGCCCAACTTGTACGGTGATATTTTATCTGACATGAGTGCCGGTTTGATTGGTGGTCTTGGTTTAACACCTTCTGGTAACATTGGTCGAGATGCTTCTATATTTGAAGCTGTTCACGGTACTGCTCCTGATATTGCTGTAAGTATAATATATACATATATAACAAAAAGAAGAAAAACTAATCTATAAAACTATGTACATATCTATATATATATATATTTTTTGTTAGGGTAAAGATAAGGCTAACAGCACAGCACTCTTACTTTCCGGTATCATGATGTTGAGACATATGCGTTTATATGAACATGCTAATAATATTGAGCATGCTGTCTTCAAAACTCTTGCTGAGGGTAAGGCCTTGACAGCTGATTTAGGTGGTAAAAATACTCTTTCTGAATATACTGCTGCTGTTATTGATGTAAGTTTAAGATGAGAGGAATATTGAAAACAACATAGATATCATATTAACATATTTATTTATTATACAGAACTTGAAAGCCTAAACATATTTAAAATTTAATAATAATAATAAATATGTGTGCTATTTTCCTTTGTCTTGTATTAAAAAAAAATAAATAAATAAATATATAGAATAAGAATTATGTGAAGAAGACTAAGATTATAAAGATAAAAAGAAAAAATGAAAATGATTATATCTATGAATATAAGCATGTTGACTAATAGAAAAAATAATGCGTATATGGCTTTTTTTTATGGTAACACCAAGCATGGACAAAGTTGCAGACAAACAAAAATAATATTATTTGATAATCAAATAACATTGTATGCATAACTATAATATCATTCGGTCCTTCAGGACTCTGATCTGTATATGATAAGATACTGTGTAATACATCATTATATACACAACACCCATGCATTCAAAGAGTCTTTGGTGGCTCCGCTCACTCCTCTGTCCAAGTGATGCTTCACTTAACTTGTCTCTCTTCGATAAAAGAAAGATCTCACATATTACTAGCTAAATTCCTACTACGCTCCCTCTCCTTGCCTGACGATGCTCTTCTTACGAAACTTCTACCTCACATCCGAACCTCGTCAAGCAGATCACAATGGTATACGCTATCTAAAACTCTACTATGGAAGACCTGTCACCCTGAACTACACTCCTAAGATCACAACCGATTTAGAAAGTTACAACAACAATTTTTACAAGATAACTTAAATACACATCGTAGTGCTCGAAATAACTCTATACTCCTCTCTCTTTGCAGACCTACTATATCTATAGATCCTATCCTTTGGTTACTGATGTCCTTTGTTGAACGCAGTCAGTGCATACGATAGCGGGCTTGGATGGCTCTCAAACGGTTACTCCATATACTGCCCCACTCACCCATCTCAACGCCTCACTCGACGACATGCAGTCATATGTCTCCAAATGCACCGTCGGTTACAGATACCTGAAACTATAGAAGGTCCCTTATCCTTCCTTTTAGATCAACTTCCCACCAAGAAGCCTGCCTCATCTCATTCCGTCACCCCTTGGCACATTCGATGGCCCTCCATCTGCCTTATCCTTCATAAACTTGACCAGTTACAGCATAATAAGCCGATTCTTCCTACCCCCACCCAATCCTGGTAAACGTCTCCTTAGATTGGCTTCCTCCTTCTCCTACATTACCTGTATAATTTTTACATTGCACCTATCACATCCTTCATTTCCCTTACGTTTTTCCTCTTGCTCTTAAAGAGGTATTTTCGTTCCTTATTCCTTTAAACTGATCCGGCCTGGGCAAAATTGATGTATTTAATAACATCTCGTGCTCAAATGGGGTCATGTATTTTTTTTAAATAAAATCTACTGTTTAATCGTATAGAAGATTCATTACCTGGTATTTGGAATATGCATGCAACAGCTGTTATGAATCAATCTGTATTATCTACTTTTTATTGAAAATGTAACCTTGCATGTTTACCCTACTACTACTACTACTACTACTACTACTACTACCACTACTACTACCACTACTACTACTATGACATCACTACAACAAACTACTCATCTATTATTAAATGAATGCTGACTCTATTGTTTTTATTGTGAACACTTATATCCAAGAACACCTTGAACATATTGTGAAAATGATTGTTATAGAAGATTTACCCTCTTTATATCAAACTACACAATCTTATGTTTAATGGTATTTTAGCTCATTTTAATCACCATTTTACGCTCTATTACTACAATCAGCCTTATAATACAAACAACTATTACCACCTTAAATAGCCCATATTTGAACAATTCTTCTGAATTTATTTATTATTTAGAGTTGACCATTCCATCATTTCAAAAAAAAAAAAAAAAAAAAAAAAAAAAACTTCTCTCAAAGACTGTATTTTACTTGCAAGAGTGAATTATTAAAAATAATAATAGAAATAATTTATAAATTAGAAGTTGACTGGATAACTACATTAGACATGTTTACATTTCTTTCAATAAAATACTCTTCCATTCTTCCTTTAAAATAAAGTCGATGTCTATTCCCCTTCTTTTTCGTATATCTTTTACTTTCATAACTTTCATCACCTGGATAAGCCAAGTAGAAATTAAATCCATTCTTAGCTTCCAATGAATTAGGTTCTACTCGATGACTTTGAGGTAAAATGGTTATAATTTCATTAGTATGTCTTGTTCTAAAGATGTCTATTCCTGCCTTTGTTTTTAGATCTCTATAGTCTAAAAATTCTTTTAATACAGAAAGTGAATACCATTGAGGAGGTATCAAGACTATCTTTTTCTCTTTTTGCTGTTCAATGGCTAAATATTTTTTAATAGAACCTTTATCATTCTTGTAAAAAAAAAAAGGGAGAAAATTACCTTCTTCTGGTTTTAACCATTCAAATAAAACTGTTTCTTCTCCATCTGCAGTCACAAAATTGAAATGTAAATCTTGTTCCTTTTTTGTTTTATATCCTTCCAGAACAGTTAAAAAGAAATGAGCATCGTACCTTTTCTTTTCTATGATAGGCGTTATCCAGTTAGAAAAGGGAACAAGTTGATTTGTAGCGGGACGGATGTTATAAGTTTTGCACATTACTTTAAATTGGGCTGCATCTTTGTGCACTTTATCTCTCCATATGTTAATGTTTAAATCTTTAATTGTATGAGCTGGTGGATTTGATAATAATAAACCAGATTCTTCAAATGTTTCCCTAATTGCACAAATTTTGTTTGTCAATAAATCGCCTCTAATAATAATAATAATAAAGGAGGTTTAATATTAACATTTGACAAAGTTTTTTTTTTCTCCCTTTTACTCTTTCTCATTCATGTCTTTTTCACACCAATTTAAATAATTATCTGCTTCATCAACAACTCCACCAGGATAAACGTGAGCATTTACAAAACTGCTTTTTGCATTTCTATTATAATTTATTTGAAAAAAGTTGTTTAACTTATATATACATCTATGCTATAACGTAATTTACAATTTGCCTTTTCATCATGAGTATTTTATAGTTACTACCATCATTCTTAATTCCGTTAGTAAATAGTATGGGAGCTGCAATAATTAAAGAAGCTGAGGGTCGGATGAATGGTTTTGCTAAAGTTGACATTAGTTGTACTGTTTATTAAACAAAAAAAAAAAAAAAAAAAAAAAAAAAAAAGAGAGAGAGATGATAAAGGGGAAAGTTCATCTTATTCATAATTTTGTTACACTTCTTTGTGTCTTTATCGTGTGAAAAAAAATAGGAATATTTAAAATGGATGAATAAGCATCTCCACAATGTTAATTTTAAAATTAGGACATTCAATATATTAAGACTACAATATGATTCTTTTGCTCAACAATGTGTGTGTGTGTAAGTGTATGTGTGTAGGTGTGTGTGTGTATATGTGTGCGCTTTAGAGAATAGTTGATAACGATTTAAACATAGAAAATACATATTTCAATATTTATATTATATCTTCAAAGAAGGAAGATGAATCTTTATTATTTACAGTGCTTTGAGTCTGTATTGATATCTTCATTGCCATGAATACGTTTACCAAATTTAACAAGTTCAATAGAACCAGTCAAGTCTTTGTTTTTATCAAACTGATTTACTAAAGTTTGAAGATCTGCGCTACGAGAAGCACTAGCTGGCCATACATTATCACTAATAAAAGAAGAAGAAAAAGAGTAAGAATAGGATAGATAAGCTAGAATAGAATGAAGCTACTTACGGATAACAACATTGTAATTCACGACGCGTTGTCAAGAATCGTGTTAAATAATCTTGTTCACTTTCATTCTTCTTTCTAGCACCTGTTAAAACTAATATGCGTACAATATTAATATCTGGTTCAACATATTGAAATCCATGTTGAATGATAGTATCTATTTTATATATACATATATATCAGTCATCATTACTATTTACTTATTTATCTATTTTACCATAAAATATAGCTTTTCCAAGAGCAGACTGAATACCATTTTGTGCTGCATAACGAGCACTAGGTAACATGTAATTTTCATAAACCCATTGACGTTGAATTTTAGCAAATTCTCCATTTTTATTACAAGCTTCTGATTTCCAAGCAGCACAATAACCTTCTATACCCTTTGTAGATCCACGATTTGTTCTATCGCAATAAGACAATTGACTAATTTCATGAAGTCTGGGTAAGAAGTGTTCAAGTTTATTATTTGGATGATCCTTAGTATACGCTTGAATCAACGTTTCAGCATCTCCTGTACCAGTCTATTTATATATAAAAGTGGTATACAAATGTTAAATACATATATACATTTTTATACATTTATTTATATGGCTAAGGAGAATTAAGCTCCCTTTTTATTTACAGTAAACCCAGCATAGCCACTTGTAAATCCTCTAGAATCCTTTATATCCTCACAATAACTACGTTATGTTATATATGTTAATGCATAATTTCTTGTATAAATAAATTGGATATTTTACGCATATGCAAAGTTGGTATCTCCATCTTCAAAGACATTAGTAATCATACTAGCCATTTTAATCAGTCTTGAATCTAAACTCTTAACCTCAGGTAAATCACTTTGATCATAAAATGTTGTTCCGTTTGTTGAAACTATACAGCCTTTCTTTAGAGCCTATAGTTAATCATGTTAAAGATAATAATAATAATAAAATTGACTTATAGAATCTATTTATACCTCTTTGCTTGTTATAAAGTTAAACTTTTTACATAAACCTGAAGTTGGATTAAACTGATTACGACAGTTTTCATAAACATCAAATTGTAAAGTGTCAGATATCAATAAGAGAAGAGGTAATGTAATAGTAATTGAAAGAAACTTCATTTTTTTTTTAATATAAAGTAGCAAAAAAGAAAAAAAAAAGAAAAGAAAAGAAAAGATAGATTTACCCTTACTTATATACTTCCTCCTTTTATTTTCTTATATAAAGGGATTTACTCTTAAATCTCCTTAGATTTTCTTTGTCTATGAAAGTCGTTTGTTTTCAACATTGTTCATTATACTTTAAAAGATGTATATAAGTTTGTTTTATTTTATTCTATTTTATTTTATTTTTTTCAAGCGGGACATGGTCATGACTAATTTTCTTTGCAATATTCAAGTAAATCGATAGTATATGTATTCTTTTGTTTTAATCATATAACTACCAAAGAGTATGAATATCACTATTTAAACAATTCTAACTTAATGATAAAGGAGAAATAGATCTTAATAAAGATGGGAGTATTTCCCAAAAAAAAAAAGTAGGTATATTAAACTCTTCCTTAGAAAAGGTAAATGGTCTCCTCTAGTGGAATAAAATAAAAGCTCCCGTATTATGTAAAATTTAAATGATTTTATTATTTATCAATTCGTTTCTAATAAAGGAGATAGTGACGTTAAATCAAATCAAAATAATAATATTTTTTTTTCTCCTCTTAATCTTTACTCTACATCCTCGCAATAATCTATCTAAAATGATGCATTTCAATTCTTAGATATAGACTATTCAAAAAAAAAAAAAAAAGTCGATGATTGGAATCAATACTATTCTAGTTCAATGATTCCATATATTTGCTTACAGAGCTATATGTCTATATTCACCTCAAGTATTTTTTTAAATAATTACAATAATCCTATAAACGTTTATATGAACGAATTAAATAATTTATACCATCATTAGCATTTAATAGTGTTAGTTTTTTTTTCTTGTTAAATATAAAATAGAACTACAAGCATAGCATAGCCATTTAATTTCATTATTGATATAGAATAATATAATAAATTACATTCTTTCTTTCTAATAACATTTTAGATTGTCTTTTTTATTATAATCTCTAATCAACATAAAATATTAATCTTTGTAAAAAAAAAAAAAAAAAAAATAACAGCAGTCTGTTATTAGAGCTAAATTAGTAAAAATATTTATAACGAAAAAACAAATTGGATTATATACTGAAAAAGAAGGGAGGAAAGTAGCTAACTTTAGCAGTAGTGCTCCTAAATGGTTGCTGCATAATTCCATTCATGTGTGGTTTGTGACTACTCGTGACTTTTATTTATGTGAGATGTGACTGTTTATTACATAATAATGAACAGTGATAAAAATGGGGGTGAAAAAAAAATTTTAGACTTAGGTAATCGCCGAGCAGATTTCGCGCGATAATTGACCTAGGACTAGGTTGTGTAATCAAACAATGAAAACGGTTAATTATATACACTTAGGGAAGGTGGTGATGTTTATTTAACATGGTCCGTGTTGCTGATACGGAAGTAAGACCCCGTACGATGCAGAAAACTACATGTTTCTGAACCTTTTTCTTTATATCATATTATATTCTTTTCGCATCTTTTTTTTCTATCTCTACTGTAGTAATGCTATAAATCTTCTAATAAAATAAAAGACATCATTTTTTTTTGTAATGTTCATTTTTAATACAAAGATGTTGACATTAACAAGAAGAAAAAAAAATAATTAAATCGAGATCTAAAAAAGGTATGACAAAATCATTTATTTATTCCATTAACAGCAGTAGCCTAGTATTAAAGAGTTACAATTTAAAGAAAATAGAGTGATAATCTATCATGACTTAAAGCAATCTACTGCGTGCTTATTTAAATAGAAAAGTATTTTGACACTTTGATCATGAAAGTGAATTAATTTCAAACAGCGCTTGCTTATTAAAACTTTTTTATTTTATTTCATTTGATTTTTTTGATTGTGCATTTTTTTTTTCTATCCCTTCTTTTTAACATAATAATAATATACCACATAATTCTCTAAATGATTAGATCAGGAACACAACAGAAGCCATTTAGCCCAATTCGAAGAAAGGTATTTATATATAAACTTGTTTTTTTTGTATCTGATATTAATATTATTAAGACTTTATATAGACTTCACATGATAATACATCAGATAGCAACAACACTAAAGGAACTACTATAAAAACTTATGACAATAAAACCAGATTGGATTCACATCGTTCATCAACTAGAAATGGAACAAAACGATCAATATTAACAAGAGGATATACTCAACCATCAACAACTAATGCTAATGTAATCAATCGTAAACGTACTATATTATCTGATTCTTCAAAGTAAATCCTGAATGAGAATTATTATTATTTTATTAAAAAGAAAAAACGAATAAATTAGTTAACATCTTGATTTTGTAGTCGACCTATTAAACAATGGACGCTAGATGATTTTGAAGTTGGCAAAGCGCTTGGAAAAGGTAACTTTGGCCATGTTTATCTTGCGAGAGAAAAAGAAAGTGGATTTATTGTGGCACTGAAAGTGCTTTATAAATCTGAGCTGGCAAAAACTGGAATTGAAAAACAACTTCGACGTGAAGTAGAGATACAGGGTCATTTACGGTACAAAAAAAAAAAAAAAAGTGTTTAAATCATATTTAATATAACTTATAATATTTTATTAGACATCCAAATATATTGCGTCTCTATGGTTATTTTCATGATAAAACACGAGTATTCCTTATACTTGAATATGCAGCAAAAGGAGAATTATTTACAGAATTACAAAATAGGGGAAGATTTACAGAATCGGAAGCAGCAAATGTAAGCCTTTTTTTTATTAATAATTTTAGGTATATTTTTAAATTATACTTATATTGCACTATAGTATGCAGCACAAATGGTAAATGCATTATTATATTTACATCGTAAAAGAGTGATCCATCGTGATATTAAACCAGAAAACCTCATGTTGGGACTAAACGGTGAGCTCAAGATTGGTGACTTTGGTTGGTCTGTAAGAACTGGAAGGCTGGAGTAAAGTATTCTGTTTCAAAGTATAAAACCAATACTTATTTTTTTTTTTTGATCATAGTAATCGAAGAAGCACATTATGCGGTACATTAGATTATTTACCTCCTGAAATGGTTGAAGGAAGAGCACACACTGAAAGTGTTGATTTATGGTCCCTAGGAGTACTATTATATGAACTTATTGTTGGTAGTCCTCCTTTTGAGGATAATAGCAATAGTGAATATGATGAAACATATGAACGCATTCGAAATGTTGATATTCATTTTCCAAGACATGTCAGTAAAGATGCTGTTGATCTGATAACTAGGGTAATTCTTTTCATAAAGCAACTATTTTTATTTGTCCTAACTTATATAATAATAGTTACTTAAATATAGCTCAGTAGAAAGGTTACCTTTAATACAAGTTATGCATCATCCATTCATTACAAAACATACATCTGCTAAATAACCCTTCATTTATATATTAAACCGCAAATTGCGTAGTTTAAAATAAAATCTTTCATATAACACTAAAAACAATTTTTTTTTTTCGTTCTTTTTTTTTTTTTTTTTTTTTTTTTTTTTTTTTTTTTTTTTTCTTATTATTATTATTATTTATTAAAAATAAAAATAAAATAAAATGGCATCTTATCATCGTTCAAGAAGTAGACACAGATCGCCTTCACCAAATAGTAGCAATAAAAGGCATAGATATTCTTATAGAGAAAGAAGCCGTTCTCGTGACAAATATAGATCCTCTTCCCATCGTCATCATCATCACCATCATTCTTCTCGTTACGACGACGATAGATATTATTCTTCGTCCTCAAGACATCGACACGATAATGTAAGTGTAAATGATAAAAGAACCCATTCACGTGAGCCAACATCAAGAAAAGATGCTGTAGGCACATCTTCAATGACTTCTTCACAAGAAACCCATGTAGTAAGTATGAAATAAATTTATAATTGAATAAATTGTCATTGACTTTTTTTCTTTTTACACATATACATATATATATATACATATATAAAAGAAGAAAGTAGCTACACCAGCAACTCCAGATTCACCTTCCACTTCTTCCATTACAGATGCTGAGGAAGCATTACGTAAAAAACAAGAACGTGTACGTAAATGGAAAGAAGCTAAAAGATTAAAAGAGGAAGAAGAAAATAAAAAGAAAGCTGAAGGAGTAGGAGAAGAAGAAGGAGAAGGAGAAGCAGGAGAAGAAACTAAAAAGCAGTCTGCAATAGCTACAGGTGGGAAAGAAGCAGAGGAATTGCAGATGAAAGAAGAAGCAGAAAAGAAACAACGCGAAGAAGGGGAGAAACAGAGTTCCGAAAGTCAAGAAGAACCTCAACTGTTACAACAATTTGCTGCTATAAAAAAGGCTGCAGCTGAGGCTGAAGCTCAAGAGGAAGCCAAAAAGCAATCTGAAGCTCAAGACGTGAACATGATTGAAGCGGATACATCAAATGAAGAACCATTAGAAACAAATGGTAAAAAAAAATGGAGTTTAGAAGATGATTACGAATCTGAAGAGGAGCACCCTATGGACGTAGACGACTCTGAAAGCAAGAACACAGAGACTGTTGAAGCTGAAAGAACATTTAAACCCCTTCAAAAAGCGGCTGATGATAATAAGGATGAGAGTTTAATTATAAACAAACCTAAAAAGACATTTTTAATGTCTAGCAAATCAACTAAACCAAAGAATGCCATGCAAATAGGCTTTGGGTTAGGCAAAAATAAGATGACAATTAAAAAGTCGTCTACAGCTCTTACCAATAACTCCAAAAAGAAAGATTCTACTGCAAATAAAGATAATGCATCTACCAATAAACCTATTGATTTAAATAAGAAAGATTCCGAGGAGGTGGATCCTTTAGAGGCTTATATGGCTGATGTTCAAGCAGAAACAGAGAAGATTAACGAAGAAGATAGAAAGAAACTTGCACAGTTAAACAAATCTTCAAAGAACAAAAAAAGTAGCTCAGTTATTGACGATGATGAAGAGAATACATTTGATAATGAAGCCAATGTTGAAGAAGAGATTGGAAGTGACCCAGAAGATATTCTTGCGTAAGTGTTCTCTAGTATATATAGATAAAAAAAAAAGCACAGAAAAGCATTATTAACACTTTGTCTTAATTTATCAGATTGGCAGCTAAAAGAGTAAAAAGAAAGGATATTGCTCCTGTTGATCATAGTAAAATAGAGTATGAATCATTCCGCAAAGATTTTTATATTGAACCACCCGAGTTGAGAGAGATGACACCAGACCAAGTAGACTTACTTCGAATTGAATTAGATGGTATCAAAATTCGTGGCGTTAACTGTCCTAAACCTATTACAAAATGGACACATTGTGGTTTACCTGCAGGCTGTTTGGAAGTGATTCGTAGATTAAAATATGAAAAGCCTACATCTATCCAGGCACAAGCTATTCCTGCTATTATGAATGGACGTGATGTAATTGGTGTTGCAAAGACAGGGTCTGGTAAAACAATTGCCTTCTTACTACCTATGTTCCGTCATATCAAAGACCAGAGACCATTAGAAACGGGTGAAGGTCCTATTGCAATTATTATGACACCTACTCGTGAATTAGCTACTCAAATTCATAGAGAATGTAAACCATTTTTAAAGGTTTTAAATTTGAGAGTAAGTATATAAGCTATTTTTAATATATGTGTAAGATTTAATACTAACCTTTTTTTAAAAAAAAAAAATTCAAGGCTGTTTGTGCTTATGGTGGTAGCCCAATCAAAGACCAAATTGCAGACTTAAAGAGAGGATGCGAAATTATTGTTTGTACACCTGGTCGTATGATTGATCTTCTCTGCGCCAATTCAGGTCGTGTTACTAACCTTCGTCGTGTCACATATTTGGTTATGGATGAAGCAGATCGTATGTTTGATATGGGTTTTGAACCGCAAGTCATGAAGATTGTCAATAATGTTCGACCTAGTCGTCAAACTGTCTTATTCTCTGCTACTTTCCCTCGACAAATGGAGGCCTTGGCACGTAAAGTCCTAAAAAAGCCATTAGAAATTACTGTTGGTGGTCGTAGTGTTGTTTGTGATGATGTGAATCAAATTGTTGAAGTTCGAGAAGAAGATAGTAAATTTATTAGATTATTAGAAATTTTGGGTAATTTATTTAATGAAGAAGGTGAAGAAGGAGCAAGCGCACTTATTTTTGTGGATCGTCATGAAGCAGCCGATAATTTGTTAAGAGACCTTATTAGACGTGGTTATCCTTGTCAATCATTACATGGTGGTAAGGATCAAGCAGATAGAGATAGTACAATTGCTGATTTCAAATCTGGAGTAACGAATATCTTGATTGCCACCTCTGTTGCTGCTCGTGGTTTGGATGTCAAGAATTTGAAAGTAGTTATCAATTATGAATGTCCTAATCATATGGAAGACTATGTGCATCGTGTAGGCCGTACAGGTCGTGCTGGTAATAAGGGTACTGCTTATACATTTATTACACCTGACCAAGATCGTTATGCTATGGATATTTGTAAAGCCTTGAAGCTTAGTGGCCAAGAAATTCCTTCTGATCTACAATCGTTAGCTGATTCATTCCAAAATAAAGTCAAGGAAGGTAAAGAACGTGCCCAGGGTTCTGGATTTGGTGGTAAAGGTTTAGAACGATTAGATAAAGATCGTGATCTTGTCAAGAAAATACAAAAGAAAGCATATGGTGGTGGTGATGAAGATGATTCTGATGAAGAAGAATTGGAGCTTAAAACTACAGTCGTCACTCCAGGTATTACAGCATCAGCATCAGCAGCAGCAGCAGCAGCAGCAGCATCAACATCAACATCAACATCATCAGTACCAACTTCAACCACTCATACAATGGCAGAAAAAAATCTTACACCTGCTGCTCTTGCAGCCAAAAAGGCAGCTGCCATGGTTGCTGCTCGTATCACTGCTCAAGGTGGTATGCATCCAATTGTTACACAAGTAGGAAATGAAGATGGTGAAGTGCATCCTGTATATGCAGAAGAAATCGTTATTAACGACTATCCTCAAAAGGCAAGATGGAGAGTGACGAACAAGGTATATACATATATATATATAATATACATTATATTATGCTTACTTATTTTATTTTTTTTTAGGAACAAATATCTCAAATTACTGAAATCTCTGGTGCTGCTATCACAACCCGTGGCTCTTACTTTCCTCCTGGTAAACAACCCACAGGTAATGAACGTAAACTATACTTATTTATTGAAGGTGATTCAGAAATGGTTGTGGAGAAGGCCAAGAATGAAATCAAGCGTATCCTAATTGAAGCAACTGCAGCACAAATGGAAGCAGATGCGAGAGGACTTGGAGGTGGAGCTGGTCGTTATCAAGTTGTTTAAAATTATTACGTACAATTAGCATATAAATTTGTTTGTTTATATAAGTTATAAATTATGATATTGTATGAATTATTAATATATCTTTGATAAATATACATAAAATATTTTCTTTGCATTAAAATTACATAAGAGAGAGAGAGAAAGTGTTCTTTATTTAAGCGCATAGTGTTTTAATGTATAAAGTAATACATGGCCTGCTCTATTAGCAATAGCCAAATAATCACTATTAGGTGAGAAAGCAACGGATGTGACATCATTAAGAGGTGTTCTGTCTGTTGGCCAGTTACTGTAAGCTGTAGCTGTAGGTACATGAATAATTCTTAATTGATCTCGCTTAGATTGACTAGAGATAACCATTAACTGTGAATCATGACTAAAGGTGATATTACTGATTTTTGTTGTTAAGTTCTGAATAGCCTTAATAGGTTTAGGGTTTGTAATATTAGGATCAAGAACAGATCTATCATAAAGATTCACGATACCAGATGATGAACTATTAAAGGAAAAAAAAAAAAAAAGCAAATATTTATGAATATCTATCTATTTCTCCCTATATAAATAATCCTTACCCTGCAGCATAATACTTTTCATTTGGACTAACACTAATAACAGTACCACCTATACAACCATCATCATGCCAGCGCTTTACACATTCTTTCTTTTGAATATCAAATTGGAATACTTCACCAACATTACTAAAACCAAAAATGAAATTTCCATCTGAAGACCAATCCACAGATTGAACAGAACCGCCAGTCATTTTCAAATCGCAGAACCACTTCTTTGTTACATAACTCACAATGATGATTGTTCCACTTGTACCTAAAAATGCAATATAACGACCACATGGACTAATCGAGAATTTTTCCAAGGATTTTTCCTCTTTACCCCAAATGCCAGGACATCTATCAATTACACCCGTCTGAATATCATAAATATAAAAGAATCTACGTCTGCCACTAACAACAATTTGATCACCAGAAGGATGAAATTCTGCATGGAAAATAGGCATATCTTTAAATCTAACAGATTGAATCTTTGGATTAATTTTGCCGTCAATTTGGAATAATCGTAAAGTTTTATCTAAACCAGCTGTCATTAAGACTTGTGCATTTGGATGAAAAGCAACAGAAGTAATAGGAATCTAATCAAAAGTAAACAAATGAATAAAAGCAATTATCAATGAATCTGTCTCTCTTATTACCTTAGTTCTTGGTGCTGTACGATTAGCGTTCTTCAAACGTTGGATATCTAATTTCTTGGCTGATATAGTTCTATTTGTGGATCTTCTTTCTAAAATGCCCATTGTACTCTTTAACAAATCAAGTCTTGTCTCATTATCTAATTCATCTTCATCCTTATTTGCATCATCATCATTATCATCATCATCATCACTATCTGCTGCTTTACGTTTTCTTTCTTCAGCTTTAATTTCTGATGGAAGTCGAGCCCAATTGGGTTTAGGATAGATTTTGTTGAATCTAAAAGAAAAAAAAAAAAAGACAAGCATAATAAAACAAATAAGTCAAAAAAAATCAAACTAGGGATCACATTTTATAAATAACTTTACTGTTTTCGTAATCTACGAGTGTATTCTGCACCATTGATAACATCTTCATCAACATCATTACGAAGTTTCTTTGTAATATTACTTGACATTAAAGAAATTTTTAAATTTTTATCATCTTCATCTTCCCATGCAGCATATTCATCCTCACTTCTATCATCATCGCTATCTTCATCTTCACTAATTTCATCAAGACTTGTTTGTTTATCATCATTTTCCTCTTCAGCTTCATAATCAATTTCATCATTAGTTGCTTGCTCACCAACGGTGGGCACATCAAAAGTAAATGTGACAGGTCCGGAATCAAAAAAGAAAGCCTATAAATATATACATAAGGGAATAAGTATTTCTTACTTGATTAATATTAATTTATTATTTTAACCTCTTCGTTTTCATCTTCGTCATCATCATCTTCTCCGCTTTCGTCTTTTGTTTGTTTATTATTTATATCAAGTTCATGACCCGTCTTATTCCACATGTCATCTGCATTGCTACCAAACAATAAATCCTCAAGCTCTTTTTCTGATGCGTCTGTCTTTGCTTTTTTGTTTACAGGTGCCATGTTGATAAATAAATCTTTTTTATTCCTCAAAGAAACAATAAAAAAAAAGGAAAGTATGCTGTAAACATATTTCTTGTAAAAAAGTGAAAGTATGAAAAAGAGTCACATACCTACCCCTTTTCAGAAATACAAGCCACGCAAAAATAATGTAGACCCAAAAAAAAAAAAAAAAAAAAGGGGGGGGCGGGACAATTTTTATTGAAATACATTCTTCAAAAAAGTTTAAATTTGCTTCATTTATAATAAATACAGCGGAGAAATTAAATCAATTATTAAAAAATAGATAGATAGTACCTTGTATAATACAATTGAATAATATAAGATACAAAGTGTATAATAAAATATTTTTCTGTTATTATTATTAAAGAAGAAAAGACAAAAAAGACAAAAAAAAAAAAAGAAGAAGAAAAAGTGAATTTTTTTGATGATAAAAGTTTAGATTTGATCGCCAAAACCATCTTTTCTGATATCAAATAGTCTTCCCATATCTTTTCCATCACGAATTAAACGAATGCTTTTAAAAGCATTTCCATTTGGACGTTTATCTTTCGTGACTTTACCATGATGGTCTAATATTTTAGTCTCTAAGGCAGTAGGTGTTTCAAAGTCTTCAAAAATGTCTTCATCTAACTTGATGGATATGCCAGAGAATCCACAAGCCTTTACAACCTATGCATGTATATATGATAAGTATGCGATACAAGTTAACAAAAAAAAAAAAAAAAAAAAAAAAAAAAGAGGAAATTTACTGTCATAGACTTGGAGACAACTACTTTTGATGCACTAAAATTGCGTTTATAAACAATAACATCTTGTTCACGTATTAACCCTTTACGACACATATCTTTTAATGTAATACTTTTGGATTCACTATTATTTATATAAAGTTATTTTTCTTTTCTTTACATATTGATTTAATAGTATTTGTATAAATATATTTACCCTGCAACATTATGTGCTTTATCTTTATCAGTTAATTCACTCCAATAAGGCTCAAAAGCAGTATCATCCTAAAATATGTAACAAACAAAAAAAAAAAAAAAAAAAAAATAGTTTTATACAGATTATATAAAATAATAAAGAAATGTACCTTTAATTTAGATTTTTTGGTAGATAAAGAAGAAGAAGGATGATTTAATCTATTAGAGGAAGATTTATTCATAGTTGGCTTATGAATACGATATGATGACGATGATGAAGTAGTGGATTTGTTACTAGCCGTGCTATTATTCCTAGTAGATGTTACTGGTGGAGATAAAGTTAAGGGAGGAGAATCAGCTTGATCTATCAATTCACTCTGACTCAGCATTGCCTGCCATTCTGTTAAGCTATTCCAGAAAACAGGATTTCCTGCTTTCGAAAAGAAATTACTGTGACCATTGCCGATTTGACATTGATAAGGGGAATAAGGTTGATTATGATAATAGTTATAATAGTCTATATTATGGTGATTTAAATAACTGTTGCCTTCATAATAATCATTTTGATGATTTAATAGTGTACTTTGATCTATCTCTGGTACTAATGAACACAGTTCATCTCTTTTATCCTGCGATAATAATTGGAATGTAGACATATTAAATACTGACTTTTTGTTTGTTTGTTATATATATACATGTATATAAAAATAAAGATGAGTTTATGTATATAATATATAATAATATATAATAATAATACCTCCAAGTCAATGGATGCTAAAGGACTACAAGGATGCGTACATAAATCATCCAGTGTCCAATTTGATTCATAGCGAGGTCTTTTATTGTTATTATCTATTATAATATCATGTCCCATTTTAGGAGAGTGAATTCTAGTCTGATTTGTATCTAATGGCCCTATTATTTCTTGCTCAATGTGACTAGTCTCTTTTCTTTTATTACAAACAGCATTCATTATTAAAGGATGTGAAGAATGATACATTATTTTATATGAAAAAGAAAACAAAAACAAAAAAAAAAAAAAAAAAAACAAAAAACAAAAAAATATACAAAAATATACAAAACTAAAATATATAATATATAATATATAATATATAATATATAAAAATAAAATAAAAAATAAAATAAAATAGAATAAAATAAAATAAAAAAAATAAAATAAATAAGATAAATAAAATAAAATAAAAAAATAAAATAAAAAATAAATATTCAAGGAGTGAGGGCTAGATTAAAAGAATTATAACATATCATAGTTATAAAATATTAAAGCGAAACAAAGAAGGAGTTGAAATAATTAAGGGTTAAAAAGGGGGGGAGGTCAAATTAAGGCGTGTGATCGATGTCATCCAAATAAATTCTGTACATTTTCATATAAATAACGAGAAATAGTAGCTTGTTATGTCTTCTTTGCTTGCTAGCTAAAAAGAGTTCATCATCATTGACTAGCATGAATAAGCTTATTAGTATAGTATAGAGAATGAGTTCAATATGCCATTGTATCATTATTATTATTGAATGTAGTATGCATGTCATCTCATAAAATAGTGTACATTCTTCTTCTTTTAATTCGAAAACGTGATAATGCTGATCTATAAATATTTAATGTTTTGCTGCTACTGTACATTAAATTTATATATATTTGTATTTTCTTTTTCCTTTTATATTCATTGCTCTATTTCTTCTTTCTAAAGTATACTTACAATAATAAAGACTTGCCCCTTAATTTACATAACTTGTTTTTGTTTATATTTTATATTATAACGCGTTTATATATGTATATATTGTACATTATAATCTCACATTTAATTTATATAAGCTTTAAATAGATTGCAACTCGTTTGTTAATCTATTTCTTCTACTATAAATTTTATCAAGAAAAAAAAAGTACATGTAGATAAACTTCATATAATGATTTTGACCATGATTTTCTTTCATAATAGTCAAATGAGCGTTAAATATGTATATATATATATAAGTAGACCTATCCAAATCTATTCAAATAAATGAGACACTATCACTACTGTCTTTCAGAGATCAGGGACAAAGTATAAATAGAGATTACTATATATGCTCGTATCTATTTAAGCTATTGAATGTATTAAAGATTGGATCTAAAATAATAAGATCAATTTGTATTAAAAAGAATTGATAGAGTATTAACATAAAACAATGGATTCCAAGTGCTCAGCAATATATCCCATTACAGCATTTAATCTTTTTCAATTACTTTAAATGTAGGGTTTTATTGATATTTTAGCAATTTGACAAATAATATAGTTATACTCCTAAGTTATGTGTATTTGATAAAATTGCTATTAAGTTCTGGGCTTTTTATTACTGTATCATTCAATCAATCGAGATAAGCTTGAGATTGTTAATGTGCTAATATTTAGTAGTTTAATTTAACCCTAATAATCTTTTTTAATTTTCATAAATATTCATAGGGTCTTGTTTGTACTTATTACCAGAATACAATTAAATCCCTTCTTATTCTTTATTAAGAACATTTAAGGTAAGGTATACACAGCAGATAAGGTTGAATCCTTTTCTCGTATTTTTTAGACAATACATTTACGTATTATTATGAGCTCATTTGATAAAGTGCTATGATTTGACTTTAACAGCATCGATATTATTATTTGAATTCAATATGATATATCTAGAATTCTTTCTTATTAATGAATATACTCGCTGAATTTGATACTTGGATACAGGAAATAAACAAATAGATAATGATAATAATAAAGAAAATTTTCGAATATTGTACAAAAAGTAGATCAGCAGGAATAAATGCGTTCACAAATAGTAACTAACAACCAAAGGCTGAAGCAATAATGTTTATTGGACAATATTTTCGGGGGGGGGAAATCCTTTAAAGTTATACAGTTCAATAATAATACTGAACCAAGTAAGTAAACAAAAAAAAAAAAAAAAAAAAAAAAAAAAAAAAAAAAAAAAAAAAAAAAAAAAAAAAAAAAAAACATCATCAAAAATTCTTTACGCAATGTCTGAACAGATAAAATGACAGTTATGATATATATATATATATATATTTTTATAATACCATTTTCTTCCAAGTGCTACATAATCTTACAGTCAAACACTGTAGTAAAAGAAATTTGACGAATGTATCTTTTTAGCAAATGGTAAACTTATTATTTGCAAAACCCTTAGTTATCTTTGAAGTAAGAAAGTAAATGTCCAATAAGTGTGTACCTTTTTTTTTGTCAAAAATAATGGAAAAGAATTGCTATATTAAGTAATTCAAATCATAGGAACAAAAAAAGCTTTGTACACCGACCTGCCACAAAAGAACTCTTTATGCATAAAAGCTCTGATAATTCAAAAAAAAAAAATCATTTTAATATGCCTCTGTTAATAGACAAACTTATTACTGAAAAAACTAATATGCATATTTTAATATACAAATGAATATGATTTACATATATTAAAATTGTTATATGCATAATAGAGAGTGTCTTTTAGGTTACACAGCTAATTACTATTTATGTGTAGAAAAATCATCTTTTTTTGGTGTAATCCAATAAATGCAATTAAATTCTCATTCAACCTTTTTTTTTTCTTCTTATAACACAAATATGTTGAGTAACAAAAAAAATAAAAATATGTTCTATTATATTCTTTTTTTTTTATGTATAAAATGTGACATGTAAAAGAGAATGCTAACAAATGTATATATGGATGATGTTGCATACAAAGTAGTATAAGTACAAAATGTATATTATTTAATAAATGTCGAAAGAAGGAAAAAAAAAAAAAATTGAATATTTTAACTCTGTAATTTATTCTTCCTTCTTTTCTTCAGTTTTAATTTCAGCAGCAGCAGTGGGAGGTACTTCACCATTAGCCGCCGCAGCAGCAGCCTTAGCAGCTAAAGCGGCTGCTCTCTCAGCCTTCTTCTTTTCTTTCTTTTCCTTCTTAGGATTCACTTTTTCAACAGGCTTAGGTGCAGGATAAGCTAATTCTTCCAATTTCTTCATTTCAGGATCCTCAAAGGCCTTACGGATAGGTTCCAACAATTCGTTAATAACCTCAATCACACCTGCCTTTAAATCACCGGGATGAACGACTTTGTCTGCAAAATCCTTTTCTAAATCCTCATAATTATCATAAACCATATTTCCACCATATTTCTCAGGGCGAATACAAGTGAAGGTTGCCTTGTTACCGTTAATAGTCTTAACAGGGAAATAAACATTCTTGACAAAGGCCAAGAGACCGTTCTCTTCAATATTGCCTTCCTCACAAAAGGCCTTTTTAATCTTCTTTTGAACATCCTTTGCACTATCCAAGAAATCAATCTTAGAATCAGGATCTGAGGATGACATCTTTGAACCTGCTAAACCAGGCACCATAGGGTTCATCAAGTGGATACGCTTTTTGTAACCCAAGAGGGGGAGGTATTTCTCGGCTAAAACAAAAATCTTACGTTGATCGACACCTCCAAATTGTGCATCTACACCCAAGTATTCTTCATCAAGAGCTTGCATACCAGGATATAACAAACCAGATAAAAGAGGGGAAGCCACTTGTTTAACAACTTCTGCACCGGCTTTTTTAGCATCGTGTTCGGTAACAAGAGCAGATAAACGGAAGTTATCCATGCTGTATTCTTTTGATAATTCGTAAGATGAGCCGATAACAAATTTAAGCTTCTCAATAGGAACTCCAAGAGAAGTCAAGACAATCTTAATAAGTTGTTCATAATATTTAGCACGATGTTGCACAAGCTCAAGTGGTGCTTTCATATTATCAAGGAAAGCGTGAATATCTGCTATAAGAATTGTCATCTAATGATTATTACTTCAATATCTATATGACTATCCTTCTTCGTATCTATTTATATATATATATCTTACCTCAACACCAGCTGACAAAAAGTCGGCAATTTTACTCATAGGTACAAAGTAGCCAATGTGTGGTCTACCAGTAGGAGCAGTGCCCCAATACATTTTAAGATCACGCTCTTCAAGAATCTTCTTTAATTCATCTCCTCCAAGAACTTCTTGAAGATTACGAGTAATAAGATTATACTTTTGCTCAGGTGTAAGTGACATTCTTAACAAAAAAAAAGGGAGTAAAGACAAAAAAGAAAAAAAAAAAAAAAAAAAAAAGAGGTCGAAAGAAGTGCTTTACTAACATTAAAAAAATATGAGTCATTGGGTGTCTTTCTAAGCCACTAATGACTATTTTTCTTTTATTCCAATTCATTGTTGATTCCGGTTCCTGTTTTTTTTTTGAAGCAATTGAGCGCGGATATTTTATATACCAAAATTTGCTTGAACCAATGCAGAAAATTAAAGGAAAAATTATTGAATAAATTCTTTCCACAAGACCTCTTAACGCTTCAACACAAAAAGGGGAAAAATATTTAGAATACACTTTAACTTTTTGTTAATATAATGAAGCCAAAAAAAAAAAAATATTTCAATGATCAATTAATTGATAATATATTAATCACAAATTACATCGATTTTGATTGATCTCAATTACTTTACAGAAAACAAAAATCCGAATAGTAAATTAAACTAATTCTCCTTTCACAATATATAAAAATTATCCTTTCTTTTCATTCTACATATAAACGAAAAAAAATATACTCAACTTCCAAAATCCTGAAAAAAAAATAATTGAAGGTTTTAATCGAACAACAAAATAGGCTTCTAGTCTATATACAAAAACAAAAAAAAAATACTTTTTTTTTTCAAAATAATGTGAATATGACATTTTTTTTTTAATTGAATTTCTGTGAATATATCGACGTTGTTTTTTTTAAATACTTCAATGTAAATAAATCTATTTAACGGAGACGACGAGCTTCACGTTCAGATTCCAAGAGACAAAGGATATCATTTTCACGAACGGGACCCTTAACGTTACGGATAATAGAACGGTTGGTATCATCCATGAATTCAACACGGACTTGAGTGACACCACCACGAGAACCAGTACGACCGAGGACCTTAGTAACTCTAGCGAGCTTAACAGGAGTCTTTGAGGAATCCTATAATGATAAAAAAAAAATTAAATATTAATTAGTAACTTTTCCTTGTATAAAACAAATAAAAAATCTCTAAGAATGTTGGCTTTTTTTTTTGCGAAAATTGCTAAATAACATGATGTAAAACATTCAAAAATTGAGTTTAAGAATTGCAAATGTGTAAGTGTGTATCTATCCATTTGTTTATCATACATGCATCCATCCATTGTTAATACATCATTTTTGTTGTAAAAAAAAAGTCATCTTAGAGTTCTTTATTCGTTGTTGTTGATGGGGGGTATCTGCTATGTACATACCATAATGATTGATTATAGAAAAGGAAAGAATCTGCACTTTCTTTTGGCTGTTCATTCGCTTTTCCCTCTTCCCTTTCTTACCTACAATGCCACCCACCCGCACATGAATGAGAGAAATAGAACTCCGATTTTTTTATTTTTTTTTTTTTCCTTCACTGTTACTACCAAATTTTTGAAACGACATTATAACACTGTCCTAGTCAGATCAAATAAAATAAAAATAAAGACTAAATATCCTCTTGATAGTCAAGATAGAAAAAGGTAAAGAAGAAGAGATGAAGAGGGACTTTGGTTTTTTTTTTTATTCTTGTTAAAGGATATTCGGATAAAGTTAAGACGCTTTCAAAGAACTTTTTTTTTTTTTAATAACTAATATATTACATGTAAGTATTAAATGTATTTCTGTAGAGAGACAGGAGACAAGAAGAAAAAGGAAGTAAATATTAACATTTACTATTATTTTTTTAAACTCTTAAATAAGAACCATCCTAGATTCTGAAATACTAAAAATTTTCAACTTGAATAAAAGGAATAATACTTGATAGATTTTCTGCTGCGATAAGTATAAATAAAATAGTATAAAATGTGTTTTCTTTCTTTTATGTCAGATTAAATACAGAGGCATATTGTGCAAATAAATTACCCTTTTTCGATGATTGAAGCTAGGCCAATATGAATAAGCATTTGTTAAAGGAAAAAAAAAAAAAAGAGGGGGTTAAATAAGACTAATTTATAACGCTTATTTGTAGAATAACAAAGAATGCTTGGGATGCAAAATTAATAATAATAATAATAATAAAAACATGTTCTATCTAACGCTGTAAAAAAAAAAAAACATAAAATCATCTAATTAAGCCTATTTCTTATACACATTGTATGCCAGGTCTTTACTAGAAAATCTAAAATATTTCTGATATAATCTGTCCTAATTCCAAGTTAAAAGCAATACCAAAATGCATGAAATAATACAAAAGAATGATTGGCTTATTTTTATTTTTATTTTTATTCATTTTTTTTTTTAAAAAAAAAGAAAGATCTGCGTCACACATTTCTGTAAATTTTTTCAATTAAGTCTGGATAAATTCCTTTCTCTTTCACCCTCTTTATTATAAATAACGACGATAGATAAGCATAATATTAATTACATACATACTCAAATTTAAATTCTATCACCTAAACGCGTTTCCTTCTCCCTCCCCCATTTCTTTTTACTATTTGAAACAAACAAAACAAAAAAAAAGAGCCAAGTTATATTCACATACACATTTATATACAAATATACATAAAGAGACGACATGGAAAATAATACCAACACGACAGAAGAAAATGCAACTAGACAAAGTTCTAAATTTTCTTTAGATTCTTCGCCTTCTATATTAAGTGCTGATGACCAACTAGAAGGTGATGGTCCTTTAACTCCTACTGATAAAATGGAAGACGACGTTGAAGATGAGGATGACGACGAAGTACCCATTAAACATGCTATCGATGACGATGACGACGATTTATCTGCCTTAAATAGTATCTTACAAGCTGGCTCTCCTGGCTCTTTATCGGAAGAAGAAGAAGAAGAAGAAGAGAATGATATAGATGATCTGCATCAGGATTCCGCATCTCCACTTTCTTCTATACCTGATGATTTTCCTCTCTCTCGATCACCTTCACCTGAAATACCTCAAGAAGAAGAGCTTGAATTAGAAAATAAAATGAAAGAAGATTATACAGACAATACAGAGACTAAAATAAAAAAAGAAAGAAGGAAGAAGAGGATGATGAAGAAGAAGAAGGAGAGGAAGAGGATAAAGAAGCTCTGACAGGGAAAACAACAAGAAGACCTTCAGAATCAACTAGTATAAATACAAGAAAGCGACGAAAAGATGATAACGCTCATAAACAGAACGGTGATTCTGTCATTTCTAATGAATATAAAAAAGGGAAAAAAGAAGATAATGATGATGATGACATGATAAAAGATACAAATTCCCTAAAGAAGTCTAAATTGATTGATGAATCTATATCAACTGAGACCAAAACATTAAACGATAATATCAATGGTGATAGTAGCAGCCATGAGGATACTATATCTAAAAGTAAAAGACGACGCGTTTCTAAGAGCACATTAGAAGTAACTGAGATAACGCGATCTCGTAGAAGACAGAGTCGACAAGAAGAAAAAGAAATTATATTAGAAAAAAAGATAGAGGAGAAGACTGAAGAAAAGCAAGTCATCAAAGACGACTCTCAAGATAAAGAAGAAACGAAAGATACCTCAACATTAAGTGAGGAGACGATAGAAAGAAAAGAAGAGGAAACAAACAGTTCTGAACAAAAAGAGTCAGACTCTGTTATTATAAAGAAAGGTGAAGAACAAATAGAAGAAGGAGTGCCAGAAAATCAGAAAAACAGAAATCAAGATATTCAAGGTAAAGTTATTAAAGCAAACTTTTTTTTTTATATTCCTTTTCCTAATATTATTCATATTCTATATGAAGATGATGTAGATTATGATTATCAGCAAAGACATAAGGAAGCACTTGATGCGTTGACGCATATTGAAATAGAGTTTGCAAGATTAAGAGACAAGTAAATTTATAAAGAAATTCCCCAAAAAAAAAAAAGAGAGAGAGAGACAGAGAGAATGGTTATTAATCTATTGATTATAGAATGTATCAAGAGAAAATGTCTGAATTAAATGAAGAAGCTATTATGATTGCTAATGGTACACACCCTGAATTAGTAGCATTAATGGCAGAGATTGAAGAAAAGAAGGGAAGAAGAATACATAATGCAGAAGCATGGAGAAGACATCAACATGCTAATTTTAAACAACAATTTGAAGGTTTTGAATATCAAGCCAATATTCATTTTATAGTAAGTGTCATATTTATAAGGATACCTATTTTCATTTACTAATTTTAATAGTCACAAAAAAATGCTCTGCGACGAAATTTATTAAGCGACATTAATAATAAGAAATGGACAATAGAAGATGAACGTACAAAATTAAATGATCCTTCAAGAGGTAAAATGTTGATTATTATATAATTTAATAGTTTAGTGGGTTCTAATTCGAATATTTAAGGCGATAAATTATTTCCAGATGGACATGAAATGGTTTTACATAAAAGAGAGCAGAAAGAAGAAATAGGAGATTTACAAGATATTAAAGAAGTGATTGGATTTCCGATGGCGCCTAACCCAACTGGACTTAATTCACAAGACATTGATGATGACTTAAAATTATTGGGTATAAATAACAATCGTCATTTATTATAGATTTGCTATTATTCTTTACATATATATAAATATATACCCTCTTGAATGAATATGTAATAATTTCATTATTCATCGTATGTGCACACATTTATAAACAAAAAAAAAAACAAAAAAAACTAAGCTTACACGTGCAAGGCGTACTTATTTAAAGAAAGTTGACTTGATTCATATTTGTCTTTTTTTTTTTTCTAATTCTTATTCTAATTCTTTTTTTTCCTCTTTTTCCTATTTATTTTCTTTCCTTTTTATTATGAAGACAAAAAGCCTACATAATTTTACTTTACCGAAAAATATTGTATCAAACAATGCAGATAATGATTCTTTTTCAAGAGATCTTTTACGTCAATTCGATAAACGTAGATCAAGGTTACACTTTGAATTAGGGTTCATATCTCAAGTACGTACATTCATTTCTTTTAAGTGGTTTATATAAAGAACAGGAATGAAAGAAGGAGAGATTATATCAGTAACAGATATTCCAATATGTCTGAATGCGTATGTGTATGCGGGAGGGGAGGGAAGAAGATGAAAGCATTCTTTACCGTGGAGGAAATCCAATTAAGGCAATTTGACATTTTTTTTTTTTTAGGAACCATCACCGGAATCTTCTTTAATTCAAACACCACAAAGCAGTAACGACTATAGTGATCAAGAACCAGTTCAGTTAGACCAAATAGAAGAACAACAACAACAAGAACAAGAACAATATAATTATAAAACATCCAACACAAGTAAACAATCATCTACAGCAAGTGCTTTTTTGCGTAGATCATCCGCCTATTTAAAATCAAAACTTGATTCAATAAGAAAAAATAACAAACCGAATCATAATGATGTCCAACGACCTAAGCCAACAAGATTACTAATGAAAACAACAATATCTATTCCATCAACTGTGACAAAACCCAAAACTAATCCTTCCGTTATACCACCATCACTAACAACAACAACAATCACTCAATATCCTCCAAAGCCACTTGTTTATTCGCCTATTGAACCTATTATAACCCCTTCTGAGGACAAAGAATCAACAAAACCTCTGCTCCATCGTATTTCTATGCCCCTTATTCGTGTCTACCATGACTCTTCTACTTCAATTATACGTCATAAATCTATTGCTTCCTTTGTTAATCGTAGAAGAAAATCTGAACCTGATCAAAGAACGAAAAAAAAGTTTAAAAAAGTTGGAAAGTAGTTTATATATGATACATTTATGCTTTACTATATGCTCCATTATTACTGTAGTCCTACTATTTTTTATTTTTTAAAAGTATCACTTTTTCATGTAATAATCTTTTCATGTACATGTATAATTAATATTTTCATTTTCATTTTTCATTAATTTATAATTAAAAAGGATTCCTTTTTTTTTCTTTTCAAAAAAAAAAAAAAAAAAGTAATCTAATTTTTCCAAAAATTGATCAGAAAGTCTTTATAACCCTCTGATCATGATTAAATTTTAGTTGGGTTTCGGCATTTATTCATCAGTTGTAACTTCACTTGAATAAGCATCTCCCCTATGAAAAGGACAAAGAAAAAAAAAACATGTTTATTTTTTTTTTTTTCATTTTTATATTTTATCGTGACTGCTATAATGGTAGGGTCTCCAAATATTCTTTTTAGCATTTTTTTTTCTTTTTTTTTTTTATTGATTATTTATTTATTCCATTATATATTACATAATGGCTACTGACACGCAACATATTTGTCTTACAGAAGGTTGTGGTAAGCCTGCCACACTCAAGTGTCCTGTTTGTATCAAATTGAAGCTTGAAGATGCCTATTTTTGTTCTCAAGATTGCTTTAAGAAAAATTGGGTAACAAAATAATATTAGTCTCTATTATTTCCCTTTTTTTTTTATGATACTAATTTCATTAACAGTCAAAGCACAAATTAGTCCATGACGCTAAATTAAAAAGTACAATCAACATAAAACGAAATTATGAATAATAACTTATCTTTTTTTTTTTACTTTTAAAAAAAAAAAATTAAGGTGAACCTCATGATCCTTTCCCAAATTACCGTTATACTGGTGAACTCCGTGCTGTTTACCCTCTCTCACCTAGACGTCATGTACCTGAACATATTATGCGACGTAAGAAAGAAAGAAAAAAAAAGATATATATAAATATAAAAGAAAAAATTATAAATAACATGTGAACAATTTACAGCTGATTATGCCGAAACCAGTATTCCTGTTTCCGAACAAAATGTTCGTATGAGTTCCACCATTAAGGTTTTAAATGCTGAAGAAATTGAAGGCATGCGTAAAGTTTGTAAGGTAAAAAAAAAAAAATAACAGAGAGGAAAGAAACTTGTCAAAGTAGAAAAAAAAAACCTAATTCCAACATAATTTATATTAGATTGCTCGTGAAGTCCTTGATATAGGTGCCGCTGCTATTCGACCTGGCATCACTACAGATGAGATTGGTAAATAAATAAATAAAAAAAGAGAGGGAGGTTAATTTGTATTAATACTTGTAACTATAGATGAAATTATTCATAATGCCACTATTGAACGTGGTGCCTATCCTTCACCTTTAAATTATTATCAATTCCCTAAATCTGTTTGCACGTAAATATATGCATCAAATGAGAAAAACAAAATTCAAATAACAATATATGTATATATTTGTTTGTAGATCTGTCAATGAAGTTATTTGTCATGGTATACCTGACAAAAGACCTTTAAAGGATGGTGATATTGTTAACCTCGATGTTACATGTTATTATAATGGTTTTCATGGTGACATGAATGCTACTTATTGCGTTGGTAACGTCGATGAAAAGGGTAAAAAATTGATTAATACTGCTAGAGAATGTTTAGAGAAAGCCATTGCTATGGGTAAGGAATATGTATATGTATTCATATATTTGTATATAATCATAATTACTAATACTCTTAACAGTTAAGCCGGGCATTAGATATCGCGACTTTGGTAAAGTCATTGAAGAGCATGCCAAAAAGAATGGATTTTCTGTCGTTCGTACTTTTAGTGGACATGGTATTAATCAACTTTTCCATTGCGCACCTAACGTGCCTCACTATAATGGTAACTTTACAAAGATATATAACTTGTATACACATGTAGTTATAATCATTTGTTTACTGTAGGTAATAAGGCTGTAGGTATTATTAAGCCTGGTCATTGTTTCACTATTGAACCTATGATTTGTGAAGGTGGCTGGAGAGATGAAATTTGGTAAGTTAAAGAAAAAAAAAATACTCTTAATATATCAAATTAAACGTTTTTTTATTTTATTTTATATTTTATTTTCAAGGCCTGATAACTGGACTGCTGTTACAGTGGATGGAAAGCGTTCTGCTCAATTCGAACATACTTTACTTGTTACAGAGAATGGCGTTGAGATTTTAACAAAATAATTCCTCTTTTTTTTCTTTTTCTTTTAGATATCTTAAATGTTTATATATAATAGATTAACTAATAGTAGAAAAGTTTATCTTCTTTTTTTCCTGTCTTGTGTGCATATTTCCTTTTTTTTTTTTCCTTTATGATTGATGCTAAAGGAATAGAATGAATTACTATTCATATCTAATTGCTTATTTATAGCACATGTATTATTAATTTCTAATGCAAATTCATTTTGAACAATATACTTGGGCTGATTTCTTATTACATATAAAGAAATCATTGAGATATTGGAATAATGATAAATTTTGGTGCGACTGAAAGAGAGGAGGGAGTCGAGAATAGAGACATAAGCAGCAAAGAGATGTTTGAAAATAAGGGTATGGAGATAATGAGACAAAGAAGGTGTATAACGTATAAGAAGAGAATAAACTGGTGAGATAATATGTGTATAGATGTAGTATATACGAGTTCTATATTGTATTCCTATAAAATTCAGTCATTCTTTAAGGCCTTAAGAACATAGAAAAAAAAAAAAAGGTAAAAAAAAACTAAGTATCAAATGAACAACTACTAAAACAAAGAGTAATTATTTTCACTTAACTAGCACTATACACTCAACATACGCTTCGATTAGGCTTACTTTTTTTTTTTTTTATAAGTTACATAACTTCTTCTATGCCATGCTTATTATTTATTGCAAAAATAATTTACTTTCCGCGATTTGAAAATAAATTCAGTAAAGTTGTCGATTTTATTTTTTTATATTTAAATATTCATCTTACAACTATGGACGATCCAAACGCGGATACAGAATGGTAAATTCAAAAAGAGAATAAATAAATAAATAAATAATAATAAAAGAACTTGGAAGTTTATAACGATTACTTTATTTTTATAACTGACTTGATATAGGAATGACATTTTGCGCGCAAAAGGTATTTTGCCTCCGAAAGATGAGAAAAAAGATGACGATTTAGAGGATGCATTTGTAGAAATGGTTAAAGCTAGACAGGCTAAAAAAGATAGTCTCGAAAACAAGGATCTTGATGAACTTGAAGAATTAGAAGATCTCGAAGACGATCAAATTTTAAACGAATATAGGTAAAAAAAAACTCCTCCCAAGTTAACAAAAATAACTCTATTGAATCAAGTATTCTGAAATAAATAGACATAAACGAATGATGGAAATGTTGGCACAAGCCGCAAAAGAAAAATATGGTGAATTAACAGAGATATCCAAACCTGATTTTATTAAGGAGGTTACTGAAGCTAGTAAGGAATGCTATGTGATTGTTCATTTATATAAAGATTAGTAAGTTCTTCGTATGTTTTGACTAATTGATAAGAAATGTGTCTGATTCTGTAATTATTTATTTTAGCATTCCTGCTTGTAGATTGATGAACCGCTGTTTAACTGAATTAGCCTTGCAGTTCAAAGCAACCAAGTTTGTAAAGATCGTTAGTGATCAATGTATACCAAACTTTCCTGATCATAATGTGCCAACTTTATTAATTTACGGTGAGGGCGATATAAAAGCTAATCTGGCAGGTGCTATTCAGTTTGGTGGAATGAAAATGACTACAAAGAGTAAGTAAAACTTTTACAACTATATACAAACAATATGAAATGTTGCTAATGCTAATCGTATACAGGTATTCGCGCTCTTTTGGCTAAATATGGGGCTGTTCCTCCTGAAAAAGTAGAGGATAATGATGACATTGATAAACAACCTAAAAAGTCTATTTATCAATCAAAGGCTACTGCTGCTCTTAGTAGTGACGAGGAAGAGAGTGACGATGATAGAGGATATTATTAGACTTATTTTATATAAATAACAGCAATATCTAATGTGTATAATTAAAACCTTATATTGTTGACGCATAAAGCATAATAAGACTGTTAATCTATTTTATTTATGCTTATCATATTCATTTACTGTGTTATTTTCTTAAATCATCTATTGTACAAAGTATGTGTGACTCGCATACATGTAGTCTTAATAACCAGTCTATTTTAATTTTAATGCCGTCCTTTTTTTTTTTTTTTTTTTTTTTTTTTTTTTTTTTTTTTTTTTTTTTTTTTTTTTTCCTTTCTTTCTTTCTTCCCTTTATCTTCATCTATAAAAATAGAGTGCCTTAGTGGTTCTTTTTTTTTTTTTTTAAGATATGAGTTCAAGGAGAAATAATAGCTACAATAATGTTGGAAACTATAATCGAAGTACCCATAGAGGCCCTCCTAGAGAAAGGAGTCAAAGACAAATATTAAAGCCTAGTTATGGTAAACAAAAAATAAAATAAAATAAAATAAATCTACTAAACTAAATAATAATAACAACTTCTTTCAAGTAGAACCTAAAGTGAACGAATCTCGAGCAATTCAACTTATACATCAAATACTTGATGATGAAGACGACAGTTCTTTTTCACTTCGAGTTTCTAATGCTAACCAATTATTACAAATGTTGGAAGAATCACGAAACACCATTTCTGATTCTCTGGAATTTAGACAAGAGCAAATGAAATTATTAGACATTTGTATTCACGATGAGGGATTATGTCGCATTATTGAGTTTAATAAAGCACCTTTGTCTTTAAAGAATACAATGGCAAAAATAGTTTCTAGGTTGGCCTGTTATACTCGTTTAGATCTTGCTTTAAGTTGGATCTTTGACAGATTGTCAGTTTGGCAAACACACGAGTATCCTAATTCAGATAATAACAAAATTTATGAATGGAAAAAATGGCTATTACGTTTATTGAAGCAGGTAAACTTAAATGAGGCAATATGAAGCATTCGAAGGTTATGGATATATAACATATAAATAGATTCTTGTTGATTCTGAAGCAGATCAGTACACTTATAAAAAAACACTTGATATGTCACCTACAATTTTAGCTGGGATAATATCATTTTTGAATACTATGGATACCTCAGAATACATACCCGTTATATTAGAGATCCTTATATACTTTTCAGAAAATTATAGAAATTTATTTGGACAACGTTTTAAAGTACATTGAAAAGAATTCATTACAGAAGAAACAATCATGAACACTAATAGTAATTCTTATAATAGAACATTATTGATTTACTCGTTGGATGGAATATGGATCCTGAATTACCTGAATCAAAGAAATCGATTATAATTGCTTCTTACAGTAAATTCTCTGATTATTGGACCAGCTATCTTCCTTTTGGAGCTGAACTTTTAGGTCATTTTTTAAATGATATGCAATACATTATTCAAGAATTAACAACTTTACCAAACACCAATGATGAAGAATATAGGAAAAGATGGCAATCATGCTTTAATCTTTTAGAGTAAAAAAAAAAAAAAAAAAAAGAAAAGAAAAGAAAAAAAAGAAAGAGAGAGAGAGAAAATACCAAGTATTTTTGAAGAATATATTTTCTCATTTTTATATCTTTAGATGCTTTCAGGCCATCTTAGATACTTTACTTTCCTTACTCTCAAATTCCGTTAATAATTATCATAGTCAAAAGATGATTGATGCCTCTTTTTATAAACTATTTCCTGGATTACTTTCTCTTATGATAGATGCTCAGAATGTAATGTCAGATCCAAGATGGAATGAAATATGTAAGCTTCAGTTAGTATACATTTTAAACTATATAATTGACTTCTTTTTTTTATTGTATTAGCAAAAAATATTTTATTGACCTTGGCTTCTTATAAGTCTTCCAATTATCGGGTATATCAATATAAATTATACTTATATCTTATGGATCAATCAGCAAAAGATCTGGATATTCAAGGTCAAAAGCAATTCGAAATATTATTACGAGTAGGACATATATATATATATACATACATATTTATTATATATAACAATCGAAGAAAATTCGTAGAGTAGCTTATATTTATTGTTGTTATAGTTTTTAAGCTTATGGGATCATGATGTTAATGAGAATATAGTATATCATCTGTTAGCATCTGTTGACTCACCTTTATTTATTACGAGAACCAAACATAGAGATGATAGTAAAATGCAAACTGGTCTATTGAATATTATGCGATCTTTAATTAGAATGCCTATTTCGAACAGTATTCGAAATCAGATTAATCATAGATATATTAACGAACTTCATAACAATCAGTCCATAATTAAGCATTACTATAGCAAATATAGTATAAAGGAAAGAGAGGCCTTGAAGCGAACTACAGCCTTGATTGATCATAATGACGGCTCTGTTGCTTTTACTGCCCCAACAGATACTATGAATAATGCAAATGAAGTCATAAATTTAGAAATTATTATCAAAGATGCTTTATTTTTCAACTATTTATTACTTGATACAGCATCTGTTTGGTCCGATTTAAGTTTTGAAAATGTATTAACATCTTTAGAATTCCTTTGTACAGCATGGTACAACAAATGCAATGATATATTTAATTCCTCTTTTCAACTTTTAACAACTTATTGGACAAAGTAAGCAGTATTGATCATAATTATGATGGTTTATATTGATGACTTATCAATGAACAGTAGGAATTATATAATGAAAAATGAATATGAATTTGAAATAGTTTCTTGTTTGCTACTCGATTTGCTTGAACATTGGTCAGAGTTAAGTCTTCAAACGCGTCAATCTTTATGTGGATTTACCCAATCCATTTTTTCAGCTCTTGCCAATACTCAGGGCAATCACTTTGATCCTAAATTAAATTTTAAGCCTATTGTAATTGCTTTTTTAAATGCTTCTGGTAAATGACTTATATATACATATATATGTAACTGATTATAAACAATTATGCTAATAAGGATAAACTTTCTTTTTATATATTTAGATTTAGAGAGAAATAGTGATATAAAAGAATGTATTTTAAAGCTTATTACTTATTCTTGTCAAGCCTTTGGTTCAGCAGGAGTTATTGATCTCATTCTTAAACATGTCCAAAGAAGGTATATAAGAAGTTGAATATATTATTGTGAAGAGAAAAAAAAATTAAATGGTTTAATTATATAGTATCAACAACCCATATACTAAAGTGCAAGAAGCAAGTAAAAAATTACTTTCAGTTTTAAATCCTTTTGCAATTTCTGAAGTTAGTAATTATGGCGATAATACAATCATGTCTATTCAGGTAATTTGAAATAAGCATTATATTCAGTATTCATATTTCACTTTAATATACAAAGCAAGCTTGCTTACTATTCTTTTGATAGAATATTATGATGGCGACTCCTCATACAGGGTCATTTCGTCCAGTTCACTATGAGATTGTTATGAAGCATCTTGGTATGGCTGAGCATTTGGTAGGAACCAGTAATCATCATATGTCTATCTATTCAGATTATGAAAACTCATCTGAATGGATCAGACGTCTACTTCATCATTGTGATGGTATTGGCAATATAAACAGTGTGAATATGTTTCCAGAATTAAAAGGTAATATATAAAAATAAACTGTATTGAAGCCTTATCGCCCTTCTCACCATACTAATATCAAACTCAAATAGAATTAGGTCAACATAATATTGTTAACATTATCAATACTAGTGAAAATTTGCTAAGTTATTGGGCTATGTGGGAATCTGCAAGATATTGCGTACTTTCTCGATTGCGTACACCTTTTGGTGGTCCACAACAGGTAACAGTAGACATGCGAAAAAAAAACATTTTACTTATTAAAGATGAATAGACATTTGCTGCCTTTGAAGGCATGCTTCAATCGTTAGTATCTTCTCCAAAATTGGAAGAAAGGTATTTTTTTTTTCAAGAGTAGCAGTTATATTTTGTTAGATATTGATATACATCATTTTTGAAATTAGCAACGTTAAAAATATTGACTTTTTAAGTCATTTGCTGCTTTTGCTTGATCGTTTAGAACTACAAATTTCTAATGCAATAGACGGTTGTGCTACTGACACATTACCAGCAATCCCTCGTTCTAGTCTTATTTTTTTTAGAACTAATAAGAAAACTTGTCATGATTACTTCTCACGTATCAGAGGAAAAATAATCTTAGGCGCCAAAATTATTAGAGATGATAATTTACTTATTTCACATACTATCAAAGTAAGTTTTGTATATTTATTGGAGAATAGTTATTAACCTCTTTTTTTTTATTATTATTATTATTTAATTCAGATTTTAAAAGAATTGGAGACAAATATATCATCTACTGACTTGGTATCATGGTTTAAAGAAATAAATGAGTACTTGAAGGATTTAGGTAAATGGAAACTTTAGACATGATATTCAGCAATATCTGATTTTTTTTTTTTTTTTTTTTGCTTAAAACTTAATAGTGGAAGCATGTATTCGGGAAAAATACATGGATTTAATATATGGAATGCAAGCATGGTACAAAAAACTGATTAGGAAGGCATATCAACTGTCAACTGAATTCAAAAATAATTGGGTTTTCGAAGGCCTTGTTGGTCCTTTATCATTAACAAATGCAACCTCCAAAAAATCAACAGTGACATGGTTTCAAGTTGCAGCCCTATTTGCATCGGTAAGCCTTTTTTCCTCGAGTTATTCATAGTTTTTTTTTTCTTTTTCTCATAACATTTTTTTTTAAATAGAATCGTGATGAAATAGCTATCAAAACTCTAGAAACACTAAAGTCTACAATCGCAAATGATGATTACGGAATAGTAAAGATGCTTGATCAGCAGATGATTCGCTTTTTCACCTCGTTGGAAGACTATAATGAACTACAGAAAGCATTTAATTCAGGAATTACTATAATTGATGATTTTATTTGCGAACGTTTACAGGAATTCAACTCAAATATAAGGAATAACAAAGAAGATCCAGCTAACCAAATGGCTAAATTACAAGCTTATATTAATGAAGCTCCTTTGGAGTGCTGTCTTGAGCTTGCTAAACTTGATAAGTTTAGGAATTGGATAGTAATCTCAAACAGTGAAGGGCAAAAAACAGAATCTATATTAAACAATCAGTTAGCAGGAAAAATCTTTCAAGCACTTAAGAATAGTATTTTTACAAATATCCCTGGCTTACTTGAACTTCAGTTACTTCAGTCAGATTGGCATAATTTAATTGCAAGTGTTAAAGAATGGTCTAATTTAAACTCGAATGATATATACAATATGCAAAGCTTGCTTCCTGAAACAAAACATTGGGCAAGATTATCAACTTATTTCGAAAGATTATACTCCTTACAATCAGCAAAAGAAGATTGTGCAAATGCAGCTCAATACTTGGGTCATATACAACTTCATTCTGCTAAAATAGCGCGTAGACAAGGAAACATTACTTTGGCTGAAAATCTTATAAACAAAGCTATTAAAATACCCGAAACAAAGTATCTAGCTCTCTATGAACGCACAAAAGTACTATTTATTCAATCTAATTACGCTCAGGCCATGCAGACTGTCAACAATGTGCTTACTCATATAGCTTCTATGTCTGGCTATGAAGAGCTTAAAAGTAAAACTTATCTTAGGGTTGCTCGCTACCTTAAAAATTGCCCTGAAAATGAGGTAGCTGAGTTATTAAAGCAGATGGACCCCAAATTAGTTGAAATGAAAAACACAGACTTACAGTCATCAGTTGAAGCGTCGATTGATGATGCGCTTCAGAAGTCAATTGAAAATAATACTACTGATGGAAGACCATGGTTTGAATATGCTACACACTATTATAAAGAAGGCTGGCGTATCTTGGATGAAGTTTCACGTCCAGATTCAACTATGCCAGCTGTTGTTTGGGCTAGTAAGAAAATAAGAGATATAATAGAAGCAGCTGATTCAGTTCTTAATTCAAAACAAATCGAAAAGGTATATGATAAATTATTCATATATATATACATATACCGACTTTGACTTATTATAATTTATTATTATTATTATTAGACAATTTTTGGGCTTTTGGTAAAATACTCGTCTTCAGTAGGTAAAACTAACTTGAAAGATCATGAAGGGTTATACAATGATCTGCATCAAATTACTTCCTTTTTGGACAAGTCGGAAGAATATACGATTATCGAAACATTGGATATCTTACAAACTATGGTGATTGAAAAATTTTATGCTTCTACACAAGCCTATTTCCGATACCTTTCTTTAGATATCCATAATTGTAATGTAAGTTAATTCAATGGGGCTACAAATATATATATATATATATATATAAAAGAATATAAAAGAAAAAAAAAGACTAAGAGATAAGGATAACTATATTATAGAGAGAAAATGATTTAAATATTAGTTCTACATCTATGGTAATTACTGCTACACTTCGTCTTTTACGTATTCTTACTAAATATGGTGAGGCATTGCAAACAGTTTATTCTGAACATATTAATGCTGTTCGAATTGATCTTTGGAAACCTGTAATCCCTCAGTTATTTGCACAACTCAATCATCCAAATGACTTTGTTAGACAAGTAGTTGGTAAATTAATTAGTCGCATATGTGATGAATATCCCCGAGAAATTATTTATGATGTCATTGTTAATTCTACTTCATCTAAAACAAATCGCGACACAAAACAAAGCTTGGATGCTATTGCAAACCGTATGATGGATAGAAATGAATTACTTTGGGTCTCTACACGTCGTATGGCTGAAGAGCTTGAAAAAATTACAGTACTTTTAGAAGAAAAATGGTTAAACAAAATTGCTTCGTTACAATATGTTGCTATGCAACAGTTTGCAAAGTTGGATCAAGAGATTGAAAAGATAGACTGTATGCTAGATGAATTAGATGATTCTCAAAGAAGAAACAAGTTTTTAGAAATATATGATAGTTTGATGAAATTTGTTGTTACTTCTATTGATAAATTACTTGTGGAAACTATTCATAAATCTGTTTCTTTAACACCTCATGAACAATGGTTCCAGCAAACATATGGAAAAAAATTAATGAATGCTTATAATTTGCTTCAAAAGCCAACTTCAATGAAAGAATATCGTCGTGGATGGGAATGCTTCCAACAAGTAAATGCAATTGTTATTTATAATAATTACAAGTTAATTATGTTTACTAACTATGAATCCTAATTTTGATAACTATATATGTATATATTAGCTCCATCGTCAACTTATGGCAGAAGTACATAAAGTTCGTATTTTGGATCTTAGTCAAGTATCACCTTACCTTTATAATATGAAGGATACACCTATTGGTATCCCAGGAAAGCACGAAAATGATAACACATGCTTTATTGATTCATTTGGCACTAGTGTTATTGTTCTACCTACGAAAACTAAACCAAAGAAGCTTGATTTTAAGGGTACTAATGGCAAGAAGTATTCATACCTCTTTAAAGGACTTGAAGATCTTCATCTAGATGAACGTATTATGCAGTTACTCACGACTACAAATGGATTGCTAAATGAAAATAAAGCCACTGCGTTACGTGGGATGCGTGCAAGAACATATGCAGTTATTCCACTCAGTGATCACTCTGGTATGATTCAATGGGTCAATGAGGCAACCCCATTCTTTTCTCTTTATAAAAAATGGCAAAAGAGAGAATCTGTTGCACATATGCTTTTAAACAATGATAAGCCGAATGAGGCATATTTACAAGCATTAAATCAGCGACCTACGGAGCAATTTATGGCTAAGATCGCATCTGTCTTAAAGGCATCTGGTCTTCGTATGACAGCCAATCGTCGTTATTGGCCAAAGGATGTTTTAAAAAAAGTGTACCTTGAACTTGTTAAAGAAACACCAGGTGACTTGCTTGAAAAGAAGATATATTATTCAAGTTCTAGTGCTACAGAATGGTTAAGAAAAAGTACATTATTTGCTCGATCTTTAGCTGTAAACTCAATGATTGGCTATATTATTGGTCTTGGTGATCGACACTTGGACAATATCATGATTGATTTCCGTTCAGGTGAAGTTATTCATATTGATTACAATGTCTGTTTCGAAAAGGGACGTCGACTTCGTGTACCTGAGTTAGTTCCATATCGTTTGACTCAAAATATTTACGGAGCACTTGGCATTACTGGTGTTGATGGCCAATTTAAGACAGCTGCTGAAGAAACTCTACGTGTGTTAAGAAAGCATAAGGAGGTGCTCATTACTCTCTTGGATGCCTTTGTATATGATCCTCTAGTAGATTGGGAAAGCGAAGCGGTAGAAGCGGGCCATAGACAAATGATGGAGTTACAAGCTAATGTGAGCTTAGTAGCCTCAAGGATCTTTGAAAAACAAAATGAACAGGAAAAAGAACGAAAGATAATTTTAGATAGTCTTTCTAGTTTGAAACATGATTTACAGCAATGGCAAGAATCAATGCTATTAGAATCTGAATCCTTGAATGCAAAAGAAGGAAGTGATGAAGATGAACAAGGTTTAGAACATGAACCCTCCATAGTTTCTGATGAAGTTGAAGCTTCTGCATTTTTGGTATATACATATATATATATACATATATATATATATTTCATTCATTTGCCTTTTATATTTATTTATTTATTTTTTGCTTTACAAAATAGGGTCGATTACCTGTATATCTTTTACGAGAAGTTAAAGGTCATCTTTCAAATGTTAGCTTACTTGTTACTAACTCACGTTCATCTATCGAGAGTATTTTGCCTCTCTTGGAATCAATTATTATTATTGAAACTGATATTGATAATGAATTACGTCCTGCTCAAAAGAGTGCAAAGGTATATTTATTATTATTATTATTATTTATGTATAAGGAAAAAAAAACTTATGTAAATATAGACGGCCCTTGATGCGCTTGCTACAATTGAAACAGAATTAAAGAAGTTGGATAAACAATTAGATAAAAACACAAATTATGAGTCAGAATGGAGCTATGTTCAGTTAGTAAGTTGTATATGGAGAGTGAAAAGAGATAATCAAGTTTGATTTCTAATTATTACATTATTATTATTTTTTCTCTTCAAACTATAGATAGATTTCATTGAAACTATTACTAAATCAGTTCAGGATTACTTTTCTGAATTGAAAACTTTGGAAGAGTTTGGCCCTGACAGTAATAAAAACGTATCCAATCTTTCTGTTATTGCAGAAGAAAGCAGCAATAGTAAACGTGCTGAAGAAGACTATAATGAAGATAATGTAAATCAAAACATATCTCAGGGGTTAAGTAAGTATATATATTTTATCACAGTCGTATATAATAAGTCGTTAAATTAACATATCCATTTAGCTTCAAATAAATTAAATTCAAATAATCATGTAACAAAAATTATGAAGCGGATTCGATCAAAACTAGAAGGCGTTGATTTTGGTACTCAGCATAAAATGAGCGTATCTGAACAAGTTGCAAGAACAATTGAACAAGCTACTTCTGTTGATAATCTTTGTATGATGTATGAAGGATGGACCAGTTGGGTTTAATTTTTGTGAAATGATGAGACTTTTTTTTTTCTTTTTGTAACATAAGCCACAAGACTTGAAGAGATTAATAGTGAAAGATATTATTGGTGTTATGAAAAAAAAAAAGGCTTGACTTTTAATTCTAAATTAGCATAGTGTTTCCAACAATCTCTATGGCAAAACATTGCAATTGATTTTATAATATGCAAAAATATTCATTCTTAACTAGATTTACTATAAGTAATAAAAGGATAGTGTTTTGCTAAAAATGATAGTAATATGAAAACAATAGGCTAATAAAGTAAATTATACCATGAGTGTTTATTTATTCTTTCTTAGGGATCTTCGTTTATTATGGGTGTACAACTTTAAATAAGGTTATCCATCTGATACAAGTTGATCTAATGGCACATAATATGGGATAAGGGGGGAGGGTAAGGGGGAAAGAGGAAATCAGTTAATGTTACCTGCTTCAGCCTCAATTGGATGAATTATATTAATAAGGTACAATGATCCAGCATTGTTTCATCATGGAAGTTCTCATTCTAAAACTGTTTTACACTGAAAATAACAATAAATAAAACAGTTTACGCTTGTCAAACATTGTAAACTTTTTTTTTATCAATGACTGTAGACTTTAACAGATAAAGATTATATGTCAGCAAGTTTTGAAGGGGAAAACTTTATTGTAATTTTCAAAAGTCCATCATTTGATGTATTAGCCTAAAAAGGTGTAGATAGATAGTTACTAACTTAATAGTACATGTGATCATGGTTACTAACAACGATGTCATTGTCATAAATATCTTTTTTCTTTTACCAGTTCAGCTCGTTCCATCTTTAAAAACAAAAGACAGTAATTATTATAAGGGCAATAATCTGAATACATATTTTACTACAATAACATATTATGTCATTTGCTATATTCAATGAATTTGTGTCAGTTTTTTTTTTTTTTTTTTTGACTTTGCGTGATAAACTTTTTTATTTGCGTACAAACTAAAACATAGGCTCAAAAGCCAAATCAACGATCAAAAAACAAAGTACAATATCTTATTCATCTTTGACAATCCTCAACTGAATATTTTGAGCTGATTCAATAATTCTATTACTAAGATTGTCAGTTGCAGTAAAGCAATCACTCTTAATACCAGCTTTGAGTGTCGATCAAAACAGCTCAATTGGGTTCAAAAAATAAAAAATATAGTACGCAAAGTTTTTTTTTTTTTTTTTTTTTTTTTTTTTTTTTTTTTTTTTTTTTTTTTTTTTTTAAAAAATAAAAATAAAAAATAAAAACTAACACAAATTCATTGGAAAAAAAAATCAATAACAGGAATAACGAATAATTTAAGGTTCAGATATCCAATTAAATAAGCTCGGTACCTTTTACGAAAATGATTTTGTAGTATTTAGTACAGTGGTGTTAGTTTATTACACATATATTATCTAACAAGGACTGCGATGGATCCTCCTCCTCTTAATTTTTCCCTTTTCTTTCCCTTTTTTTTTTCTTTTTTAAAAAAAAATAGAAAGTTATATATACTTTTTTAGAAATATATACATACTAATATGGTCCGCAATGCAACGCGTAAAAAAGTAGTTATAGTTGGAGATGGTGCTTGTGGCAAAACTAGCTTATTAATTGTCTATCAAAATGGTAGATTTCCAGAGGTAATATAAATGTGGATATATTTATATATTATTTTTTTTTTTACAAGTAAGTAAACTAACCAAAGTTTAATTTTAGAAATATTTGCCTACAGTATTTGAAAATTATATTGCTCGAGTAAATTTAGATTATAGAACAGTTGAGCTTGCTTTATGGGATACGGCTGGACAAGAGGATTATGATAGACTACGTCCTCTATCTTATTTCGAAACAGATGTTGTAATTATTTGTTTTGCTATTGATAATATAATTTCCTTTCAGAATGTTCGGGATAAGGTAATATCTATATTTTAGCATATAAAAGGCGCTTTATTTTATTTCATTTTATTTCATTTTATTTTATTTTCTTATCCTCTGTATACTTAACACAATTAGTGGTTACCTGAAGTGAAGCACCATTGTGGAAATAACGTGTCATTGCTTCTAGTTGGGCTTAAAACTGACTTACGCTCGGAAGCATCATGTGCTGCAAAAAATATTATCAGTCATCAGCAAGTAAATATGATACCTATGTTAATAGTATTTCATATTTATTCGTATATTTATATAGGGCATGAATTTAGCTAAAGAAATCGGAGCAAAATATGGAGAATGTAGTGCGAAAACAAATACTAAAGTTAGAGACGTGATGAAATTAGCTGCTACAATTGCAGTTAAGCCAAAAAAATTAATAAGAAAAAGACGTTTAAGATGCAATATTCTGTAATATTATTCATTGATAGACTTGTATGATTCCCCGGTTTTTATTTATATAACCCACCGCAAGCATATATATTATAATTATGTATTTATAAAGATATATATAATACGTATACATGTATGTGTATAATGTTTATTTTTTACTTTTTATTTTTTTTTTATTAATTTTCATTAGGAAACGTTTCCTCAAATATAATATATGAGTAATATACATTATAATACTTTGTTGTTTTTTTACTTATATGAATAAGCAAATAGTATTCAAGGAATTCACGGAATCCGTCCGACACCCGAGATAAAAAGATTGCTCCAACAACTTTTTATGTGCTACGTTTAGGGGAAAAGATATATGAAGCACTAAATAATACAGTATCTATGTAAAATACACACACACACACACACATAAATATATATATGTATATATATGTATATGCATATACATCTACATATATTTATAAAATATAGAATGCTTTTGTATACAAGTGAAGTATGAATGCATTCATTTATATCCTGTTATCAAAGTATGTTTTTACTTCATGTATAGGTGATGCATACTAAGTTGTTAGGGCGTAATATATACACTAAAACGCGTAAATATTTTTTTTTGTTATACTAACAGCACAAATATATTTTCTATTACACAAATGTAATATAAGTTAAAAAAAGAAATATCAATTGTAACCATGCTCACTCTCGGCTTTCAATTGAGATAATTTTATTTATAGTATAAACAAAAAAAAAAAAAAAAAAAAAAAAAAAAAAAAAAAAATACATGTTAGTTTGACTGGTATGCTATAATTGATATAAAATTTAAAATAATGAAACAGAAATCTATGCTTTAAACACGTAGATAAAAATTCAATATATATGCATGTATGTATGTATGTACATGCTCAGTATTAACTATATAAATAAGATAGTTATAGTTGATTATATAAAAATATCTATTAAAAATCATGGATATAATTTTTTGATTCTCACTAAATAATGAATGAGGGTTTTTTTTATTCTTTTGAAGGTATAAAATAAGCTGTATATACTTGAATATATTCTTGTAGCAAGTACATGTTATATTTATATATTGCTTACAAGAAAAATAATACTTGGACGAGAGTAATAATTATGAATACATATTCGCTTAGTGGGTGGTTTACAGTCGAAGAAACTAGGTTGGGCAATGAGAAAAATTGGGTCGTTTCAAAATTGAATTGTTGGTCGTTCCTTCAACAATCCTTGTTGACTGCGACTCGGACTCCAATGTGGTAACAAGCTCCAAGAGCCGCGCTTTATTTTCCTTTTATAGATAAAAAAATAATAATAAAAATAAAAAATATACTAGAATCCCCTTTTTCCCTTTATACCTTCAAAAGCCGCGCATTCGTGGAAAAATTATGAGTGATATCAATTCAACTATTAGCAATGAACGAACATACACCCAAAGCGAAATGGAAGCAATTGTCCGAGATGTCGTCAAAAAAATGGACATTGAGAAAGAAGAAAGAATCAATGGAGTCGAAATCCCAAGACAGGTCTCCGAGGAATTGGAAAACACTCCCACGCATCAACTTACTGAAAATTTCAAAAAGTTTAGAAGAGAAACCCAACGATACGCTTTGGGAGAATGGACAACACCCGAGAAGATCAACAAATCAATTGCCCCTTATCTCAAAAAACACTCAACAGAAACAGCTTTGGTTGTCAACTCCATTTATAAAATCACAGAAAACACCAGATTCCAAGCAAAGGTTGCTATGGAAATCTTTGAACAACTTCAATACGTCTTGGAAGAAGCAGACCATGACGAAGCAAAAGACATCATCAGCAGATGCAGGGAGCAAAGTCGACGACTGGCAGTCTTTGGGTTGGCCACAGCAAAAGCTTAAGAAAGAGAAGCAAAAGAATATTCAGACAAAGCACTTAACATCCCATTTAGTATCCGCCACCTGGAAACAACAGAAGAGGATAGTAAATCTAAGAACGCCTACAGTGACGAATTTCTTAACAAATACCACCAAGCCAACTTTGAACGAAAACTCGTTCAACAAGCCAGTAGTAATCGTGGAGGAGGACGAGGAAATGGATTCTCAAGTAGAGGATATCAACGAGGAAATAGAAGCTTCGGATATGGAAGAGGTAGTAACAGAGCACGAGGTGCTTTTTTTGGACAGGGTATCTCACAACGGTGGGGAACCCCGCACAACAACAACTCAGCCCAACAACAATCACCCCACCAATCCAATCACACATCCAACCCCCAATAAAATCAATGACGAATTACAGCATCCCAGCAGACGGCATAGCGCCAGGGGGTCGACTACAACATTTTCTCAAGAATTGGCAGTCGATTACAAAACACCCATGGCCATTGTCAGTGATACGAGAGGGTTATCAGATACCTTTGCTAAAAAAACCAACACCTTGGAGATTACGTCGTATAAAGCTAGACCAGATAGAACAATTGGCAGTGGACGAGGCAGTCAACAAATTTATCAAAGCGGGGATAATAGAGGTATCACCAACGCAGAACACAGATTATTTATCCAATTTCTTCACAATACAGGAAGCGACAAAACGTCGACCGATTTTGGATTGCCAAATGATCAACAACTATATCCAGTGTCATCACTTCAAGATGGAAGGGGTACCTGCATTGAGGGAAATCATCGAGAAAAACGATTTTATTTGCAAATTGGACCTAAAGGATGCTTATGTGGTCACCCCAATTCACCCAAACTCAAAGAAATACTTGACTTTCCAGAACAAAGGAATTGTTTATCAGTACAAAACTCTAGCATTTGGGATGAGTGTCAGTCCCAGAGTATTCAGCAAAATGATGCGATTTGCAATAGAACCATTACGAATACAGGGAATACGCCTAGTATATTATTTAGACGACATATGTATTCTGGGTGCGACGAAGGAAGAGGCAACGAACCACACACAAATAGTACTGTCACATATGGAATCATTGGGTTTCCTAATAAATTTCCAGAAGAGTGTCCTAATCCCCTTTCAACAACAGGAATTCCTAGGCTTCAAATTCAATACGAAGACCATGCAGATAGCAGTCCCAGGGAAGAAGATCTCAAAACTCATGGTTCGAACCAAACAAGCTATAAAAGCCACACCTCACCAATACAATTGTCGATGGTATGCCAGTATGATGGGGAAGATGACTTCCATGATTCCAGCCATCGGAGAAGCCCTGTTACACATCAGATACATGCAGAGGGATCTCTCCCTAACACTCAACAGACATCTACAGAATTGGAATGCACCAATGACACTATCGGAGGACAGCAAGAAAGAACTGCAATGGTGGACAAGTTGGATGGTGAAGAAGAACGGCCTGTCAATAAAGAAATTAGCACCCAATCAACCGAAGGCGGCAACAATATATGTAGATGCGTCAGACCTAGGATGGGGTGTGAGCTCTGGCACGATGCAAACCACTGGAGCATGGACGAACGAAGAGAACACCATGTCAATCAATGCAAGGGAGCTGACAGCGATATATTTTGCTCTAAAACTACATGCCAAAGACTTCAAGAATCAACACATCAAAATATTTACAGACAACATGACTGCTTTGAAATACAGCAGCAAGTCGGGAGGCACAGCATCTCGAACACTACAGGACCTAGCAGTGAAGATACAAAATCTATGCAACCACTACAATCTCAAAGTCGAATACGAACACATACCAGGACTGGAGAATATTCGAGCAGATTGGCTGAGCAGACAGCATCACACCGCAACAAAAAACTTACTCTACGAGGCCCTATTACCGAAACGGCTATTTCGAATGATCAACCAGAGATGGGGTCCTTTAACAGTAGATGCATTTGCAGACAGGATGAACACCAAACTACCAATATTTTGGAGCATGCGACCAGATCCGGAGGCAGCAGCAACAGATGCTTTTCAACAAACGTGGAAAAAACAGGGAATGTACCTATTTCCTCCATGGAAGTTCATACCGCAAGTGATGCAGATAATAAAACAGCAACGAATCCAGAAGGCAGTATTAATCACACCGTATTGGCCAACCCAGTTCTGGTTCCCGTCCTTATTGCAAATGAAACACATCAACAAACCTCTGATGTTCAAGATAAGAAGATGGAAGATGACCGCATGGCACTTATCTGCAACAAGAGGAAAACCGCTGGTCACTTGGAAGAGGACACAGTGGAATTTTTGACACATGCCCAGAGACGTAAAACACAAAAGAACTATAATACTGGGTGGAAAAAATGGTCACAATGGTGCGCAGCACAACCAGTACCAATACAGCCTACCACATACGACGAAGCCAATGTATTACGTTTTTTGTTAGAAAATCGACACTTTTCATACCAATACCTAAATAGTTTGAGATCAGCTTTAGCATCTGTCTTTAAAGTGTTGCATCCAGAAAAGGGTCCGTTAGCTGCAAAAGAACCCATAGTTGAATTCTTTAAAGCAAAACGAAGATCAGAAGTCAACATTCCTACCAAGCAAAATCTCCAAATATGGGACACAAATATACTGGTGGACTATATCGCAAAAGAATGGCCAAAAAATCAATCTATCAACTTATATGAATTACAACAAAAAACAATTTTATTGTTATGCTTGACGACTATGGCAAGACCAAGATCAGATGTTGGCAGAGTGCAGTTTAGAGATGTACAAATGGAGCTTAGAAACGAAGAACCAGTGTCAGTTCTTATACATTTCAGAGAAGCGAAAGAGACTCAAGTGAAATCTGTTATACTAGGATTGGCAGATGACAATGACATGTGCCTTGTTTCCACACTTTTTGACTTTTTACAAAGGTCGAGCCATCTTCGCAATAACCTTCCTATAGACCATAGTTTGTTTTTGGCATTCATTCTCGAACCAGACAAGGTGAAATCCGCTAGTCCTTCTACTGTAGCTACATGGGTTTCAAAAGCAATGGAAAAAGCGGGTATTGACATTAGTTCTTACAAACCACACTCTATCAGGTCAGCTTCAAGCACCAAAGCAGTTGAAAATGGAATAACGATTTCGGAGGTCAAACAACATGCTAATTGGAGTCATAATTCCAATACATTTGAACGATATTACCTCAAGCCAAGCACGCAACTTAACGACAGCACCAGAATAGCAAACTCAATTGTTTCTATCAAAGGAAAAAATACCACATTGGAGTCCGAGTCGCAGTCAACAAGGATTGTTGAAGGAACGACCAACAATACGTCCGTTGACGAAGACGAGGATGAAAATGTGGTAACAACCCGACCCACATGGCTTTCTTGGCTACAAGAAACTTGGAAAAATTGATTCCAACTATCTTTTTATGTTTTACTTTTAATTCTATATTTATTTCATTCATGTTCCCCTCCCTTATATCAAAACCAATTGAGTTTTCTTCCGACTTTTGAAGGTATAAAGGGAAAAAGGGGATTCTAGTATATTTTTTATTTTTATTATTATTTTTTTATCTATAAAAGGAAAATAAAGCGCGGCTCTTGGAGCTTGTTACCACATTTTCATCCTCGTCTTCGTCAACGGACGTATTGGGACACCAATATGAAAATGGAACATCAATACAAAAGTGGGACAGTGATACGGAAATGGGACATATTAAGATACTTTTAATTTTTGGGCAAATGAAATCTTTTTTTCAATAGGTCAACTTACCTGTAAATATGGGGTGTCTTGCTGTTATACAAGCATAATGTTATTCAATTGTTAAGGCTATTTTTCCACAAATAATAATATTGTTGTTAGTATATAAAGTAACAAAATCTATATTAATATCAAGATAGCTTACCCCGCCGAAACTCTTTAGGTCGATTGTTGTTGTTGGCAGCCATATATAAAAAGATAAAGTGCATGTTGAGACTCGCCATGTGGTCTCTGTTCCATCGAGTATTACAACTTTGACAGTTGAGAACTGGATAGATCATCATATTGGAGTTATCACGTTGGTTGGAAGTACTTCTTGTATGACATCTGGGACATATTTGACTTGTGAAATACTGATCAATCATAACGACGTACTTTCTTGAATTTGGCTGGTTGCGTCTGGTTGATTTAACATAATTTAGCGAGGCTTTTCTGAATACCTTTGTTGGAGAAGATACATTCCCATGGAGCCCACCGAACAGAGCAGAACCAAACGCCACTACAGTAGGCCTTTCAGCTTCACCGGTATTGTCTCTAGGGGCTAATGGTTTCCACTTTTGCTGATTTGCTTGCTGTATATCAGGATTGCCTTCTTGGTACTTTCTGCTACCTGTAAACAACCGTTTACACATTTCGGTAAATGCTTTTTGCTTGTTTCTATATCCGTGATATTTGAGCTTTTTCAACCCGGTTGTGTAATAGCCTTTAATTGCCTCAAAGTTCCGAAATATATGTCGCAAAGCTTCATTGAACTGGTCCCAGTTACACGTCCTTGTTGATGGTGTATTAGAAATCAAACGGCGTGCGTCAACATTGGCGCACGAATGATGACTTATTGCTTCATTCTTTCTAAAACATGGTATAACCATGGCAAATACAAGTGAGGTTTAGCATAGTAATCTGCATCAGTCAGGTTCAAGCCATGTAATCTTTGGCGGCATTCATCAATAAGATTGTTGATTGAGGTTTTGTGGGTGTCGGCAACTTCCAGACTAGCAAGGTAAATTACTTCTTGATTGGTACAAATAGCATTATATACTCACTCAGCTAGGTTGCATTTGACACCAGTTCGGAAAGGGAGGTCTGGAAATTTAGTTATGCCAGAAAGCCTCGTAAAGAGGTAGCGCAACGTTTTTGGCTTGAAGTTGGTTCCAGCATGATTCTCTATGAGCGTCTCAAAGCTACGTATGACTATTGAGATTAGTGTGCTATACTGAATGTTGGGGAACTGTTGTTGCCTATTAAAATCTTCTTCTATTTCATTACTAAATTGTAAGAAAGCTTCAGCGATCTCGGTATCGGTATTCTTTTCTTGACCAACAAATAAAGCAGCAAAGTTGTATAGTTTTTTGTGAGTCAGTTTTGGTACAGCCTTGACCAATAATTGATGGGTATTAGCATAAATGACTAAAATAGGAGAAAGAGGATGTCATTCTGTAGAATCGGTAGATAAAAAAGATATATATATATATAAAAACAAAACAGTGGGTTAATATAGATGCTTGTGTGAGTGTTTATTCAATGTAAACTGACTGAAGAACTTTATTGATCCAAGATGATTTCCTTTACATACATTTATCATTACTTGTTACTTGTATGAATATAATCATATGAAACTGTCAGTTTTCTGATCCACATTGGAACCTGCACTACATACGGAGCCCAATATTACAGAGTATAAATAATGATTGTAACCAAGACCTGGTGGCTCTAGGTCTTTCTTTCTTACGAATAATAAAAACCCTACATTCTATGTATCCTAATCACTTTACTTGGCTTTATTATTTCAAAAACGATAGTTCACTCACTCCATCAAACTCACAGAAATGCTCCTTATTGTCCTAAGTAATTCGAATCTGGGATGATTGTTTGTTCTAGGATTATTTAAGTTAGGCGAATCATATCCTAATCTGGATGATCATCATAGTAGTCTAATAGTCTATTAATGGCCTTTCTTGTTAAATGGAACAAGATTATAGCTTCTTGTTTACACATTTGCCCAAAAACTAAGCGTGTCTCAATATATCCCACTTCCATGTTGATGTCCCACTTTTGTATCAGTGTTCCACTTTCATATTGGTGACCCATTTTTGCATTGGTGTCTCAATCCAATTTTGAAACAACCAAATTCTTTCTCATTGGCCTAACCTAGTTTCTTTGACTGCGGCCATTAAATTGCATAATGACGCTTCAATTCACAATTTACGCTCTCATTTCACGCACAGATACATTGCTATTTTTTTATTTTGTTTTTTTCAGAGCTCTATTTAGACAGCATAAAGTAAAAAAAAAAAAAAAAAATAAAAGTAAAATAATATGCCTACTGAACCAACTAAAGAACAAATTCAAGCAGTATTCAAGAAACTTAAGCAAAATAGATACAATAAGGTAAATACTATAGAGAAAGTTTTTTTTTTCTTTACCAAGATTATTCTTTAAACATTGTTTTATTTTTAAGGCATGCTTTGATTGCAACGCAAAAAATCCAAACTGGGCTTCTGTTTCTTTTGGTGTTTACATTTGTACTGATTGTTCATCTTCACATCGTAATTTAGGCGTTCATATTAGTTTTGTAAGGTAAAATAGTGTCTGGGATTTAGAAATTTATTTTGAATTATACGAAAAAAAAGAAAAAGAAAGAAAAGCCATCATTCATGTAATTAAATACATTTAATATGATAAGATCAACTGTGCTAGATTCTTGGAGCTGGGAGCAACTTCGTATGATGAAAGTTGGTGGTAATCAGACTGCTCATGAATATTTTTCGAAAAATGGAGGTAATTTAACTGTCAAAGATGCAAGAATGAAATACACAAGTAGGGTTGGTCAACAATATAAAGAATTGCTTACAAAGAAAACCAAAGAAGATGCGATTATGTAAGTGAAATAGATTTAATAATAATAATAAAAAAAAGGAAGGAGCGAGATTATTAATATTCTTTTAAAATTAGTAACCCCAACACAGTTATTATCGATATAAATGATAACGTTCTTCAGACTTCTGATGAAACATCTATTATTACATCTGACCAGCAACAACAATCAGACCCTACTACAACAGAGTCTGAGACAACAGCAGCAGTAGAAAAAGAAGAGAATTCTGTATCTACCACCACTTCTTCTCCTACTGTTGACACTACTGAAGTTAAGCCAGCAACGCCTATAAAAGTCACTACGACACCTACTGCACGTTCAGCACGTAATACAATTGGTATCCGCGCACCTCGCAAACCTACAAAGGCAGGAAAACTGGGTATTAAAAAGGTACCTATTAATTTCAATTTTGAAGCTGCTGAAGCACATGCGAAAAAAGACTTGGAACGAAAAACTAAATACGATGAGGATGAAGATATGAATACGAATGAAGTCAAAAAAGAAGTTGAACCTTCTTCAACATCAAAAGTATTCTCCTCTTCACGTTTAACATATATGGAACCCAATAATAACATGAATAATGATAAGACAGATGAATACGAAAAGCTTGGTTTCGGTATAAGTCGTATCGATATGAAAGATCAAAACGATAATAGTAGAATCAGTATGCCAGTTCAGAGATCTTACCAAGAACAAGATAATAATACAAGAACCGCTCAAGAAAAATTTGGATCAGCAAAAGCTATTTCCTCAGACCAATTCTTTGGACGAAATGAGTATGATCCAGCTATATCAGCTGCTGAATCAAGTCGTCTTTCACAGTTCTCTAATGCTAAAGCAATTTCATCCGACCAATACTTTGGAAGAGAACCAGAGGATGATTATGGAGAAAGTAATGGTAGAAGTAGAGGTTATAGTGGAACTGCTGCTGAGATTATTTCATTAGCTGATTGGGAAAATGTGCAGGATCAAGCTGTTGCCATGGCTAGAAGGTTTGTTGATCAAGCTGCACTTGATTTAGATGCTGTGAAAGATTTAGCTGAAAATGCTACAAGTAAAGTTAGAAGCTATTTCAATGCATAAAATATATCATAACTTACTCTCTTGCTCTTTTATTCATATTATAAATTAAACATACAATAAAAACCATTTAAATATGTTATAACATTGAGAAATTATTGAAAGTAAGTATACGAACATATATTAACACCTAAACGACTATTATTTAAATAGATGTATAAAAATGTTTATGTCAGTGATTCAACTGTTGACTTTTTTTTTTTTCTTTATAAGCTACACAATTAATTAAAATATCATAAATGACTTGTTCATATTCTAGGCCTATTTAAAATTGACAATTCATCGTAATGGTACTTTATACATACAACATATTTATTGTTTATTTGTTATAGAACTGAATGAATGTAATATTTGTCTGGTTTGGTTAGGGCAACTTGCGAATAATTTTTGTGGCCTGGATACTTTTCCCAAAAAAAAAAAAAAAAAAAAAAAAAATAGAACATTCTGGTTCTGGTTCTATAAATGTATAAATATAGAAGAGGAAAAAAAATCTGCTTAGTGGTAATAGCTTTTATAATTTATGTCATGTACAATTGATACAGATAAAAGAAGAATAAAGTTCTTAACTTTAACAAGAATTGCTAAAAAATAGCATCAAGTGTTTTATGAATATAATGAAAAGTAAGCCACGTTCTTGGAATCTCACAAAAAAAAAAAAAAAAAAAAAAAAAAAAAAAAAAAGATCCAATACATTAGGAAATAAAGTCGGTAATAATTATGTGTACTGTACAACGTTAATTTCTTTATATGATAATACAATGTAGTTTTCTCTCTTTTTTTTCTTTTTTTTTTCTTCTTTTTTTTATTAAGCTAACAAATATATGTATTTATAGTTACTTATTCAATGTTACTATGGTATTTTCAGATATTACTCAAAAATCATTAAATCAAGTCCCTTCTAATATGAATGATACAACTATTTGGAGTATAGTTCCTGAAGGGTTAACATTAGAAACAGTATTAGAAGATAAATCACCATCACCTTTTAGCTTAAAGGATTTCTCGGACTACCTTAAACTTACTTATTGTGATGAAAACTTATTATTTTATGAAGCTGTAAATGACTATAAAACTCAATGTTCTACTTATTTCAACTCTTATCTTGGTCATGGTGAGAAAAATTCAAAAGAGGACGTTTTTATTCCCGAAAGTATGACAAGATTCAATTTTACTAGTCTAACACAATCTACGCTTACTCCAAAGGAACAACTCTTATTTGAAACTTTAAAGCATAAATTTGAAACAATTTTACAGGAGTTCATTTTATCAGATTCTCCACAAGAAATTAATATTCCTTATGAAATACGCCATCAATTATTAAATTCATACCAGATTCAACAATCTTATCATCCTTCTTTATTTCACCCTGCCTTCCAAGCTGTCGTTGAATTACTTAGAATAAGTGCCTTTATACCTTTTGTAACAGATCCAAATCGAATTCATTCCTTTAATAATAATTCTGTTATATCGAAAAAATCGACATCATCATTATTATTATTTAAAAGACAAAAAGGCAATCCTTCTTTATTATCAACTACTTCTATTCATTCAAATAATAATTCTTTAATTTTACCTCCTACTCCTTCCTCCTCACCAACAACTGCCTTTACTAGTTATAATCCTTCAAATAATAATATCGGTTTCTTAAAGAGAATTACAACTTCCTTTAAAATAACTCGATATTATCCATTCTCAAATAATGTAAATGATAATACAGTATCTGATCCTTACTTAACACCTACAAAGACAATGTCTATTCATATATCTCGGCCTGTATATTCAACAGATTGGCATGAAGAAGAAGCCAATAATAAAAATATGACAATGCCTGAATTATCAACTTCATCTTTTCCTTCTTCGCCTTCGCCATCAACACCATTATTACCTTCACAACAGAATAATAGATAAATTTTATATTGAATATATAATATATAAATAAAATTTTAATGGTTGTAAAATAAGAATAATAAGGGAAAGGGAAAGAGAAAGAGAAAGAGAGGGAGAATATTGCAAATAGGATAAAGTGAGTGTGATGATAAGTAATGAGGGAGGGTATTATTACTTTTATCATTTGCATTTTATTGTTTATTTTTATTTACTTTTACCTCTTCATTGTTCTCTTTTTTCTTTTGTTGCTTTTTCTTCTCTTCTCCTTGTTTCCAATGTCTCTCTACATCCGCTCCATACCATACAAGTAATTCTTCTCCTGCTTCAATGTCTTTTTTAGTCCAACAAATAACTTGATTAACAATAATTCCCTCTACAAAGGCAATGGTTGCATGTTCTTGATCTGTTTCATTCATAAAATGAAAAGGACAAAAGCGTTCACTTTCTTCATCCGTTATAGGTTCTCCATGTTCATCAGTTGCATCAAGTACAGTACGTCTATACATAATACTATATTCTGAGGCTCGTCCTACACGATCTTTCAAAGAATCGAATTCATCTTCTGTCATTGGTACACCGAAATAGAATCCAATAGGTGTATTATAAGGTAATTTACGTTTTGCAAACAAACCACTACCTGCACCAGGAATTTTTGAAGGTGCAACATAAACAATGTCACGCCATGACTTTGGAATATCAGATAGATCCAATTCATCTAATGTATACACAGGCATCTCCTGTACTTTATTGCTTATCTTTTTGGCATTAGTTGTTGTTGCAGGTATATTATTATTATTATTATTATCATTAGTTTGAGTCATCTTTTGTAGTTCTAAATTAACTTCTACAGATAACGTGTTAATTGATTTTGTTGAATCTATGAATGGCTGTTTAGTAGCTGTAACAATATTATGTTTCTTAACTATAATATCTTTTTTTCCATTTTCTATAATATTAACGCTCATCGTAATATTGTCTTTATCTGATAATAATGAAATATCAGAGCTCGTTATTCTTTCACAAGTTTTATTCGTTTTTGATAATGCTTCATTCTGAACAATAGGGACTTCTTTTTTTATCATGTCTGTTTTTTCCATTTTATCATTAAATGATTCTTGTGTACAGGGCTTATCATCAACGTCTGAAATAGGTGTAGGATATTGGCTATCTTCCAAGTCATCCGTATTTGACTGAGTTGTCTTTTTTATTTTAGGTATACCAAAACAATATGGCCAGTCGTGTTCTGCAAGTTTCTTGCACCACTTTTGATACTCTTGAATTGCTTTCTTTTCATCTCCTGGTTCATAGGCTAATTTGAAATAAGTTGATCGACTGCCTTCTGGTTTAAAAGCAACAAAGTAACGGTCATTATTAATAGTCAAACAGGCAGATGCTGAATTTCCAGGTGTCTAAAATAGAAAATTAGTTAATCATCATACATGTAACGCGTTTTCTGTCTCCTTTTTTTTTTTTCTTTTCTTTTTGCTATTAAAAAAAAAATACCTTACTTCTAAATACTCTTGGCAACTGTAATTCAGCACTAATTTTTCTATCTAACGCAAGTGCAGCTTTGATAAGTTCACCGCGTGGTAAAGTACGTTCAGGATGTTGACGCAATGCTAGGAAAAGCATGTATGCTTGATTATACCAACGAGGTTGCTTATTTGATCGAGAACGTTTAAAACTTGAACTCTCATTATGGAGCTCATCATCAGATAAAGTACGCTTTATTGCTGTGTGTCTTGTTTTTACTCTTTCTTTATTGTCTTCTTCTTCATTAGTTATTTCTACTTTAGTTATTTCAGATAAGATTTCTGTCATTTTATGAAAAAAAAAAGGGGGAACAAATAAAAGAGAGAGAGTGGGACCTTTTTTTTTTTCTTTCCTTTTAATTTTTGAAAAAAAAAAAAAAATGTGACTTTTTGGATGAGTTTAAAATCATATAATGATAGGATTAAAAAAAAATGACCAATGAGCACATAGCATTTATATATGCTGTTTTGCCCTGATCAGATCGCTATGGAAAAAAAAGGAAAGAAAAACTCTTTTGGGATAAAAAGGAAAATATTGAAGTGTACATAGCTTTTGAGAGTACTGGAAGCAGTAACTAGGAAGAAAGGACAACTTTGAAGACACTCTCTGAAGATCCTAGTCACTTTGCTAGGTTTTTGCTACTACTCAACACTGATTTTGGAGAAGAACATGGCAATCATTTACCATTCGATGTCAGGAGGCTTCCGCTTCCAAAATTGTTGTCTGTACTACCCAAAGCATCTCTGTATTGGCACTTTGTAACAATCAGTATGAATGTTCTGGCATGCTTTGCCAAGCTTAAATTGCCTCGCGGGTATCAAGGCCAGCTGGGAATGTTTTTTCAGATTTTTAGGTTTGACAAGCTTTAGTACAGAAAGTAAGTTTACAATTGTTAAAAAATAGTACCTACATTTTCTTTGACCCATTTTTAAATTAGTATTGATCAATTGACACCAAACGGAAGTAATTCTGTGCTTTTCGGAAACTTGGCTCGAAGTGATGGTTTCTCAATAGATTTTATATTTTACAAGAAACGTCAAACTGGTCATGATCTTTCCCTTCAAACTTTTGATTTAACACTCTCTGATTTCAACATTTATGAAATGAAAGACACATTTGCGCCTATCCCTATTGATCCTGGGCAAAAATCTGTGTTCACTGTAACCATTGGGTTAAAATCTGACAAGCAAATAAGAAGGTGTACCATAAAAGAATACTACCGTATGACTGGTTCCGCAAGATATACAAAGCAATTGAATGACAAGAAAGCACTCTCTGGCATCATTTTAATTGAAAGCAATATCCCTTCACCAAAGGCTTCTCGATTTACCACATACCAAAATCATGTAGAATATATGTTTGAGAATCTTGATGCTTTGCTCAGATTTTACAGTATAGGTGGTGCCAGAGATCGCTTTTCTATATACCAAGGTGTACAGAGGGCTCCTCAACAAATGGCAAATATGCTGACACATGGTACCGCCAAATATAATCGCTCAAAAAGAGATAAAAAGAAAAAGAAGGCAAAAAAAAGGATAAAAGAAGGATAAAGCGAAGAAGATGAAAAGACAAGACAGTAAGCAAACACGAAAGGACAAAGTAAGGAAACATTTCATTTTAGTCTGTACTATTTGCTTAAACACATTTAATAGAACTAAAAAATGGAGAGCAGCTTCGTTCGATAAAAACAAAAAGAAGGTACCACTAGTTGTCTTTGGAGCTAGAATGTTTGGCAAAGACCTTGTGAAGCTGAAAGATTTGCGATATGGCATTGTCGGTAAATTATATCAAACATTGGAAAGACGTGAGTCTGAAGGTCAGTTAATTGTTGTAACAATTGATGAATTCAATACCTCCAAATCTTGCAGCCTCTGTCTTTCTCTTAGTTTGAAAACTGTCAGCACGTCCAATTTCAAGGGGAATAATGTATTGACTTGCCAAAGCTGCCACAAACTTTGGCAGAGAGATGTCAACGCTGCCCGGAATATGATGGTTATTTCTGAATCAATCTGGTCAGGAAAGGGAAGACTACCGATCTTCAAACCTCAAACAAGAAACAAAATCACCATAGCAAACACGGGTATCCTCAGGGTTTAAGATTTTTACAGGTAAGATGCCTAAGCATAAGTTTCAATCTGTCTGAAAACTAAACTTCTTTCTGCCTAAATTTTGAATTTTGATTCGTCAAAAAAAAAAAAAAAAAAAAAAAAAAAAAAAACTAACATCGTTTGAATTAGAAGTAGAAATACTGTAGGTTTTAGTTGTACGTTTGAATGCTAAAATTCAAGATTTTTATCTAACCAATCAAGAAATGTTTAATTCATGCACGATCATTCAATTGAGTGATATATACATTTTTTTTCTTTTAGCTGACCATACTCTACTGAAACTTATATTATTATTAAAGCCTGATTTGTCAATAAATATACAATTTCTGCCAAAATACATGTAGGTCTGGCTCCATTTTGCTACCCAGTCAAAACGATCTTTTAAAAATATTCTCTTCTTGTTTCTAGCCAAAAGGTAACTTCCTCAATGGCGAGTTTACACTCATCCCTCATAAATCCATTTACTCTAGTATATATGTATATATACATATTTATATAAACATCAGCATACTTGCTTTTTAGTTCATCAACTGCATCTCGAATCGTAGTTTAAGGATTCTCGTCATAAAAAAACAGCCAGACGCTGTCTATGTTCTTCTTGTAATGATGCTATTAGCCTGTTGTATCGACTAGTTTTACATGTCAATGATAATAAAAAAAAACCGAGAATCCTCTACAAACTTTTTCCACCAGTTATGATATGTGTTCTCTTTCACGCCGGTCTTTAAAAAAAAACGATAACAACAATTCTAACTGATAAAAGATGTTGCTGCTTATATAATTCTCTGGATGTTAATTCATAATCGTTATATTTTCTTGAACGTGCAACACTCTTCTTTAGTAAACTCTTTTCCATTTCTTCATTAGCTTTTAACAATGGAAGCTGATGTGCTTCAATTTTTAAGGTAAGGCTTAAGATTGATTTATTGTTCCAAACCATAAGAGTTGCCTTTCTCATCAATGACGTCCATAACTTCAATACTATTTTTCACCATATATGTTTCCACACACACACACACAACTCACCTTATTTAAAAAAAATACAATTGAGGACATCCTTTATCTTTTCTTTTTCTTTTTTCACTTTAGTTTCTTACATTCTACTAAATAAAGTTCAAAAAAAGAATGATTTCGATTTGAGAGTGGAATGAGTGTATCTTACTGTTTCAGTACTATGATAGATAAATTAATGCATATCAAGTCATAATCTTCTGGCATACAGCAAAATACTAGAATTACAAGTATTAAACATTTCAAGCGTTAGATCAACATCATAATATATGTATATACATATATATATTGAAACATACATATAAAGAAACATTAATATAAAATGAACAATCAACCAGACCGATGAAAATGAAAGTTAGGTAATATTCTGGTGGTAGAACACCAGAGTCAATTTAGTAGTTTAAGCTATGACTGTGATAGAAAGAATAAAGATCTTGACATTTTATCATCTATCAAGTACAATACCAGCAAAATATCACGTTGAAAGTGAACGTTAAGTAAAGCAGTAAGTTCTTTTTTCAAACATGCATTTGTTTTTAACTTTATTTCATATCGTCTCAACACAAATTCTTTTGATTGGTCTACATTTTAATCTTGCTATATCTTAAAAAAAAAAAAAAAAAAAAAAAAAAAAAAAAAAAAGGCGCACATGTTATTTCTATTAGTTTTCTTTTTTTGTTTTTTAAAAAAAAGCATTTATGTTTATTGAATATTATTGTGGTATATGTGAAAGGAGGAGCGAGTCAGTACATTGGTTACCAAGAAATTATTGCTTAGTCTGTGGGAGAGCCCTTAATCGATTTGTATGTAAAATAAAATAAATTACATGAAAGGTGGAAGAAGTGGGATGTGTGTGTGTGTGTGTGTGGTGGAGATACAGTTGATAAGACGGAATCTTTAACTTTAATCATTTTATTTTATTTTTTTATTATATATAAAAGCTATATAATGGCAATAATCATGAAGTTGAAGAATTCAGATCCACTGCAATGAACTGGTTACTTTGTTTGTGTTTATTTTGTATAATGATTGATTTAAGCTATTTATTTTAGTAAAATTAATGTACTTTAGATACATCAGAAGAAATAGAGAATAGGGTGGATTATACTATTGATGAAGAAGAGTATACAGAGTCTCGTGATATGAGTCCATTTAGATACTATCAAATAAATGATAATAGTAGAAGATCTGCACAAGATTTATCTACCTTATATCATTATTCCCCACTGGTTACAAGGATAGGATCATCTATTCGCACTATAAGTGAAGATTCGTTATCGTTAGAAAATGATTTCGATGATACTATATTTGACCCTGACAGAGATTCAATGGAAATAGATATTCAAACAGGAAGATGGATAGTTTCACAATCTGAGGAAGAAAATGAAGAACAGTCTCCGTCATTATCATTTACTGATTCTGAGATATTAATAAGGTACACTAAAAAAAAATGTTTTTATATGTGTATATACATACTAAATTATAATTAAACTAGTGACATGTTGATTAATAATAGTCAAAATGAAAATGAATTTGATAGATCTATGTTTTCAGATAGAATAACAAACCTTATGACAAGGCATCATACTACAAGGTAACGAATCTCAATACATATATATAATATGTTCTATAGATTCTCTTAATTTAAAATATATTATAGTGATACTATTTATGAAGAAGATACACAAATTTTACGAAATAACTATATCGAATCCATTTTAAATAGTTTGAAAAAGACCGTTTTGAAGCCAACGGATTCAGGTAAAGCCTATATTTTAAAATCATGCAACATTATGTGTATAACTTACGTAATGCAGATGTGAATAATGAATGCTGTATTTGTCAAGATATTTTTGGAACATCATTAGTGATATATCAATTGCCTTGTCAGCATAAGTATCATGGAACTTGCATTACTCGCTGGTTAGATATTAACGCTATATGCCCTATTTGGTAAATAATAATGTAAATAATTGGAAAAAAATTTTTTTTTCTTCCATATATTGACTATATAAAAGTCGTTGTATTGTAAGAGAAAATAATAATGATAGTAGAGAGCAACAAGTAGATGACAGTTTTAATAGGCCGACTTTAAATTATACTAATATCATCAATAATTTGCATGCTTATACCTCAAATTTAACATTACCAGAAGATGAAATATTTAGCAGTGAGGCGGTGAATAGAAGTAATATATAGACACAAAAATTACTTTATTTATATATATAAACTTATTGCTTTATGTAAACTATAAGTGTTAGATACTTGGTTTCTTCATGGACTAAATGATGAAATGATACATGATGAAGAGCTGAGCTTAAGCTCCTCCTTTATGTCTTTGATAAGAACACTACATTCCTTTGATTCTGAAGAAGATCAGTATGAAGCTATTGATTAGAATATTCCTCTATATCATCATTACAGTTATATGAGGATAATAATTTATCACCATTAGAAGATCTTTTCGAAAATTTACTTATACACCGGGGAAAAAAAAGTTTGTCAAGCTATCATACTAGTATAACAAAATCAGATACCAATTTTGATGAAAAGAAAAAAAAAAGAGATAATATCTGATAAAAAAAACTACTGAATACATAAACACGTCTTTCCTGGGGTATATTCGTTATATAATTTTAAGAGAGCAAATGAATAAATAGTTAATTTACAGTATTGAAGTATGATCATGTACAATCTTTTTTTATTTTATTATTATTTTCTTTTTTGTTCCTGACACTCGTATAACTTGGATCTTGGTAAAATCAAAGCTATTTTAAGTCAAGATGTCAAAATACTATAACATTAGTATTTGTCCTTCACTATTTTAAAAGAATAAAGTTTTATAATATGAAAGATGAAAATATCCTTCAAAAAAAAAATCCTATTTATTTATTTTTTATACTAAATAAATGTCAATTACAATATCACATTTATTCCATTTTAGAAGCAAAAGCATTCATTCCACCTTACAAGATGTTATCAAATAAATTCCTATAGCCATATGTTACTACACGACTCAGTTACTTTCATAAATACTAAAATAGTGAACTAAATCCGACATCAACTCTCTATTACTCAAGTTTTTAAATGCTCTCTCTCTCTTTTATATACATATATTATTTTGACAATTAATCCTTTCAATATGTTTACCTATCAAAGCATATACCCTAAAAAACAAAAAGCTTATAAGCAAGCATTATAAATTAAGTTTTATAAGCAGCTAAGTCTTGTACATATATTATCCTATTAATAGCAAAAGTATGATATTATATTTATTCAATTCGAATATAATTAAGTTTTTTTTTTTTTTTTTTTTTTTTTTCAACTACCTGGATGGATTCCAAATAACTCCTAGAGATAATATTATTCTTTATTTCCCGACCGCTGTTCATGTTTCTAAATATTCTGAAACTATTGATATTATCTATGAGAATATTTGTATCCCAATTAGATACCTTATTATACTTTTTTTTTCTCGAAATAGCATGGATGGCACTATTTCTGGGATTATTTAATTTTATATCTCAAGAATCCATATCAAATCTATTTTCAAGGCAACCAATTTATTAAAACTTACTAATGCCATTTAATAAGGCAAACCAAGATGCTCCTGCTGTAATACTACATCCTTATTATTTTAACTTTATGTTACTTTGTTCCTTTTCTTGCTTTATTACATTCATTTTACAATAATAACCTAGTAAATGCGTCGAGCAGTTATGTGAATTCATATAATGATATAATTATTATTTATTATGCACTATCATTTCATCCTGATAAGATCTATCGACCTAATACGCCAGTTACAGCGTTTTTCCTAGCTAGTATTTAGTTGAGTCTCTCTCTCTAAATAGGTTGGTTTATGAATCAGTGATATTTCTTTATTTGCATTGTCCATATTCCTGGTAAATACAATTTAATGATCTCTTTTTTCAAAATTTACCCACATATATAATCGTTGAAAGCTAAGTTAGTAGATCACTCAAATGTAAAATAGTGTATTAAGAAAGAATGGCCTTGAAACAATGCTGTAAGTGTTAATTATGGTATATGAAATATTAAACAATCATGATATACAGTAAAAAATACGCTTAAGTAGCACTATTGCCTATGACATTCAACAAACCAGATGAAAAAAAAAAGTAGATTTAACCGGTATATATAAATAAAGATATCTTTTGTGATATAGATCTGAAGGAAAAAAAAAGAATAAACACTATTTAAATGCATATATTTGATCAACTTGTTAGTATTATATCATCCTCCTCTATTCTATTCTGATATACAGAACGTATAGAATAACATCTGAAATATCTTTGGGAATCTATTAAGTATTCCAGTTTAGATCTATTATATCAAGATCATATTGTGAGAAAATAAGCATGTGCATTCAAATGTTTTGCCTTTTCTATCATAATGAAAATACGGGAGGGAAAGTAGTTGATAGGATATACGCGTGTAACTATATAATACAAAAGTTATATTTGTCATGCTGTAATTTAGCCAATCAAATTCCTTTTATGTCATTTTTTATCATGCTGCTGCTAATGAAGAAAAATGTTAAACCTGAATAAATAAGATAGCATAATTATAACGTAGTAAAGTTTAATTATAAATAAAGAAATAAATAGTTTCTTTTTCCTTTTTATTTATTTATTTATTTTTTTATTTTCATCTTATATTTTAGGCTCTTTACATATATATATATATTAATCTGCTACCCATGGTTGATACTAGTCATCATAAATCGTCTTCTCTTAATGAAGATAGTGTCAAAGTTCAAGGAAAGGATCATAACATTAGAAACAGCGTTGAACTAATGCCTAGGTCTAGTTACTTCAATGAAGGTAAGATTTATATACATATAAAAAATATCGACAATATAGTAGATGGATATTTATAATTAATATATAAAAGGTACTGCAATGGATCTTAGTAAACGTAAAAGGCTTGGCTTGACTGGACTTTTGCCTGCTCATATCGAGACTTTGGATACACAAAAAGCTCGTGTTTTACGTGTACTCCGTTCAAAGAAAGACAATTTAGACAAATATATCTTATTAGCACAATTGCGTACGTCTAATGTTCGTCTTTTTTATAAAATTATTATTGATGAATTAGAGGTACTATATTCTTTATATATTTATATTTTGTAAAATAATAATATTGAAAAAAAACAAAAACAAAACAATTCTCATTAGGAAATTGCTCCAATTATTTATACTCCGACTGTGGGTACTGCATGTACAGAATATTCTAATATATATCCATTCTTAGCTCCACCTGGTGTATCTGATGGTTTATACCTTACAAAAGCAGAATTACCCGAGTTATGTCAAGTTATCCGAAACTATTGTCCTGCAGAACATGACTTTGATCCCGAAATTGCTGTTATTACGGATGGATCTCGTATATTAGGTCTAGGTGATCTTGGTTCAAATGGAATTGGAATTCCAATTGGTAAGCTCCAATTATACGTTGCTGGAGCAGGCATTGATCCTCGTCGTACTTTACCTATCATTCTTGATGTGGGTACAAATAATGAAAAACTTTTAAATGATCAGTTTTATCTTGGTTTACGTCAAAAAAGACCCAATGATGAAGAGGTAAGGGGGGAGAAAAGATTTGGAATTAAGTAGATGAATATGTTGAATAATATATATATATATATATGTATGTATGTATGTATGTATATTATAGTTTTATCAAATAGTGGATAATGTCATCACAGCACTTCATACTGTCTATCCTAAATTAGTGATTCAATTTGAAGATTGGTCAACAGAACATGCTTTTGGTTTATTGGAAAGATATCAGCATAAAACGTTATGCTTTAATGATGATATTCAAGGAACGGGAGCTGTTATCCTTTCAGGTCTTATTAACGCTATTCGTAAAGTAGAAAAGGAAAATAATGTACCTTCTAATGATCATCGAATTGTGTTTTTTGGTGCTGGTTCTGCCGCAATTGGTGTTGCTCGTCAGATTCAAGCCTATTTTCAAATTGAACATAATATGTCAGAAGATGAAGCTAAAAAAATATTTTGGATTGTGGATTCTAAGGTAAGATAGCTGGATACATCATATATATATAAACCAAAGCAAGCTGAATAATAATAATTCTAATTAGGGGCTCGTAACTACTACCCGAGGCGATAAACTTCCTCAGCATAAACAATATTTTGCAAGAAATGATACAAATGATAAACAATATAAAAAACTTTTGGATATTGTGAATTATATTAAACCAACTGTGTAAGTTATATATATATATATATATACAAAAAGTATGTGTTATGAGGTGTATTTATTATGTTATCTGGTAGCTTGATTGGTCTTTCATCTGTTACTGGTGCTTTCAGTCAGGAGGTTCTTTCTCGTATGGCTGAATTAAATAAACAACCTATTATTTTCCCTCTTTCGAATCCTGAATCTCAGGCAGAGTGTACATTTGAAGACGCAATGAAAGCTACGGATGAAAAAGCTATATTTGCTTCTGGAACAGCATTCCCTCCATATACTACTAGTAAAGGAGAAATCAAGTATCCTGGGCAAGGTAATAATATGTATATCTTTCCAGGATTAGGTCTTGGTGCTATTTTGAGTCATACAAAGATTATTACAGATCGTATGATTTATGAAGCTTCAAAGGCCTTGGCAAATTCATTAACAGAGGAAGAAAGCGCTAATGGCTGGATTTACCCCTCCTTAAAACGTATTCGAGAAGTATCTTCTCTCATTGCTGCAGCTGTCTGTAAAGAGGCTATTCATGAAAATTTGGCTACATCAGAAGCTGTTATTCATGGTTGTAAGAGTGATCAAGATTTAATCGATTATGTTATTTCCCACATGTGGTCTCCAACAAAAGAAGGCTATGGTAAAAAGTCAGCAATTGAAGCTAATAAGTTATAATCTATTTGCATATTATATAAAAGAAAAGTCATCCCCCCTTCTTCTTCTTCCACCTTTATTGTAACAAAAGAGGGGAAAATAAATATTGGATTTTCGGACTCATTAAAACAAAATGAATTTTATTGATTAATAGTAAAAGTCCAACTGAGCGTAGGTATGTTATATACCCAAATTTGCTTGAACCAGTTTATAATGTATAAAATAAAACCTCTCCCCTCCTTTGTGGACTCAAGGTGGAAATGTAATGAGAGAAAAGGATAGGAAGGGAGTGTGCATATTACATCCAATGTGTGTGTGTGTGTGTGTGTGTTTGAACTCAATGAATGAAAGAGGAATTCATAAATGATGTTAGCAGTAATGATTGGGGCTCGAAAGGTATACTGCATTGTATCAAGCCAATAAGTTGTAAGGTTTGCTGGAGAAGAACCCAATGAGTTTTCCAGTATACTCGCCTAGAAAATGATTTAAAAAGTCGCTTAGGTGATATGTTGAGGATAATATGAAATAGAATGAGCAATAGTTGCAAAAACATGTAGACTGGATTGTACATAGAGGCAATGTATGAGATAGGCTTTAATGAACTTGCTGTGCTGTTGTCATAAACAAAGTTTGAGTTTCCCATCATATAGTCATCCTAAGCACCATCTTAAAAGACTACTATATTCAATAGAGTGTTTAGGCAGTCAGAGAATGGAATCCAAGGTAAGAGTTGAGGGACACACAGATAATAACTTGCTATATTTGTATTGAAGTGCCTTCTGAAAATTGCTGTTAAGAAAATCCTGCTAATATTTGTGAAATGTTAAAGCAGTAATGTTATCTAATAATGTCGGGAAGAGTAGTCTTGGCAAAAAGGTATATTTGTAAGTTTATACCATTGACTTGACCTGAAGGTTAGTAATATATGGTAGTAAACTTATGAGAAAGTGGATCATCAGGAAGTAAAAATGAATGTAGAATAAGTTTGGTTTCCATTATATTGCATCGTTCTTGCATAAAAGATATTTAGCTCATATGTTGGTATTGCTTTTATGAAAGAGTAGATGAAACTACCGAAGATTGTACATAAACAAATATCCCGAGTTTGCTCTAACTGTTTATGCTAAGGAGCTGTAAACTTTAAAGATAGCTTAGGCATACTCCAGTTTGAGGTTGTACCGCATGCTTATACAGTTATGTCAATAGTAATTTGGAAGAACCAGACTCATTGATACCGGTACTTTTGAGAACTTATATAATGGTATGAGCATTTGTTATAATTTGCTGAATAAGACACTTGACACTAAGGTCCATCATTTTTTGTTCTGAATCCAAAGATAGATCTTAACGAATTATTAAGAAAGGAATATAAAGTTCATTTGGCGCATAAGAAAAAAATCTTCAATGTTGCTACCCTGATGTTGTATTCACGTATGTACTTCTGCTGTTAGTCTGTTGTTTCATAAAATGAAATTGTGAATGTTAATTCACCGTTGAAGTAGTGTGTTTCCGGAATTATGATTATGATCCTCAATAAATAAACTCATACTAGCATCAAATCATTATAAAAAAAATTGATGTCAGTTCGTGACGGGTCCATCATTACAATCATATCCTGTAAGAACTATGTTTTAAAGCAGATAAGCATCAGTAGGAACTTGTCAGCTGAGTCAATAATGTCTTCAACAGAGTTATTCGAGTAGCGATTGCATCAGTAATAAATCTAGAAGAATACCAGCTACTTTAGCTTCCTATATGGTTCCTCTATAGCTCTTTAGAGATAGTAGTTTACATTGTTTTCAAAACTAGCCATTATTTATATAGACTAGCGTGGAATAAAATCAGAGTAAAAGTTGACCATGGTTGTTGTATTTAACTTTATTTCCACAATATATCGAATTAGGTTATACATATTTGAATGCACAAATATTTTTATAATTTAAAGAAATATTTATTCACAACAATAATAGCTGAATAATAGATATTATTTCAATTACTTAACCTTAAGATCATAAACAGCAGCATTTTAATTGGATAGATTTATATCTATAAGTATATTATGCTAACAATGAAAATCATTTCTAACCGTGTTTTTATTTTTGATGTTAATAATGGATCTTGGTGAGATTCATTTCATACTTCTAGGCTTACAATTTTGATTTATATGTCAAAATATCACAAGTATTATTTCTGCATCCTGCTAATTCAACAAACTCGAACTGCATATTGATGATCCAAAGTTTATTGCAAGTGTAATTATTCACATAACTTAAGAATGGATTCGAAACTCCCAATACTGTTCAAGGAGTTTCAATTGATGCCGTAGTATGTACTTTTATATAAAATACACCTCTTAAATACGCATTCTCACGTATTTGTATTTCAGCAGAGGATGATAGATCGAAATTTTAAAATTATCAATCTAATGATTAATATTACTAAAAAATACTAAATCGTCTTCCTTCTCCTTAACTCTAGACACATCTTATCAAATGATTTATCACACTCATCAATCTCAGCATCATCATTATCATCTTAAGATTAGCAAGCCAAAGAGAGAGATAAGAATTATTCAAAAAATTACTACTGTTTTTGATAAAAATGAAAAGTATTTGATTTACTTCTGGGAGAATATTGCCTTTCTTCAAGATAATGAAACTTTCATATATATGTATATATATATTCCAATAAAGAATGCTATAGTAAAAGGAGCACTTTTAATATAGAAAAGCTCTAAAACTGTTTACTCAACTCTCTTATAATGCTCTCAACAAAGAGTTGAAGATCATTATAAATCCAATTTTTTTTATGTTTAAAAGTAATGGAACATTCGAGACATTATTGTTTTTAGATTATTTGTAAGGTACCTCTAAGGTGCCTTCATAAAATTTCCACAGTATCCTCTTCGAACTTGGTGATATTCTATTTTTCCAGACAACTTTTAAACATTTCATTTATGATCTTGTCTCTTTGCCTATCAGTGTACCTGATGTATATAAAGAACACAGATTTTGGGTTTTTAGTGCTTGTTTTTCTAGTTTCTTTTTCTTTTTTTCTTTTCCTTTTATATATATATATATAACAGTTTTCTCGGCATACTTACGATCCAAATTAGCCTGCTAGTTAGATTGTTATTGTTTTAAGAGTAACTTCTGGATCTGTAAACTCCATCAAGACATTCTCCATTAAATTAAAAGATTTGTACTTTTTCTGCTGAAAATACTGTCCTATTCACCTTCATAAAACACACATATATACACATATATATTGTTTATGAAGAGCTGGAAATCATAACCACTGCAAGAAATTCACTAAAGATAAATCAAAAAAGAAAGGACATTATTCTTGAGTGACTAGTAGTTAAAGAAATGGATTTTCGGAAGAACTATATTTCTCTTGATGAGGCTCGATTTTTTTTACGTATATTATGTATTTAAGGCTGGTACAAGATAGTGAAGCCTACTAAGACCGTTATAACAACATATAAATATACTTCTATTAACATTTTGAGTGTTACCATTTCAAACACTTATGCTATTAATATTTTTTTTTTTTGAGAAAACCTTATTTTAGTTACCGCTAATAGAAAGATTATATGTAAAAAAAACTACAAGGATTAGAGCTATAACTGTGCAGTATCTTGCCTTTTTTTTTTTTTTAAGTAATACCATAGATAGACTTGATAAGAATGGCATAAAAGAATATTATCTTATAATGGACAATGCTGCATCTATACTTAAACCTGAAACTATAAGAAGCTTGATTGAGATCAGAGACAATAGATACACTGGTCTACCACTGATACCACCGTATTCTTTTTTTCTCGAATCTAATCTACTTATCCTGGTCAAAGATCAAATATAAGCTTAAGATAAGACCTTTTGATACAAGTAATACTCTTGTTTAAGCGTAAGTCCAAAAATATTACTAGTGGTGGATCAAGCATTCCGCAAACGTTTCTTTTTAGCAAATATTTAGATATTGAAAGAAACTTGTAGCTAACCTGCTTTCACAATTTATTGCTTAGCTTTTCTTATTTTTAACTTTGGAGTTTCTCATTTTATTCTGAGCTGAATTTCCATTCTTATTTAGACCATTTTTTTTTAAAAAAAAAAAAAAAAAAAAAAAAAAAAAAAAAAAAAAAAAAATTATAATAAATTAGAAAAGAAAAGACGGTTCTACTTGATGAATTCGGATCAAGTATCATTTTATCATATGTTACACCTGATCTTTTGTGTTGTTAAATAAAATACATGCAACACTAATTCTTACATTTGAAACAAATAATTAGAAAGCTTAAATTACCATATCCGGATTATTGCCTGCATAATAAATAACAGTGGCTGTGTTTTAAGATAAGCCAACAAAATGGGGGAGATGTAATTAATTTTTTTTTTTATGTTTTTAAATATACCAAATTAAGGTAAAAAACAGTAATTTTTTTTTTTTTTTTTTCACTGTGCTCGGTCACTCCCTAAAATTTCATTTCATTATTTTCTTTTTTTTTCTTTTTTTTTTTTAAAAAAAAATATATTTATTTATATATTCTTTTTTGTATATATTTTATTTTATTTTTTACCTTCAAATAATCATCTCGAAATGCTTATTTTAAGACATAATACTTTACCATCTGAGGATCTTTTTGTCATTGAACGGGTAAGATTTATTCATTTTTTTTCTTTTTTTTTGTAATGATCAAGTTCTAATATACATACATGCATATATATTTATTAACATTAGCGCATGATCAAAGTTGCAGATCCGAAATATAATGTCAAAGATCTTACTCATTTTGTAGTATTGGATAAATCTCGAGCCGAACTTTATGGTTATCTTCTTGGATTTATGGAACGACTTGGTTTATGCGAATCGATTGGTGTCACACCATCAGAATTTCTCGATTTTTTAATAGACATTGATCATGGTTATTTACCTAACGCGTATCATTCTTTCTATCATGCAGTAGATGTAGCGATTGTATTATATCAAATGGTTTGTGGTTATGGTGTAGCCAATTATATATCTAGAGTTGATATTGCTGCATTATTAATTGCTGGTTTATGTCATGATATTGGACATGTAAATATATATAATACAAAGCTAATTATTATGAATATTAATATTATTTTTTTTTTTTGGTCTCTCATTATATTAGCCGGGAAAAAATAATAATTATCAAGTAAATCTAAAAACAGATTTAGCTATTCGATATAGCAATAAATCTGTTTTAGAAAGTTATTCATGTACACTTACAATGGATCTATTAACAAAACATAAATTATTTAAAAGACTAGAAGATGCAAGCTCTAATTTGGGTCTTCCTACTTCGGAATCTGAAATGAGAACAATGATTATTAAGATGATTTTAGCAACTGATATGATATTTCATTATGAATTGCAAGAAAATCTCGCTAATATTTTAGAGATTATATCAGAAGAAAACTTAAGAAAAGAAGAATTATTAAAGCCACACCCATCTTCTATGCATAAACCAGTTCTACCATCTACAACAGAAGAAAATGAAGACGAAGACGAAGAAGACGAAGAAGATAAAGAAGAAAGAATAGAAGAAAAGTCAGTAAAGGATTCATCAGATCAGGAAGATGATCATACTGAATCCACACCAATGTTAAGTTCAGAAGAAGAATATATTCGGTTAAAAGATATATTCTCAAATCAGGGAGCGAAAAGTGCAATATCTTATTTTAGAAGAAAATCCTATTTTGAAGAAGATATGATTCCTTTAAATTTAAAAACGATACCAGTATTCCCTGCAAGTCCAGAAGAACTAAATGACGATGATAATGATTATATGATAGATAAGAATAATAAAAAGATGTCATTAGAGGTCCTTCATTCATCAGGTATTGACCTTATAACAAGTACAATAACAGAGAATGGAGTTGAAAAGATTGTATATATACCACCGAACTATATAATGGAACCTCAACAAAGATTAATTTTATGTCAAATTGTATTGCATGCAGCAGATATCAGTAATGCGCTTAGACCATGGCCTATTTGTCTAAGTTGGTCTAATTTAGTATGTGAGGAGTTCTTTCTTCAAGGGGATGCTGAGAAAGAACATGGTTTAGAAGTATCACCTAATATGGATCGAAGTCAAGTGAGCCAAACAACGATTGGTTTACAATTTGGTGACTTTGTCGTTAGCCCTTATTTTGAAATTTTTGCTGCGTTATTCCCTAAAGCAGATGAACTGTTAAAGACACTAGTCGAGAATCGAACACAATGGATCAAATTAGAAGAAGAAATAAAGGATAAGAAAGATAGAGAAGAGAAAGAAGGAAATCAAAGATTACCCTCCAGCATGTTACCTGATAGACCTATCATTAATCCTTCCGGTAGAAGAGTTAGTGTAGCAGCTGGTATGGTCATTATTCCTGATGAATTAGAAGAACGTACAGTGGGTTCTGGAAAATATAAACGAAAATATTGGGGTGTAAGAAGTGTTAGTCATAGTGATATTTCTTCAATCCGTAAAGATCAACAGCATCGCGACCGATCAGAAGTTATTCGTAGAAGAAAGAGTGAAGAACCTAATCTTATCATAACACGCAAATTACGATATGCTCCAATGTCACCAAGAAGATCAAGCCGAGAAAAAAAATCATCTACTTTACCAGTAATTAGCCAAAAATGATGTATACGTAATAAAGAGTCTATTCCATGCTTATTATAATATATTGAATGTAAATACAATCCTTTTATTTTTTTTTCTAAGAATGAATAAATAATGCATATTATTAATATAATGCTACAACCCATTATAACAATATATGTGATAAAGAAACCTCCTAACCAGTATAATATATATATATATATATATTTATACATTTATTTATTCTTCTTGGTTAGTCTAAATGATTAAAGATATAACTTCTCTGTTTACTTTAACAGCTTATAATTATGTGCTCTCTGTCATTTTTACACCAGTGCTACAAGTAATCAACCTCACTGCAACTTATGTGTCATTGATTGCAGAGCTTGTAGTTTTTAATGAGCCAACTAAAGCCTTATATATCATATATAAAACTTTTTTCTCTTACAGATGTATATATTGCTTCTTGCATTCAATTAATCATTGTAGCAATTTGTTCTGATTTTAATGGCACTGGTTTCCAAGATAAAGATACATCAGAGATACCATTCTCATATTTAGTGTCTGATTCCTTCCACTCTAATGTATTAACCACTATCCATATGCAGCCAGATGTAGAATCCCTATCATCAGTTGTACCAACAGAAGAAGAAAAGGAAAAAGTATCAAGTCAATTATTATTCGTTATTGAAACCACATTAAAAGAGAAGAATGCTGCTGAAGGGCTTTTTGTTTCGATTTATTTTTTAAATGCTGTTGTTGCTTTAACACATTATTTTTACTACTCATTTTTACAAATGATTTATTTAGCATATTGGGTTTTATTAATAATTCATTTCTATCTTCGTCACTTTTATCAACGTTTGTACAAACTTTATTATTCTCTATTGTCTTCCTTTTATTGTTATTAACTGTATTATCATTTGACAGTCGCTTGCTGTTGTCAGTAGTTTCCAAATCTTAATAATACACATGTAGAATCTGCAACTATGTCTAGATTAAATTCAAATATTTCAGTTGTTAACAAGACATCATCATCTTCTTCTTCAAATAGCTCTCCTCTTCAAATCAAGTCACATGATCGTCCTAAACCAATAGACAACAATTTGAACCCAACATCATACACCTTTTTCAGAAAGTATTCGTACACTTTAAAAAAAACATACACCCTCATTCATATAACATTGCACATACCATGATCACTATATATATATTCATTATTTTAATGTTAAAATATAGTAAAATTTTTTTATTTCTTATTATTATTATCACGATGGTTGTTTTGTAATGAGAGTAATTCTTTTCTCCTGTCATCACCTAGAAAGCTTCATTATTATTAATAGCATCAACTGATGTTTATTTTTAGTGATCAATAAAAATAAAGTAAAATAGACAAGTAAAGAGAGCTATGAAGACTTCCAATTGATAATGATATGAAGTACGGTTTTCTTCTGGAGGTGTAAATAAGGTTATTATGAGGCTTAAGTCTATCTTAGGGCTTTGTAAAGATGATTCTTTACTAGTTAAATCAAAACGACAGTGTTATAGGATATGACTGGAAGTGTTGTGATCTGGTCTCATATCACCATATAATTGTATAGAATAAAAATACCCTTTTAGACAATAGTTAAGCTCTCTTGTCAAGAACGAGATCTAAGGTCAATCTCAAATTGGCAAACAAGACAGGTTTACGATGGTTTGGTTTAGTAAACTAAAAATATACTCGTTGACAGGATGGGTAAAGTACTGGAATACTTTTAATTGGATATATGTAAATGCAACCTTAAAACACACAAGGATAAACAGGGACACGCAATAATAGATACATTTACTATGCTAGATGTAAGGGACAACTCGATTCTTATTTATGATAAACAATAATAAATAGGTACAGAAAGACCAAGTTTTTTTATCGACTAAATATTAAGCTAAAATTAACTAACGAAGAAAACTGGGGGATATAGGAAAATTTGCAGCCTTTTTATACTTTTTCAGCGCTCATGTCATAGTTGAGCATTTAGTGTGAGAAGAAGACACTAAATGAAACGTTCCGCTCAGAAGCCATTAGTTTGGAATTTGACTATTTCGCCATTCCTCTATTTCATTTCAGTTTATACTATAACGGCTATTTTTTTTTTTATTTGAAAATGGACAAGGCAAAGTTTTTGGTGAGCAAGGAAATGAGGCTCATGTTTACAAAATAAAAGTTGACAATGAACAATATCCCTTAGACTAATTGACAACCTACGATCAGTACATAGATCTCAAACTACTTGAAAAATTAAATAAAATTATAAATTGAAGAACGAGAAGAAGAGATAACTAGCTGAGAAACTCTGGAAACCCCGTATAGCATCGAAAGAATATTGTAGATATAATGACTCAGATAAAAATGCATTCATTTATTATCTATATGAGGAAGGTCTAAGCTTACGCAAGGCAGCTGCGAAGCTTAGAGTACCAGCATGAACAGCACAAGGTTGGAAAAACAAATTTGAAGATGGAGATGATGTTTTTGAAAGAAAAGAAGGAAGCGGTGGACCAAAATGCAGATCAGCAATTTTAAAAGAAGATTATCAAAAGCATTTGATCGAATTGATTGATGATAATCCCTCTCTAGTCTTAGATCAAATGATGGAAAGTCTTGCTTCTCAATTTAAAGATCTTGAATTTCCTAAAATGACACTGTATAATTTTGTCACGAAAAAGTGCAAAATAAGATAAAGCATGCCTAGTTTCATTCACTCGAAAGAAATAGTTTTGGAGAAGCTTCAAGAGAGAAAAGAATGGGTCCAGCGCTGGCGGCAAACAGATATGGATTATATACTACATCTTTATAGATTAACCTGGGTTCAATATAAATATGAACCGCTCAATAGCTTAGAGTTAAGAAGGGTGAGCGTGCTATTTTAACTGTTCGGAAAACCAAAGCAAGCAATTTCACCATTTTGGAGACTATTGCTTCGTATGGGGCTTTAAATATTAGCGTAAGACGTCCAAAAAAAGAATTGAGTCGTCTAGAAAGAGAAAAGTTGGAGAAATTACTGCACCAGGTGCCAGTAGAGGTAAAAAGGGGGTACTGTCACTGGTTATTACTTTAATTTTGTGGCTGCAACTTTGGATGTACTTGATTGTTAAAAACAATTGAAAAGGCACCATATTGTTAAGGAAAATGCCCTCATTTATACTCATCTCGATATCCAGAAATATATTGAGCAAAGAGGATATGAGTGCATTTATCTTCCTCCATATTCTCCCGAGCTTAATCCTAATGAACAATTTTGGTCAGTATGCAAGAGTAAACTAAAAAGAGAGAAGCTTTTGAAAGAAGAAACACTGGCATCTAGAATTGCTGAAGCCTGTTATAACATCTACTTGAATGATTTGGAAGGTTTTTGCCAATACTCTATATCAAAATTCCAAGATTGTGTAGATGGGCTACCATTGTAATCTCTTTGTACAAAACTTCTGTTCGACTTTTTTTTTTAAGTATACAAAATTTCTTTAATAAAGTAAACAAAAAATTTATTCCACTAGTGTAAGAATCTTTTTTTTTTTTTTTTTTTGAAGTGTCTGAATTCTTTCTGAAAGAGGTATATAAAATCTTGTCTGAAGTAATTGATAATATGCTTAGTCATCTTCTTAATAATGACAAAGTTGCTAATGTGACCTTATCATTGGTGGATGCCTTTTTTCAAGAGTCTTCATTAATTTATGTTGAACCCCTTTCTGGTTTTATGAATATTAAGAACAAAGAAATCATCTCATACATTTACAATCAAAAAGTCTGCTTAAAGACTTGGTGAAAAACTATTTTCTCTCTAGTTATGATATTAATTTCTACATTATTTATATATGCATATATATAATTCTATATGATGTGTATAAACTGGATAAAATGTGCTTTTTATTACATTGAACTTTACTAAGTAAATAAAATTTAATAGCTAATCTGCCAAAGTTTTCTACGTCTGCGAAAGTCAATAGATATCCGTAGACATGCCAAATCTTCATCATTTGACGTATATGCATTTATGAGAACACTAAATTTTCCCTATTGTTGAAACAAATACATAAATTAACTTTTGAAACACACTTTTAAAAGACTTACTCTAGGGATTTCCTTGGGTAATGTGATTTTTTGAGTAACCTTTATTGATTTGAACAAGTTAATATTCTATTCTTTCAACATTTATGGTAATACTTACAGTTAGGTATCCATCTTGAATAGGGCATTGTAGTTCTACCTTGTCTTTATTATCCTCCAATTCCTTACAAATATCAAAAGATTTGTGCAATAATCTAATTGCTCCTAATTTAACTGCCACATCAGCCATAGCTCCAGGTAAAACAGGTGTACTTAAAGTTCCATTAGCTTGAATGATTACGTCACCTCCTGGAACAACAAGATCAGGCTTTATATCAATATGATCAATTTCTAGCACAAATGAGGAGTCACCTTAAAAAAAAAAAAAAAAAAAAAAAAAAAAAAAAAAAAAAAAAGGAGAGAGAGAGAGAGATATGATTAAAATACGTGTATCCTTTTAATATCGATATATATACTTTACTACAATCGTTAATTTCTACATTTTTGTTATCAATAGTTATATATTGAGAAAGAGAATTTGGCCAATAAACTTGCCTAGCTGATACTCTAATGATATACAATGTCAATAAAATAGCAAGAAAGGTAAGCCTTCTCCATGTTGTCATTATATATGCCATCATTATAAAATAAATGAAGGATTACAATAATGATAAGAGAAAAAAAAGAAGAAGAAGAAGAGGGTTTGCTTATGAGAATATTTAAATACTTTTACTTATTTTATTTTTTGTTTTGATCATGCGTATTACGTCAAATAGTTCCAAGTGATACAGGTTTTCTTATTGCAATTCTTCTTTAAACGAATATAGCTTTACACTACATCTATTTGTTATTATTATTTAAAACTTCAAAGGAGAAAACAACATTTTATAGCCATTTAGGTAACAATATAGTAGTAGCATCTTCTATTAATAAAAAAAAATAAGATAAAAGGCTTTTTTTTTTCTTTTTATTATACAGTGCTTTGCATTTAAAAAAAAACAAAAATTAGCAAGTATATATATTTTGTATATCTATCTGAATGTTTGTGTATACTATATAGTACAGCTTTTTTGTTGAGTAGTAAAATGATTTTATTAAGATGAAGAACGAGTCCAGCCTTTATAGTTCTTCATTAGAGTCAAACAATTCATTCATGAAGTTTTTTCGTACCGTTCTGCAGTCATTGTAATTCTTTAATCGATTATTTAGGTTCTGTAGCGTCTATTTTAACTTTCCTAATTATAGCGTCAGTGGGTTGTTTATTAACGATAATGATGTTTATAACAACGATATAAGTTATAACTACTATATTCTATGGCCAATTCTGAACTCGTCATCAAAATCAATTCAGAAGACTAAGTTTTCATTGAGTGAAAAGAGATTAGAAGCTGTATCCCAGGATCTATAATGACAATCGGCATTTCTATAATACTAATGGTATTCATTTCAAATATAGATAGCGAGATCGAAATAGCATTCTTGGAAACAACAGGCCCCTTACTTTAACAAAATGATCCAAAGGAAACTCAAAATTAAATCAAGGCTGGATACAGCCTTTTCGCCATGCTGCATGTCATCGTGCGAAAGTTCCACTATGGCGATATTGAAAAAAAAATGGCTCTTTTTTTGTTCAGGCGATACGTTTGTATCTTCTCTTTTTCTTTAAAAACATATCCGTTAACGTTTTATTTTATGGTGTTTTTTCAGCAACAGAGATTAGGATTTGGAGAGTATTTATGCCGGCAAGCAAAATTTATGTGACCAATTGTATTGGTTCAGTCAAAGTGCCAACAGAATCAAAAACGTCAGAGGAAAAATCGAGGAAGTTGATTGATCTATTTTGATTCTTCAGAGTAAGTTATACTTGATCCATATTTTGACATTTAATTTATCATTGATATCTTTTGTTAGCGACTAATCAAAGAATCATATCAATCCATCGATCAGCTACAAGGATCACGCATTGATAATTCTGAAGAAAAAGGCTAGGAAGTTGGCGGGTACGTAAAAGTAACAAGTTTGTGTGACAACTTCAAAATAAACACCCTATTCAAATTGCCACAGATTTACATCAAAAAATCAAGTCAAATGCAAATCAATAGCTTACCAATTAGGCTAGATAACAGTAGTAAAATAATTAGGGCATACCTATTGCTGGTTTTTCATTAAAATAACATAGTCTACTATATATGCTTAATACTTGGAATATTTTATAGTTATTTAATTAAAATATACATGTTAACTTGTAGACCAAGTAGGGATAAATGGACTTATTATATAACAAATATTTGTTATTTCGATACTGAAGTTAAAAAAAGATTTTCTATTATAATAAATACAATCATCTTCATTTATTATCTATCATCAAAACGAGTATTCTCAAATCAATTAAGAGTGGCGGAAGCTATACAGAAAGTAAGATAAATATTGCAGTAGCTGAAGCTAAATACAAAAGATATTGTTATGCAAAGGCGAGAAGGAAACTAAATTGTCACTACAAAATTGCAGATATTAAACAATTAGAAAAAATAGTTAACACGTTATAATGTTACAGGATTTTGAGTTTTTTTGTTTTTTTTTTAAGTCAAAAAAAAACATCAGATGTATGTAATAGACCATATTAATCCAATAACCACCGATCAGATTAACTGAAGAGTCAGTGTCGAGTCTGGAAAGACTCCAAGTTCAGAGGATTAAGCAAACGCGGGAGTTCCTATCTTCCAAAGTTCCTTGATAGGCTTGCCGGATTTGTCAGGGAGCAATGTATGCTTTCTCAAGTCATTGGTCATTGTAGGCTAAGAAAAAAAAATGCAAATGGAATCTTGCGTAATTTATATTACAGTCTGGGAAACTAGGTTGGGCCAATAAAAAAATAATTGGGTCATTCAAAAATTAAATTGGGACACGGATGTAGAATTGGGACATCCAAATGAAAATGAGACAGAGATGTGATTAAAGAGTAATTTAATTAAAGTAAAGGCTATTGCGCACGTAGTGACTATGAATACATTGTTTTGCCCTGGCCAGTTCTGAGTGTTATTTTGTATGAAAAAAAAAACCCCTTTTTGCAAGAAAAGAGGAAAATGTATAAAAGTAAAGAGAAACAGAATCAGTAAAAGAAATATTTGAACTACTACTACTACTACTATGATTGATTTAACCAATTCACCAGTTTAACACTAGAAATGATGAGTTCAGGAGGCGGTTTGTTGTGGAGAATATAGTCCAATTCGTGAAATATTCGGTATACTACCGGCTAATGAACGGACCAAATGCAGGAAACTTTGGGATGGCGGTTTTTTTTTTTTTTTTTTTTTTTTTTTTGTAAGTGAGCCTGTTCAAGACGAAGGAAAGCGGGTCAGGGATGGTGTGTGTCATTTGAAAGTGGCTATTCATGTCGAAGCAGTCAATAGCATGGTCCCAAGTAAGCCTTGAGTCTGAGTGGAAGACACGATGTTGTGGCTTGCCACCGAGGAGCCAACCAAGTTACCATCGAACATATTATTATTTTGGATCAGGAATAATTGTAAGTCGTGCGTCATGCTAACATTCAAAATAAAGACTGAGTCTGACTTTAACCGAGAAAAATGCCCTAAAAGTATAATTCAGACAGATCTAACAGCTTTGTCACTTTAGAACGTTTTCCATAAATGGTAGAATTTGTTGAAATTTGATACTTTATTAGTATGTGTAAATTCAAATTAAACAAATGATCTGTCAGAAATATTTGCAACAACATGCTCCAGCGCATTTTACCAGTCGACTGTAAAGAAGCTGATGTGGTTCTATTGCAAAAAATAACAAATAGTACAGTTGAATACAGATGCATATCTAGCGAAGACGTAGAAATTTTCCAATTGGGAGATGTTATGAAGAATGAAAACTTGGCTGATGTTTCTCTTTGCGGGCTGGATCCCAACCGACATCAGGTTTTTGCTGCTGCTTATGGGGAGGGTGATGAATCCCATCAAATCAGACGATGCTCTACTAAAGAGTATTTTACCTTAACAGGGTCTATAAGACACGCAAAGAGAGAAACAAAAAAAAATGACTCGAGAAAATATGGAGGATATACTTCTCAACATTCCTACAACCAAGACAGCTGTTCTTTCAAACTATTTGCAATACGTAATTTATATTTTCTTACATCTAAACAGAATACTAGCATTTAACAACTTCTCAACTGCTGAAAGTCTCTTTCACCTATACCAGGGAGTTCAAAGGGCCCGACAAGAAATGGCTAATGTCCTCATTAATGGTGGAAAAAAATACAATAAGGCCAAAAGAAAGAAGACAAAGAAGAAGAGGAAGAAGACAAAGAAGAAGAGGAAGAAGACAAAGAAGAGGAAGAAAAGAAAGAAAAGAAAGAAGAGGAGGCACAAAGAAGCGAAAAAAAAGATAAAGAAGTTCCCCAGCAGACAAAGTGAGTATACTAACATCAAAGCTGAGAGACAAACACTATATTCATCAACTATTATTTTAGGAACACCAAGAAGCTTTGGAAGCCCCAACCTTTCAAATACGACAAGAGTAAATTGCCTATTATAGCTTTCGAAAATGGCATGTTCGGAAAAGACGGTGTACATTTGAAGGGTCTCAGGGTGGGAGTGACAGGAGTTCTTTACAAACAACTCAAAATAAGACAGAAATCAGGAGAACTTTTACTTGCTTCTGTAGATGAGTTCAAGACTTCAAAGGTACAACAAAATTTACCAAAACTGGTCAAAGAATAATTTATTAATACTGTAAATATAGACCTGTCATGTATGTCTTCAAACATGCTTGACTGATGCTTACATTGGGTTGCACAATGTTCAAACTTGCCAAAGTTGCGGAATAATGTGGCAACGCAACGTTAATGCGTCGAAAAATATATTCAAAATCTCAAGACAAGTGATTGGTGGTCATGGGCGTCCACGGGAGTTCACGAGAGAACAATAGGTCTTGTTTTTTTTTAATATCGCCGTCTCGTACACGGTTTCTCTTGTTAAAGAGATTTAGATATTTACAGGTATGCTGCATCTATTTTTTTTTTTTTTTTCGTCCAGAAAAATCTAACATTTCGTCTTAATTTAACTTATTCTCCTCTGCCCCATTTTCGTATTTCTGTCCCAATTTAATTTTTGAATGATCCAATTATTTTTTTATTGGCCCAACCTAGTTTCCCAGACTGTAAAAGAGAATCATGATAAGTATGACTTATCACATTTTTGTCCAATCAAAGCCCAAAGTACAGCAAAGCGAGTGCGAATAAATACATAGTAACTCTAATTTAGCTCAAAACAACAATCATTTGCTAATAAACGGCCAATCATTCTCCAGTTAGCGCCATTTATTTTTTTATTTTTTTTCAAAACGGACAAAATTTACTAGCCGCACTATACAAAATAAATATGCTTGCTTATCCAGGTTCCTTAGATTACGTAATATACTTAAAGTATAAACATTGTAAATATTTGTGATAATTTCTCAAAAGAAACATTGATAAAGCTGAATAGATCAGCTCTAATTTATATTGAAAGAAAAAAAAATTTTTTTTTATTCATTTGAAAGGTTATATAGTTGTTTAAGAAATATACCATTCGTAATAGAGATAGTTAATAATATTATATATGTTAACCCTTTGCATTTGGAAATATTTGTCTATATCATCAATTTTATCATTTGATGGTGGAATATATTAAGCATCTCTTGTTGAAGAAAACGCTTTAAGGGTTCTTTTATGTTTAAATTTCTTTGCTTTTAATGCTGATCGCGAATCATCAGCAGCAGATGCTTTACGTTTCAGTGATTTTGATATTAAATAACTAGCGTCTATGAATTTTTGCTCATCTAACTGACGAGTAAAAGTGTAAACCGTTTGTAGATCTGATCGCCTAGCTTCAGGTATTTGTTTAAGGCTAATTAATAGCTCGTTACGTAAAATAGTAGGCAATGCATTCTGAAATAATATAACTAACAAATCAGGATCCATTGGATGAGAACGTTGTATTAAATTATTGAATCTTTCTATAAATTGATCAATTGTTTCTGACGTATGTTTTGTAATGTTTAATAATAAGTTTGTAGCATGCTCATGTTCATTTTTCTTAGGTACATCAAAGCGTTTCTTAAAAGCTCTCATAAAATCCCGCCATAAAGGTTCTCCATCAAAAGGAGAAAATGCAATGTATTCGTTATACCACATTTTTTGTTCTCCACTTAAACACATTGGCATCAGACGAAACCAGTTTTTATCAAGATCTAGGCTATATGTTCTCAATACTTTCTCAAAGTTTTGTAAGCAGATATCCACAGTTGGAAATATAGGTTTTGAAGAATCACGAACATAACCTTTCCATTGGAAAAAGGGAAGATCAACAGGAGTAATAAAAGTAGGAGCAGCCAGGGGATCATTAGAAGGCATAGGTATTCGATTATACAAGTCCATAAGACGATTCAGAAGCGTTGACTGTTGCAAGGCTTGAAGCATCTCCCTTGAGCACTCATCACGTCTATCAGAAATACGTTGTTGTTCGGCAAATGATAAATTTGTTAAAGCAAGGAACCAGCTATGTGCAGAATATGTTTCCCGTGTTTTCATTTCAGCAATCCATTCTGCTCTCGCTGCCTTTCTAATGGTTAAGATAATTTTGTCATATGAACTTTGATTACAGCTGACGCTATTTGGTATATATTTGCTTTCAACATCAGTTAAGCTATTAGAGTCACCAATAATAGCATTAACTAAAGTAGATTGATTATGTTTGTCATCAATAGACGTAAAGTTAGCTTTTGTTGAATTCGGTATAGCTAATGACGAAGACTTTGTAACAGTATTGCCAGTCATTTTCGTTTAGTGAAATATAGAAGCTAAAAAAATAAAAAAATAAAAAAAATAAAAAAAAGCTAATTTTATTTAAAAAAAAAAAAGGGCGTAATGCATAAAAACATGTTGAAGGTAATTTAATTTAGTGTATTTTTCCTTAAAAAAAAAAAGAGAGAGTATGTGTGATCCTTTATTCACATATTTGTGGTTAACTCATGGCCATGTAAACTTGTGGCGTAACCCAGAAGCAAGTTTGAGTCGATTTCTCGATAGTAAAATCGTTTGTACATCTAAATGCCATCTTTTTTCCAAAAATGGACGGCTTTGTTTGAGTACTAGAATCAACAATTATTTGTGTTTGTTTTAAGGCTTTTTGCTCAACCAAATTATTCAAAAGTTCTTGAATTTCTCTTCGAGTAAGTCCAGAACTCAAATGACGATAAATATCCGATTCAGTAATACCAGGCTTTCTTAGGACAATGTCAATAATAGCATCTTTGCAGCCTTTTATAACCATATCTGTAGCATGCCCATTAACATCAGTCCATAAGCAAGGTATAATAATTTCTTCTTTCTCTGGTTTCTTATCAGTTTCTATATTGGCTTCTATCATTCTTTCTTTGGTTTTCTCGCTAACCGAAGGTGTAACAATATTTTTGTTAATGATGGCCCATTCATTAATAAAGGCTATATGAATATAGCGAACAATATTGAAACCAACACGACATACTAAGGCTGGATCATTAGAACAAAGAAGTTGAAGTGCCCGCAATATATCTTTATCAGAATAAGAGTTATTCAATTTAAGTTTAAGCTGATATAAAGATAAACCAAGCTCAGCCTCCTGGTAAAGTAAATCTACAATATATTTAGATAATGTATTGAAGGCTTGATCTTGTGTAAGTAAGAAACTTGATAATGCATTTTTGAATTCATTTGTATTCAATGTTTTCAAATGAAGCTTGTCAAGAGAAGGAATATATGACATAAATTCGTCATTATCATTAACTTTTTCTATATCTATTTCAAATTGAATTAAAGATGCATCTATGTGTCATTTAAATAAAGTAAAAAAAAAAAAAAAAAAAAAAAAAAAAAAAAAAAAAAAAAAATTAGAATAAGCTAGAGTGTTATATTCGCATTATATTCTATATATTTACCAATTAATCTAGATATAGAAGGCAATAATTCTATTCGCTTCAGCTCTTTTTCTAGATTGGCCATAGTAATTAAAACCTATTCAAGACTATATATTAGCTTATATAACATAAATAATGCTATAATAACTTACCTTATTTTCTGAAATAAGATTCAATAAACAAGCCATCATTCCGCTACTAACGAATTCGGCAGAAAAACGCACTTTACTTTTTGCAGCTGATAAGAACTTTTCATACTCTACTGCTTGTTTAAACATATTTTCTGGAAGTTGCCCGACCATAGTATTAAAAAATTTAGCAGATAAACTCATCAAAGTACCTGGAAGAGCACGCTCTTTACGTTTTTTAATTAAAATGCCATTTTTGTTCATTTCATTAAGCATTTTATCATGAACTTCTTGAGGGAACTTTTTTAAAATTGAGTAAGAGAAGAATGGATCAAAAACTTCGATAGGAGTTATGAGACTCATCTACATATAATCGGCAGTTAATTCCTTCTTTATATACATATATATATAATGTCTATAAAGTATTCTTACCAATGCATAAGATTGGAACATAGAGCACTGTCTTTTGAATTTATCATTTTCTACTTCTAATAAATAATCTGGCTGATCGTACTTGTTATCATGATATCTTCGTAATGTATATGTATGATCATAAAGAACTAATTGTTTAGCAGTGATACTTGGTCTTTCATGGAATAAATCTTCGAAATAAACAGTATGTTCATTATTATTTTTAATAATGGTGTAATTTTTGTCTAGTTCTTCTAGAGTACGAGGAAGACGAATTTTATCATGGCCACTAATTTTTGTGGGTTAAAAATCCTACCTTATATTTTTTTTTCTTCTTCTTACCTGCTTTTATCTTCAACCATTTTTTTAATAAAATACGTAACAAACCCAAGAAGATCAAAATGGATTATTTCTTCTGGATCATGGTCTTGAAGTTCACCACTTTGAATACCTTCTTCATAAATATGTTCCCAAAGTAATGAGTTAGATTCAAATAACTCTACATATGAAGGCTTTAACATTAATTTATCAAAATGGTTTCGGCAACTATTTAATGATTTATCAGGGAATATTTGTTTCACAGCAGCCCACAAAAAGCGACGATTAGTAGCACGTTTACGTAAGACAATTTGAGATAAAACTAAAAGCTCATTGTCTTGAGCAGTCCATGTAGTTCGCTTCCTACGTGTTTTTCTTATATCTATATTTGTATCATTTTGAAGGACAGGAATTTTATCTATGTCATCCAAGAAAGGCAATTGGTCCCTGGGTTCATTTCCAGTAAGGGCCTGTTCATCTTTATCGGTATGTGTCTCTAATTCAGGCTCCAAAGTAAGAATATGTATTTTATTGCCTTTAGGCCTTCCTATATGTTGGAATGCACGACCATTGCTGAGCGTAACTACACGACGCTTATCTCTAATTGAGCTACCTTTAACTTTGCGACGCACATAAGGTACAAGTCGACGCTCAACTTTCTTCCTTTCAGAAAATTCACGTTTAGATTCAATAGCATTTTCAACTTTTTGATAATAGCTATGGACTTCCGAAACCTTAACTTTTAAAGAATCTGCAATAGTTCGAATAACTACAGGATTATCGAGGGGTGTAGTCATTTCGGTTTTATCGATATAACTATTAAGTACTTTTCTTTGTGCACTATTAAATACAGAACGAGCAGTCCAATTAACATAATGGTACAAGGATCTAAATAGCATCAACTCATTTAGATCTGTAGGTTCAGGAGCTTGCTCATGTTCAGGGATATCCTTAATCTCAGGATTCGTACAAGCGTATTTAAGTTCACTCCAAAAGCGATTAAGATCTGATTTGCTGACTATTGTATGTTCGCGCACAATAGGCTGTCCAATCCTTTTTCTATCCCTAATCACTAATAAATTATTTAACTTGTATTCAACTGCCATACCAGTAAATTTTAAGGGGCTTGTCTCTTCCATCAAGGTATTCGTATTCATGTTATAAGGAGTCACAATCCCAATATATTCCAAAACAGTTAAAAGATCAATTAATCGCTTTCTAAATCTGTTTTTAGCTGTGAATAATTGACCCTTTATCTTTTTAGGTATGTCAGCTAAAATAACTGACGCATTCTTAGGATCCTGTACAAAATTGATTACTTCATCCGTTGGGTTTCCGACACCAATCATTTGACATAGTAATAATATAGTCATGTTATTCATTATAGCTCGAAGACTAATTTTGCACTCAACCTTGTCTACCTCGAGTAAGTTCTCATCTTTTGCAAACAAATCGAATAAAAATTGATGTAGAATTTTACTACGAACCATACGTGCACGAATCCAACCCAATTGTAATGATCGGATTGGCCAAGAAGATGATTTACCTATCTCATATTTTCTTCCAAATAGTTTCAAATTTTTAGCGTATTTTTCAAGATGTTGTTTAAAGGCTTCAGCTTTCCTAGAGTCACCTTGAGAATTAATGTGTTCATCCTTCATACGTTCAATACGTTCGTCTAATCGCTCAACTGGTATATCTATTGTTTCAACCTTACAAATTGAATAAGAAGGTGCTAAAAATATTTTACGATCCTGTAATGTACGAATGTAACTATGATATTCTTCACTTTCTGTGTCAATGTCATGTCGAACAGCTAACTTTCGCTTTAAAATTTTTCCATTTAATAAAGGACATGGAGCTATCTCAATCTTGGCTAAACCCTGTTTAACTAATTCATCTACTGTTCTAGCAAGTGTCTTGTTACAAATATTATATCTTTTAGATACATTAAGCTCTTCACATTTCTTTAAATATGCATCCTTTAGTGGTTTGCCCATTTCAACAATAGGCGTTTCTTGCAATACAGCATTAACAACTTCGAGACGAGTTTGTAAATACTGGTTCACCTGCTTTGATATATTCACATGATGATGTTTAGGGATAAGTTCTTTTTTAGAAGGTGGTGTACAAGTACCAGGATCTGCTGTTTCTTGAGTTGATATGGATGAAGTGTTTGGGATTTCAAGATTTACCGTTTCAACCATTAATGGCTTATCTTCATTCAGTATTATTAAAGTAGATTCAAGTTCAGAATTATTATTAACATTAACTGAAAGAGGTTCATTTGAAGATTCAACTAAATCTGATGCAGAATCGGTTGACATATTCTCTACTGAATTTGAAGAGGCTGCTTCCGATTGTGTTTTAGAAGTAGGAGCAGATTTAGTAGCTGGAATGACAGGTGCGTTACTTGGCTTTGAAACTTTACTAAAATAATCGATAATTGTTTTCTTTTTTGGCTCTTTTTGAGTCTGTTGTATCTGCTGTGTTTGTTGTTTATCCTGTATTGAATCTACTGGATCAATTTGCTCTGTAGTATGTGATGATTGCGCTTGTAAAATCGGTTGGGGTTCTTGAATATTATTCAAAGTTGAAGGCATAAGTGCTGTAGTAGGTTGCGATTCAGATGGATTTAATAAAGAACTTTCAGATGTAATATTATTATCCATATCCATAGCAGTAGATGATTCAGCATTAGATGGTTTAGCAATTATTGAAGTTGTAGCATCTTCCTCTGAGTTGGCGGTATGAACAGGTTGATCAGCATTATCTAAAGTATCAGAAGTATTGGATTCTGATTGGTTATCAGTTATATTTTTAGACTTCTTTGACGGCCTACTGTTTGTGGCTGAAGCTGGAGGTCGTCCTCTTTTAGTATTCTTTTGAATTGTAGTAGGCTCGACATTTTGTCTAGGTCTTCCTTTTTTTGCTTCAGGCTTTTTTTTAGATTTACCAGTAGCAGTTAAAGCACTGGAATCACCATCTTTTCTCATGTTTTTAATAATATTATTGACACCTTTTTGTGTATGAGGTACATCTACGAAAATATTTTTTTCAGTGAGCTTGGATTCATCAACTTCAGATTCAGGTAAAGGTGGTATTTCAATATCGACATTTTGTGTTGCTTGATAAGCAGCATAAGTATAATAGCGGTATCTCCTCATTCTGCCTTCAAATTCCAAATAACGCACAACACCGAAACGCTCATATCCTTCACCTTTTAATTCGACCATTCGTTCTAGAATTCTGCTTAAAATACGTTGTTCTGTTGCCTGAATTCCAAGACTAATAGCTGATTGTGTTACGCCCTTAGATCCTGCAGCATCTATTATTTGAAAGCATTGCCTTTCTAAGGATGAGTCTACAAGAGCATGAACGATTGGTACATTGTTTTTTGTACTTTTAATTCTTATAGGAAATTTTGCTTTTTCACTGGTAAAATGAGATAATTTTACGTTGTTTGATTGAGTTTCTGTAATTTAAGAGTATGTGAATGGATATCATTTATTATATAAGTATTTTTATTACCTTCGGGAGTCTTTAATAATTGAAGACAGCGTTTTGGAATTCCTGTATCATCAATACAGACATTCATTTTTCTAAAATAACCTTTTAGGCAAATTTCATCTACAGTACGATTGAACCATTTTCGCACAGACATTTTAGTAGAATTGAAACCCTATTATGTTGGTTAATATGTAACAATATATATACATATTGAATAGAATATGTATTTTATTTTTATTTATATATATATATATATATATTTATTTACCAATGCGTGCAGTACATCCCACCCTACAACAACCTGATTCGATGCATCTTTCGCAAACGTAACTAAAGCATCAAGTACATCTTTTTGAGAAAAAGCTTTACCATCTATATTAACATTATAGGGAACATCGCCTGGGTTTTTATCTTTGCCTTTATTGTCCAAAACAACTTTTGACTTTTGAACATGAAATCTGGCGTGAACGCAAATATTGGTAAACATACTGTTAATTGAAACACCGCTTCTCGTGATTGCACCTTTTTCTTCCAAACTTTTACAATAATGGCCAGTAGAACGACTATCCAGATTTAATAATTTAGTAAGTGAAGCTTGATACACGCCTTGAGATCGACCACGAATAATTTCTTTTAATACAGTCACTAAATTGGGCGACAATGCTGTTCCAGGCTATTTAGAAAAAGGAACTGTATTAAGATTATATTTATGCATACATTTAAAAAAAAAAAGTAATACTTAACATACAGGAATACCAATATAGAGTTGCTCTTCTTGAAGCTGAGATGAGCCCTTAATATGTAACTGAGAACCATATTTGTCTTTAACTTCCTCATAGCTTAAACATGATATATTTTTAATTAGAGGCATATTTGCTGGCTCCTATTTAAGATAAAATTTTGCATAAATACTTCTAATTTACATTTTGTTAAAAAAAAAAAAATAACGTACTTCTACTTCTTTAGAAGTAATATTATATGGATGTACTATGTTGGATGCGGATTTTTTTGATGATTTTTGTTTCTTTTTAGACATGTCTTCATCATCATCATCTGTAATGAATTCTTCACTTTTGTCAGATTCTTCATTATCATCTTCAAATTCGAATTCACTATCACTTATGACATCTGGTACAAACTCATCATCTGAATCAACATTGCTCACTTTTTTTTTTCCTTTCAACTTAGATTTAGTCTTAGGTTTTGCCTTTGCTCTTTTTACTGGAACTGCTTTAGCTTTGACAGGCGGTTTTTTTCTTTTACTTGTGGCAGATGTAGAAGACTCACCAATTTCACTTAAGTTAGAACATTCTTTTCTGTCCTTAACATTTATGTTTTCTGGCTGTTCTATATCCGCTTCTCCCATTGCAACATCTTTATTTGTTGTTGTTTGTAAATTTATTTCTGTCGTATTTTGTTCTATATCTTGATCTACTGCATCGTCAGAATCTGAATTTGCTTGATCCATTGGCTGATCATCTGATGAGGAACTTTGTGTTTGAAAAAATTCAAGATCAGGTTCAATTTTTAAATAGTTCCAAAAAAACGATTTATAATTATCATCAATTAGAGGCTTAATTGATAATCCAGACTGGGTTGCTATGTCATTAGAGATAGATTCTACATAACTCCAGACTGTATCAATACTGGAGCCTGTTTGTATAGGTGTGAGATAAGAAGAAATAAAATAAAGGCTCTTTTTTTTTTGAATATACCTGAAGGACCATCGATGGCTATTTCCTCTTTTACACGCTTAAGTAATATATCAAGCATTGTGATAGGAGGTTATGTTTGTTTTGTAAGTGATGATAACCTTTATGACTCCACGCACTCTTTTTATAATGAAATGAATAAGAGTTCGATTCCTACTAACTGTAAAAATCCAAGAAAAAAAAATGCAAACAAAAAAAGTCACATTTCGATTATGGAGCATATTGATTACTTGAAAAAAATCCAGTTAAAAATCTTGATAAAAATATTTATATTAAAGACTAAGCTTTAAGATCCACATGGATTTTGAAGAAAGTTCAAGAGAAGAAAAAGACTTTGGTTAGTTGGCAAATTGTTTTATATTTAAAATGGTGATCAAGTTAATATGAAGTTTTCAATTTAATTATACTCTTTGGTCTTGTATAAATAATCAAAGAAGTTATAACTCAATAAAAGCAATGAAGGTGGATGTTTATAGTGAAGAGGAAATAATAATCAAGTTTACAATGGATTGTACAAATAACCGGCTAACTAACAAATGAGCTAAGGAAAGGGATTAAAATATACACACAGTTAGTACGTTGGAAGCTAATATAAAAGAAAAGGAAGGGAACCATCTGTAGTTTTTAGGCGTTTCAATTCTACAGTCTATTTGGAGACAGCAGATAGCATGCAGCTGTGGAGAGTAACAACAATATATTAATAAAATTGAAGCCCAATGAGTATACTGATATACTACATATCAAAGTTGCTCGGTAAAGTTCTTACACTGAAATACCGTCTGTACTGTCAATAGATACTAGTACAAACGTATAAGGTAACCCCCTATACCAATTCCATAGACCAGTATCAAGTACCTTAGATTGTCGTACTTGCAAACAGTTTCATTAACTATTCATACAAGATAGTTTTACTCCCCTTTATAGCAGTATCAACTCTAAGTTGATCTTAGCTTGCCCGTCTTTCTTTGGGATAGGCTCCGATCCTTTGGTTATCAATAATTCATGTTTGAGTGTAATTGTGTTTTTTTCTTTAGCGTCTTGTTTGATATCTCGGTGGTGTTTCTCAGACCTTATCTTTATCATATATAGTAATTTAACATGTGAACATTCTATCAAATGGCTTCATATGCACTATCAACTCCTAATACCATTAAAAATGGCTGATCTATTTTCTTTCAAGAAACCAAAGTCATTGCAATTAGCTTTTACTTGATTAGTTGTTTGGTTAACGATCTGTTTCATCAAGCACTTCCTTCTCCTAGTGTCGATCTAATGTAATGGTTATTCTTTTAGTAGACTATCATACTCATACCGTTTAAGGTCTTTTAATTTTCTTCTGCCTTTTTTTTTTCCACTTGACTCCTGAGAGATCTGTAACACCTTCTCTCTCTCTCTCTCTCTCTTTTTTTTTTTGGAATTGGTTGATGCAATAAAATTGCTACAAATTCATTGGTTATTTTAAACTTATAATCGTTCTGTCAATAAATGTCGAAAGAACAAAGATATCGGACTATAAATTTATTTTCTATATTCGCAAAATCAAGCCGAAAACCGAATCCAACTGTAAATAGCATATACACATAGCTTCTGAATAGTATGTATACTGCAACAATAATAAATGATGACTGGGGATAAAGAGAAATAATATGTATGCAAACTCTTTTATATAATTGTTCAAATCAATAATTAACTGAATATAACACTTGTTGTAATAGGAAGATATATATAAAAAAAAAAAAAAAAAAAAAAAAAAATAATAATTGTCGGCCTTAATAATAAATAAATAAAATATGTTGCCTTTTAATAAATATAATATCGTTTGTTCCTTTTTTTTTTTTTTCTTTATAAATATAACAAAATAAATGACACCTGAAGAACGTATTGAGATAATAAATCAATTGAGAAAAGAGCTCGGCGATATTAAATACAATGTCACTAATGAGGTAAGACAGTTTTTGTTAAGTTGTTACTACTATTCTTAACATGACTTGTTTTATATAGTACCTTGAACAATTCTTAGTCGCACGTAGTTGGAATATTGTAATTATTTATGAGCAATACTTATTAGTATTTATGGTTATTAATAGAATAATATTCATTTAGGCTAATGCTAAAGATCAATTGTTAAAAACATTTCAATGGCGTGAAGAAAATAATATTGGTCATCATCCCGTTGCCACAGCAGAAAATAAGCTACCTGTACTTTATGCAGTACGTGGATATCAATCGATACCTGACAGTAACTTGGAACCACTTCCCGGTATATCTGAATCTGTTTTGAGAATTAATAAATATATGGGTGGTGCTTGTCTTCATAAAACAGATAGAGAAGGCTGTCCAGTATACATTGAAAGATTGGTAAAAAAGAAATTGCCTTATATGTATCTATCTATAATAATAGACTAATATAAATTGAAAAGGGCTATCACAAAGCAAAGGAACTTGCTAAAAATGCAAAAGTAGAAGAAGTAAACGGTTATCATATTGGCTGTAATGAGTTTTTACATAGAGTCATTATGAAAGATTGTTCAAGAGCTGCTGGTCGTCATATTAATCGAGAAACTGTCATTTTTGACTGCACTGGCATGGGTTGGCATCGTAAGTATAAGTTTTTATTAATAAATGAAACAATAATTGACACACATCGATAGAATTACACATGCCAGCTTTAAATTTCATTCGGGCTATTGCGGATGTTGATCAAAAATATTATCCAGAAACTTTAAATAAGTTCTACTTGGTAAATGCTCCTAGTGCCTTTGTTTATGTTTGGAAAATTGTTAAAGGTTGGCTTGATCCAGGTGTAAGTTACTCATATTTTTTTTCTATTGATAATAAATAGTAAGTAATTAACTATTTTTTTTATTTAGACAATTGCTAAAATTCAAATTATTGGATCTGATTTTAAGGAACCTTTATTGAAACAGATTGCGCCAGAGAATTTACCCTCTTTCCTAGGAGGTGAGTGTAAATGTGAACATATGGAAGGTGGTTGTGTTCCTTCTCAAGTATTGAAAAACGCAAAACCACTTGAAGCTAAAGATCATAATGAGAAAGTGCCAACTGCTTATAATACAAATATTATGAATCAAGGGAAAACATCTGAAGTTGTTCGAGGCCCGTCAATGTATTAGACATGAAAAGTAAATATTTAGACATTTTTCTTTTTTTAAAAAAAAATAAAAACAAAAATAAAAATAGTTGGAAGCTATAAACAAAAAAACACAAATAAACAAAAGTATTGCTTCTTCTCTGATCCTTTTTTTTTCTTTAATTTCATCCTTACAACAAACTTTATTTCTATTTCAATTAAAAATAAAAAAATTTGACGTTGTGAATGTATTTTTTAATTAGACGAAGTTGAAATGGTTTAATCGAAGAGACCTAAAATAATATAAATTAGTAATTTGTACTTGATCTTTCTATATTATAAGTATATATTTACCGAAACCCATATCTTCATCAGATTCTTCCTTTTCTTCAGCCTTTTCTTCTTCGGCAGGAGCATCAGCAGCAGCAGCACCACCAGCAGCGGCGGCACCAGCAGCAGGAGCAGCACCAGGAGCACCGACGTTCAAGAGAAGAGCCTTGAGATCTTGACCGGCGAGAGCCTTAGCGTAGAGAGAGAACCAGATGGGTTCAACTTCAACACCGGCAGCAGAAACGAGAGCTTGAAGCTTGTCAGCCTATAAATGAAATAATTAATGGGGGCTTCATCAAGAAATAGTGGCTAATCTCAACTTACAGTGATCTCGATGTTGTCATCTTCGAGGATGAGAGCAGCGTAAACGACAGCAAGTTCGGCAGACATGCTAATTTCGAAATTGACAATTGAAAAATTAGTATGATTTTTTTTAACAACGATTATCTTTTTTTTTTTTTTGTTCCACTTTAAATAGTGTCAATTATTGTCACTAATGTATAAAGATAGATTCTCTTTTCTCTTGTCATTTTAAATGATTGATTATTTTTAGATACGTACGCGCAATAGATGGATGTATCTGGAAGGAGGATGTTTAGACGCTTGATGGTATTGTAACCATTTGGGGATTCAATGCTCTGCTGTTGCAAGAATGAAGCACAGTCACAAATAACAATTATTATCGGACATTCAAAACAAAAATACAACAAAAATGTTCAAATATACATTCTTCCTTAATTCACATGGCACACTTTTTTTTTATGGCACAATTTTTTTCATTTTGGCACACAATCTTAATCGAGTTTGGTACAGTTTAAAATTTTTCTTAGCGCCATGTGATTTAAGAAAGAGTGTATACATAGGACAGTAAAGAGACTACTTATCTAATATGAGCGAGTCTAACAATAAAAATTAGTTAAAGTTAGTATGAATGCTCATAAATGAATTTTATTCTGCATAGGAGTCATTATATTGACATATTTAAATATCTAAAAGGTTGATCTTGCTTTTTTGTACTCTTTATTGTTATTCACAAGGCATATAAAATAAAAATAACTCGGGGGTTCTTTCTTTTGATTTTATCTTTATATGTTTAGTGTCCTAAAAAAAAAAGTATACATTAACTAACTGACTATATCGATGATATCGCCTTTGTTTACAACTGGAATAAAAGTAATCGTAAATTCTCTTATTTTTAATAATATAAAATTACCTCGAATATTCAAAATTGGAAGACAACGTTGTTTAGGTTAAATATATATTCTCCTGCTAAGTCTTATTTAACTGGGAGCAATTTTCATCTTGAAGAGAAATATTCAGGGCAGAAATTCCCAGTCACTGCCCATAAATTATTTGTTATTTTTAAGATGTTCTTCATCTATTCATTTCACTCATCTAGAGGCTTTAACAAATAATAATAATAATAGTTTAAATATGACAATATATACATATACCGACTTCAGAATATGAATCCTCCAAGGACTGTGTTAACAGCCTTCCATTATAATTCAATTCCAATGACTGAGCATGAAAATATAAGTAATACAAAAAATATGTGTAAATGTGTATAGAGAATACAAATGCAATTAGTTAAGCTTCAAATAGACTTCAATTGTATGATATTTGAGAATTAACATTTTGTTATATACATCGAGCAATCAGAATGTTTAAGATTATGCAGCTAAGATAGATAATGTATTTTTATTGTGGATACTATGTCAGTAATAATACGAAAAAACGAATCAAAAGCCTTTTCTGGTTGAATTATTATTTGAACGAAAATAAAAATCATTACTAGAGTTTAAAACTGATTTAGCAGACATACTACAAGATCATTATGGAATATTTAGATGAAGAAATTAGAAGAATAAATGATTTCATGATGAACATTAATGGGTTAATGAAAATGGAATATGTTAACTTCATAAAGACAATATCGATACCAAACTGTTTTTTATTGTAATTTGTAGGGGAATATGCTAACTTCTTAGTTAATTCAGAGAAAAATTCATAAGACCTGAAATAGCGTTTATTTTTTATTTTTTAATAAAGACTATCTAATAATGCTATCTTAAAATTTGCTGATGTTTAGATTAGCATCTACAGATTAATATAAACTTTTAAAATTAAGAATGCTTTTATCTATCAAAAAACTCCATCCTTTTATTTAAATATAAGAGAGCGAGAAAATTGTTTAATTATTTAGCAGCGTACTATTGCTTCCGAATGTATTTGATTGTAGAGCTTGACTATTACGCGTAAAGATCTTTTTTTTTAGTATAGCTTAGAGATAACAGAGCCTAGTTTTAAAAGGGGAGAAAAAGATTGATTCATTTCTATTAACCAGTGTCAAAAGAAGATTATGAAAGAATATTTAGAGTAGCCAGAGTTTAGAAGAGACCATTATGAAGAAAAAAGATAGAATTAAATGCTTGAAGTAGCCAAAGTTGAGAAGACACCATTATGATGAAAAAAGACAGGATTGATTGTTTAAAGTGACCAGTATCCAGAGAAGCCCACTAGGATTGATTTTATAAGGCGACCAGTATCCTTAGAAGCCCGCCATAAAGAAAAAAGACAGGATTGACTATTTAAAGTGGCCAGTATCCAGAGAAGCCCACTATGGTAAAAGACAGGATTGAATATTTAGAGTGACCAGTATCCAGAGAAGCCCACTAGGATTGATTTTATAAGGCGACCAGTATCCTTAGAAGCCCGCCATAAGAAAAAAAAAAAAAAAGAAAAAAAGACAGGATTGAATATTTAAGGTGGCCAATATCCAGAGAAGCCCACCTAAAAGGGTAAATATTAGCTTATGTGTGATAATTAGTATTTAGATAAACATACCATATAAAAGCAAGCAATGTTTGATTCATTTACATTAATCAAATTTTAGAGAGCCTACTATAATTAAAATTTATAGTGATCTACATCAAAAGACAACTACTATGAAAATAAAAAAGAAAGTATAAAAGCATATATTTTTATTTATATATGCTTCTATTCTATAAAAGATAGACAACGTAAAGTCCATCAAAAAAGAATAAAATAGTTAGAAAAAAATACATTTTTTAAAAATAAGGAGAGAAAAAAAGGGAGAAAAATAGACCCTGAGAAAGTTTACTTTTACATAAACAAAGAAAAAGTTTTCCAAGATTAATAGTCAATATCTTTTTGTGGCTTATTATTTATCTTTCATATCTTTTATACACAAAAATAACTATGATAATTATTAAAGATATTATATTGAATTATGTTAAAGAAGCTTAAATACTTTCTTTACTACTTGATGATAGATCATTAAATATGTAACTTTTGTTTTGTCAGCTATTGTTTTATTTAAACGGAGCTACAGCCAATATTTCATTTTGCAGGTACATTTCCTTTCTAATGAATAAAAAACTTGCTAGTAAAAAAAAAAAAAAAAAAAAAAAAAAAAAAAAAAAAAAAAAAAAAAAAAAAAAAATATTTGTAAAAAAACAGATACACTTGGAGTTCCAAAATAAAATAGTTTACAAATATTTGCACTCAAAACACTGCTTATTTTTAGATCGTTGTTTACTAGGACTAGCATATGTGTTTAGCACTTCTTTATATCTTTTGTGTAGTTATCATTTATCGAGTGTGACTTTTTTTTAATAAATAGAATTGTAACTTGTTAAGAAAACCTCTGCTTTTTAATAGCTTACCATTTATGCAATTGTGAGAGTGCGTTAAATTACATCCCTACAACATATATACCTAACTTCCTAATTGTACTTTATTTTCGGTCTTTTGGTAATTGGGTTTTTTTTTCGTCTTACAAACGTTTTCATTAAAAATATACATACACAGCAGTTTGATTAGACAGCACAGATCAAGTCTTCAATATAATAGGTATTCCTTATCTATTCTGGTTATTTTATATATTGCTTCTGTATAGTAATTGACAAGGATATGATTACATATTCTACAAAAAAAAAGAGTGTTGGCAAGGAATAGGCTCACTTTGTTAAACAAACCTTAAGGTAAAATAGAAAATAATCATTATAACTACTATTACTTTTTATTGATACAGTTCATATAAATGCATACACTTATATTAGAAAAGAGAGTTTATCATAAAAATATATGGTTTATATTTTAATATTTAATATCTTCTAAAGCTAGTTTAGGACACATCATGCTGGAAAATGAAATTGATTGATATAAAACTTGTTCCATGTAGAGACATGCTTAATATGTGTCTATTGTGGTAATAATATCGTTTATTATTATCTGTTATTTATATCATATATTGATAGGCTTATATAATATAATGTTCAAAACTTACTACAAGTAAACGATATTACACAATTAAGTTTACCCTAATTAGAATACTTATATGTATATAGCATTTAACCAACAATAATATTATCGTCAGTATCAGATCACTAACAACTATTGCTTGTTATTTTATCAGATTAAACTATCTGTGTCAAGTCATGGTGCCTGAATAAACAAACTATATCAAATAATATTGTATGCTGGTGTTTAATTTAGCTGAATCAAGGTTGTACCTTTAAAATGTCAAATATAGATTGGTTACTATCTTTTCCCTTGGATCAAGCATTCCTAAAATAGAATCATGACATTGATAAAAAATGCTTGTTAAAAACTATAAAAGTTGATCATTTTGAAAAAAAAAAAAAAAATGTGTGCCACGTGATTTAAGAAAGAGTGTAACATTATCATGAAATAGCATGTGTGTATCATTTAGAATAGACCCCCCCTTTTTTTTATGTATAAACCTGAAAATATCACCTAATCAAGAAATGTTTGTATAAATTAATTATTTTTATTTGAGACTAAGCCTTTACTAGTATTATAATATTTTTCAGAGGAAATAATTGATTTGGGAATAGTTGTAGGATTAATAATAATGATAATGATAATTCTTATTCAATGTATCAGTGATATATTTTGTGGTAGTTAACAATAGTACAATAACTAAACAATACTAACTGTATTATGAACTTGAATCTATCAATTATTCTTACGAATGTAAGAAGAAATGTAATGATGTGCTTATATAACATAGGAATACCAATTTTATTTAAGCCTGTACGTTTATATCCAGGAAAAGAGTCATATTATCTAAACAAGCAAGTAAATATATTCTAGAAAGAGATATACCTTATTAGACAAGAGAGAGCTTTGATATTATATTATGAGTCAATAGAAAAGAGTATAGTTGCGTTCTATATCGTTAGATTTATAAAATCAGCTATGGATATAAACCGATAAAAATGAGACAAAAGGGCATTTCACTATGATAAATAACAATAGGAATCAATACAGCCGCTTTTTTTTTTTGTAGGTGTAATTAAGGCTCATGGTTGCAAACTAGTATCTATACCTCCATACCTATTCTCCTTGAACTTAATTGGAGAGTACTTGTTTAAAGCTAAATATATACATATATATACAAATATATATATATATTTATATAAACTACGTAAGGGAAGTAATGAATTAATACCTCGTATTAAAGAGGCATTTATGATTATTATTCTAAAGATTTGTTTAGGATAGGTTAAAAATACAACTTCTTATTGAAGCAAAATGATCACAAAAAGAGGTTGACCTTAAGATAATCTTAATCTTCAGTCTACATATACTCCAACTTTGTTTCTAAAAATAAAAAAAAGAACAATTTTTTTTAAAAAAAAAAAAAAAAAAAAAAAAAAAAAAAAAAATGTATTAATGATTCTACATATCTCTTTTATATTTAAAATAAATTATAAAACATGGGAAACTATATTAATATTTAATAATCAAAAATTAAATGTACTCAAGTCTGTGGACAAGCAAATCCACCTGTGGCTGGTGTTGCAATAACAGTAGGCTTGTATCCTAGCCAGTCTAATCCAAAAAAATGTAAAGTGATCCAAAAATGCATTGGTAATACTTCTCTATGTTTGCTATTATCAGTATTATTACTATCGTTAAGACCCTCTTCAGACAAGTTATTAAAAATAATAGGATGCTTTGGTGAACAGGCTTTGACTAAATTGACAAAGGTTGCATCTGTACTATCTCGTGCCTGATAATCGACTCGAATCGGTAATTGAATAGTTGAAATGGTATCTGGAGCCAAAATGATATGTTCAGGATTCATATCCTCGTTATGTGTACCTTTACCAATAATAAGGCCTGTTAGTGCATCCTTAGCAATAACTTGTACTTGAACAAGTCGAGTTGGAATATGGTTTTGTCGATTATCTACCGTCACATTCACGAGCCACTCGCTTTCGAATGCAACATTTCCTACCATTATACCTTGCTTTGTTTCAGATACTTTAGTAGCAGAGATTAATGAGGCCCCCTCAATACGTATTAGAGGAGTACGTGGCCATAAAAAGTAAGTGATGAAGACAAAGATAATTAAACTAAGGAAGGTGCAAAGCACCCAACCTCTCCTACCACAGCCACGATTTTTAGATTGCTGTAATTTTCGTTGTTCTCTTCGTTTCCTTTCTCTTTCAATTGCTTCTGGACTCGGCTTTCTCCCACAGCTTATAAAACAACAGCCGATCCAAAAGCCACAACTTTTATCATCCTCTTTTGGCTTTTCCTTTTTATTAGTTAATTTTGCTGTGGACCCTACAGGGTTATGGTTTTCATAATAACTTGATTTTTCGATATCATCCTCATCTCCTCCCCAATGTTGATCCTTTTGCTGGTAATATTCTTCATATTTATGAAAACTGTCGCGACCTATGGCAATGGAAGCTTCATTATAACTTTGATTATCTATATTCGTGGAGGAAAAGATGGTAGAATTCAAAAAAAGATTGTTAACAGAGAGAGGAGACTGGTTATTCGTCTTTTCCATTTCCTTAAATTGACTATAGATGGATTTCTTTTTATCTAATTGATGATAATGAACAAGCGTATCTTGGCTACCCCATGGCCGACTATTGCCTCTATTAAGACGAACAGAACTGGATGGGGAAGAAGATGAAAGTGTTAGATCCAAACCAAGAAAGTGAGTAGAGTTACTGTTATCAAACAATGATAATTTTGGTGATTGTTTATCCAATGGATGAACTATTATGAATATAAAATGAGTATTATTATACAATTTATGAATACATATACATATATATATTGTATAATAATATTAATCACCTTGAGAAGGCTTACGGATATAATTAGTTTTTATATCAGTTTCATCTGCAAAGGATGTAGTACATGACCTACTTGAAGTAGGCGTTAAACTTGTTGATGAAGTCTTCATAAACGTATCAGCAATTGTTAATCTTCCGGGCACAATATTACTAGTTGAAGAACTAGTTATTTTTGCACTTGATGGTTTTCCGAGAAGTGCCGAGTCTAATCGATCTTTATACTGTTGAACATTTAATATTGAACTTGTTGACGACTTGGTGGGTATATTCATAAATCTATCTGCTACAGATAGTTTGCTATCAGTAGATGTTTTTGTTTGTGTATCAGGTAAGTTAGAATTTGATGATATAACATGGACTGAATGATTTGAAGTGTATGCATTGCTTTTATGATTAATTATTGGAGTTGATGATACAAAATTATTGGACATAAATCTTTCTGCAATGGATAGTCGAGGGGTTTCGATAGTTATCAGATCTGATGACCTATGTGCCTGTTCTGGCTGTGATGAATGAGCAATACCCTCTGATGATTGCTTGGTTTTCTTTTGATTTATAGTGTTTTTTGTTGAGATTGAAGATGAAGGCGTTATTTTTTCATTTTGCTTGTGTAATGATGATTTTTGTCTTGATTTAATGGATGACTGTCCTACAGAATTATTACTAGATGAATAAGGTGAATGCGGCCGTCTTGCTACCATAAAATGTTTTCTTCTCTAATTGATAAACAATACAACAACAAAATTTCTAAGAATTAAAGTTTTAACAAAGAATATATAAAGTAATTGATATATAAAAAGAAGAAAGCGAGGAAAAAGGGAAAAGGAAAAAGAAAAGCATCTTCGAAATAGGGAGATTTCCAAGTAATAAATAGACAGTTTTTCGTTTTACAGTACCATTTAGGGAGCCCTCCCTTTTTTTTTTTTTTTAAAAAAAAAAAAAAAAAAAAAAAAAAAAAAAAAAAAGAAAGAAAGAAAGAAAGAAAGAAAATAGATTTGCCATTTTAAAACGGAAGTAATGCTGCCCTCCTTCTTTATTTTAAGTACATTTTACGTTATTATCTTTCCTTTCTCTCCTTCTTCAACGTAAGAGTTAATTACTAATCAATTATAAAATAACTTTATTTTACCATTTTAGCAACCATCCTTTTTTTTTCTTTTCTTTTTCTTTTTTTTTTTTTTTTTTTTTTGTAACGTGTGCCATAGCATGTATTTTGACCGTGCACCATAGTTTGTAATATAGCGGAGAAATATGTGAATATTTCTTTTTTTTTTTTTAATTTCGTTCGTTTATAACTAAGCGTTATAAATAAAATGTCATCTTATATTGTGATAGCTTAACTACTATGTAAAGCATATTTCTTATCCTCCTCCTCCCTCTCCTTGTTTGTTTTTAATAATTCTTCATGTCTTTTTCTGTATGTAAATCTTTGTACTACACGCCAATAACTTACTTTCGTATATTGATCTTGACGCACAGTAGAAAAGGGATATATAGCATTATCAAGGTTATTTTAATTATCGATTTAATAATATAGAGAGGGATTGAGGATATATGTTAAATTCCATATTATAAAAATTTAGAAAGTTGCTAACTATACAACAGTGAAATAGAATGTTATATACCATTACAGACAATATTTATTAAATAAATAAATAAAAACTAAGGTATGTAATAAATATCATAAAATCTTTAATTATGAAAACTTTTAGTTAATAAAATAACAAGTTGTATGCCCTTAAAGTTATGCTTTTCTCCTTTTTTTTTCTTTTTCTTAGTTGTCTTCTTTCTCCTCTTCATCATTCTCCTTTAAAGTAAGAAGCTAAATATAAACATAATCAGTTTAATAAGTTCGACCTAAAAGGAAAAAAAAAAAGAAAGAGTAATGAAGGTGTATGGATATAGTTAACAACGTAACAGAGTCATATTACGTTCCAAAATAAAACTGAGAAAGGATATTTATATATAAACTTCAAAATCTGTCTTTCTTTATAAGCTGATATACAAGCAATAATCAATATATAAATAACGATTCAACACATCTCGTTAAATTAAAACAGTATATACTTGTGTAAAAGAAGACTTAAAAAGATGTAATGTAAAAGAGTGCAGGAATCCTGAAATATATAACTATGATATCAAAACATGAATGATATATTGAAAGAGGTATGATTCATAAGATATAGGATGAGCTTTAAATTTGCTTTGCATAATATGCGTCTTTATATGCTTTAAACATATTAGAATATTAGGGACTATAAAAAAGACAAGGTTTTCTTTTTTTTTTTTTTTTTTGACTAAAATACTTACTAACAAATTAATTGTCAAATTCAGTGATATGAAACTTGTATCATCAATTAGTAGTCTATACATCAGTATTTTGTTGAAATAGTTTACTAAATAAAATAATGTAATATTGCCATTTATGTTAAAAAAGGTCGATGTATATTATTCACAATACAAAATATGGTGTCATTATCACTATATAAACGACCCAATTCAAATTTACATAATAATAATAAAGTAACAATAGTATGTTGGGATAATAATGAAAATGATATCAATAGGTATTATTTATTATTATATATCAACCATACGAAATAATTGAAGCATTATTTATATGTATATACAACTTAATTTAGGTAAAGTATGAAGAATAGCAAGGAAAGCGTACTTGTCATTAAAGATGTATACATTTTACATGGCTCTTTAATAAATTTCTATAAGAAAAAGTAACTTAGATTTCCTAAGCTATATAACAGTTTAAATATGAGCATGATAAAAAGAAAAAAAAAGGGGGGGAAGAGAGAGACTATTTAATATAAATAACTGCCTAATTGGTCTTGTGGGTCAAATCAAATAAAAACATTTTAGTTTTGATACTGAAATATATTTTAACGCTTAAATAAACAAACATGAGTTGTACATGAGAATTAATTTAAAAGTAAACAAGATGAAATCATGGAAACTATTTTCCTTTTTTCTTTTTTTTTCTGTTTCTTTTTCGCATAAATAAATACACAAGTATATTCCTTAGTCCTTAGTTATTATTATTCTTATTAAATATGTCTAATAACATTTCTCCAGTCACTATTACAAATAGTCTTTCTCATTCCATTGATAACACAACTAACAGTCTGAGTAGGAATCATCCATTAACTAAAAAAGAAAATAATATCGATCAGAAAAGACAATCGATTCGAGCTAAAGTCTTGATGACTAAGAAGGGAAATAAGAGAATTATCTTATCCAAGTCAGCAATAGCTATAAACAAAAGAGAATTATATAAGCCTATAACTAAAGCTCATGGCAAGAAAAGGATATTTATGTCAGTCCCAAGCCATATTTATAACCATTGTTTATTATCAGAAAAGACGCCAACAGTTGCTGCTAATTCAAAGTCAAGATACAGTTTTCCTTTTACTCATACTGTTGACAAGGATACCAAGAGAAACAGCAATTCTAAAATGGACTCTCCTATTTCCATTCATGATGGCTCTGTTAGTACTGCTCTGACTGTCCCTAATTCGCCCTTATTCAATGTTGCCAACAGTCGTACTAGCAATGGATTCCTTTTTCTCGGTACAGAAATGGACTTTTCTATCATTACTGATGTTCAAGAGGAACTTCTTTCACCTACTCGTACTTGGTTTGATGAACAAGTGTTATTCACTGGAGGCTTACCATCGCCAGAGGCAAGTTTTAATAATCTCTGGGATTAGGAAGTTATTGCTTAATAAATATCCATGTATAATTGTTATCAAAACATGTACATGTATATTGTTATTTTACCTGCTTAACTATAACCTTTAACTTGAAATCAATTAAAAATTTTGTGCATTATAAAGGGGTTACTTTATTATTTAAACATATACTTGAAGAAAAGAAAAGGAAAAAAAAAGTATGTTACTATTAAGGATTGCTACATAATATTCTATTTTAACACTATTGTTTAGATTCTATTATAATCAAGTTAAAGTTTTCTGTATAGATGTACTTTGATTATATAAACTATAATGAAGCAATTCACTGTTATTGTGATTACTGACAATAGTGATATTTATATATACTTGTCTTGTTGTTTACAGTTATTGGATACATTTTTATTGTTGATACCATTCATCACTATAAAGATGAAAAATAGTCTTGTCCTCGAGTTATTATAACTATAATTTACGAGATTACAACGCTATTCATAAGCCATAGTCTTTTTTTTTTTTTTTTTTTTTTTTACAACTATATATGGCTCTATTAAAAGAAAGATAATATTCCTCAAAATCACACTGAAAGAGCGTTTGAAATTAAATATGCTATAGCAAGTTCTATTCTTTTATAGTCTATGGTAGATTGATTCAAGTCTATTTATATATATGTATATATGAATAATAGCTTAATTTTCCTTCATATACATATGCATAGATAATTCGGACAAGAATACAATAGAAAGCTATTTATACTAGCTATAGACTCTATTATACACTTTGGCTGGTTATAATAATAGAAAGGAAAGTTATACCGAGTCCTATATTGAATTTTCCTTAGTCTTTGTCTTGAAAATTCATATTCAAATAAAACAAAAATAAATAATAATCAACTAATTTAAACGTTAGACTGCAGAAAATTCGATTCTTTTTATATATAATTAAAATAAATAATTGGATTAAATCTTACAAGGTAAAAAAAAAAAAAAAAAAAAAAAAAAAAAAAAAAAAAAAAAAATCAGTTGAAGCCTTCAAAGAAGATACTTTTAAAATATCCCATCTTAAATAAGCCGCTCATTAAGTAACATAGAACCTGAAAATTTCGTTTGTAAATGAGTCAACGGTTTCACAGTTCAATAAAACTTAAACTGTCGTCTTTAAATTAATGAAGCTAGACAATCCTGCTGCTGCTGCTATTTATGACAAATTGTAATTTCTATAATTAAATAATTAATATTGAGCAAATCAAAACTATTTATTTTTTTGTTTCTTTTATACTCCGTTATTGTTGAATACAAGAAAAATAAAATAAAATAAAAAAAAATAAAAAAATAGCGAGCCTTTTTATTTTCTTTTTTCATTTTTAAAGAAAAAAAAAATATGAAACTATTATTCATAGCTACTTGTTTATTATCTGTCATTATAAATTTTATAGTTTCTGCTCAACAAACTGTACAAAATAGCAATACCGTATCAGCCATCATATCCCAATATGGAAACAGTTTTAAAAATGCAGGCGGAAATGTTCTATCTGATAAAGTGAATGGTAACAAATAAGTCGAATCTTTTATATATATATATATATATATATAGCAAATAGTAGTAGTAAATGAATACTAATTCAACACCAACAAAAAGTTTATATTATCTTCTATGGTAATTGGACATCAGAGCAATCTATTCAAGAACAGAATATTTTTATGGAATTCATTGATAATATCTCGCATAGTCCTTGGTTCAGTACTAGTAAGATATTTTATACACATGTATAAAATAAAGAAGAAGGAGAGAAAGAGAAACTAACTTTTTTTTTTTCTTTAATTTAGTGAAACAATATGCAGGCAGTAATGGTAAATCAGTTACAGGGCCTCTTAACTTAGTAGCCGCTGTTAATGACGCTGGAAGTCATTCAACTAGCTTGACAAATGCTCTTCATAAACAAATTGTAATTGATGCTGTTAAATCAGGCTATCTTTCACCTACAAATCGTATAGATAGTAGCGGTGTCTATATCATTATGGGTGGACCTGATGTATCAGATGCTGACTTTTGTAAATCAAATTGTGGCTATAATAGTTACAGTGATGAATTCCAGTACATGTTTATTGGTTATCCCGGAATTTGCCCTGATATGTAAGTTAAATTTTATAATAATAACTTTGATTATTCATACTTTTTTTTTTAAAACACACACACACACACACACAGTTGTATTCCATCATTAATTCAAAAGCAATCACCCAACAATTCACCTGCAATGGATGCTGCTATTACCATCTTTTCTCATGAAATTCAAGACGTTTTAACTGATCCTAGAGGAAATGCATGGGAAATTGAAACTAGTAGTGGTGTCACTATTGAATTAGGCGATTTTTGTTCAAGCCAAGGAACAAGTTCAGAGCAATTTGGAAATGTCATCAAAACACAAGATGCAAACTATAACTTGCAATTAGATGACAACAAGTATTTGGTGCAAACAATCTTTGATCTTGAGACTAAGCAATGTTCTCTTGGTCAATAAATTATAATATTTAATCGTTGGCTTTCTTTTTTTTTTTTTATTTTTTTCATGAAACGATTTTTTTTTTCTTTTCTTACTATTATTATTATTATTATTATTATTTATACCCTCATATAGTGATATATTCAAGACTCTTATAAATGAATATACTAGTAATGAGTTATATATTGGCCATCGGTAGTATATTGTATGTGTCTATAAATAAGATGCATGTAGATATAAATACAAAATAAAGTTTATGAATTTATTATGTATGAGTAGAAGAGCTTCCAAAGATATCATCAAAACTTGTATTATGTTGTTTCTCTGGTAATTGTGAATTGGCTGTAGAAGGACTACCAAAGAGTGAACTCAATTCGTCTTTTACAGAAGCATTTGTATTAAATTGAGAAGTCGTACTTGGTGGTTCAAAAGCTGATAGATCAAAACCATACTTGTTAGAATTAGGATCATTTTTTAGTGTAGGACTGCCTGAAGTCATTTTTGTATTTGTTGTTATAGAAGATGGCTTTTTGAAAAGATTAGCAAGCAGATCGTTTGTTGTGTTTTTAGGACTAGTTGAAGTGGTGATAGTAGCAATAGATGTAGATGAGGTTGTTGTTGGTTGAATAGAGGATAAAGTAGGAGAAGTAGTAGTAGTAGTAGTGGTAGTAGCAGCAGCAGCAAAGTTATGCTCCATAGTATTTAGATCAGGGAATTTAGATTCAATTTCACTTATATCTACGTTGGGTGAAACTGAACTCTTTTGTTGTTCATTTTCTTCCTTTAATTTATTTAAAGAAAGCGTAGGCGATTGCTTTTGTTGACCTGCTTTGAAACCTGCAAATGGGTCAAATTTTGGCTGCTGTTGAGAGTTAATTGTTGAGCCAGTATGATGCGATATAACAGGTAAAACAGTTTCATGAGGCTCCGTTACTTTGGCAAATAATTCACCGCCTGAGGATGCTAAATGGGGAGTAGATAATGTAAAGAAATCATGAGAAGAAGAAGTAGTAGTAGTAGAAGTAGGCCCAAAAGGTGAAACAAACAGGTTTTGATTATTACTGGTAGGACTGGCTGCTTTAGCTTGTTTCTCCTTTTCTAGTTCTTCATTTTCCTTTTTTAATTTATTAGTCTCTCCTTGAGCATTTTCGATACGTGTTGTATAATGCTTTATTTCTTGCTTATACATTTGTAATTCCCTTGTTAATTCCTCTTTTTTCTTTTTTTCTGCTTCTAATTGTCGCTCTGCTTCATCTGCTTCTTGCTTAAGTTTGGATAAGGCTTCTTTTTGTTGATCAATTTGCTTTTGTAAATCTTGAACAGCTTGAGATTCGATATGAAGTTGACTTTGTATAGTTTTTACACGAGTACTTTCAGAGATTGTATTGGACTGAAGTATGGATTGTTCTTTAGCCAAATCATTTTGGTTCAGTTGGTGTTGTTGTGAAATAGAAGGGGCGGCTGTTCCTGTAAAATCAGAGTCTAGTCCTAACAAATCTATATTTTGTTGTTGTTGTTGTTGTGGTGGTGGTGGTAGCTGTAATGCCTGCGAAGTATGATTATGACTAGGAACTACAAAATTATGTTAAAAAAAAAGAACTATGATTAGGTTTTTTTTTTAAAAAAAATAAAATAAAATACATACTGGAGCTAAAGGTAGGTAAAGCATTTGAAAGTTCACCTCCAGCAATTCTATAATTAATTAAATGCATAGCTATAGCGAACTCTTCTTCATTTAATTGACCTGTTGAATTTGTATCTGCTAAATCCCAAATGCGAGCAAGATCTGACTCTGGTAATTTTGAATGCTTAAAGAACACAACAGCATCTGAACCAGAAACATACCCTAGATTATCACTATCAAGTCTACGAAAAAGGCTTTATATTTTGCATACTCTTCAGAAGTTATATCAGTAGTTCTAATAGTGTTGCCTTTAAATACAGGTGATCTCATAGGAACGAGAGGTGGGCTGTTTACTCTTAAAGTATTGTTACGTACAAGAGGTGAAGGAGCAATTGATCTTCCGGTAGCTGATGCATAGATGTTTGCAGGTAAGGTGGCAGGTAAATTGGTTACACCTTTCATAGCACTTTCAATATAATGCATAGCAATAATAAATTCTGTTTGATTTAATGATCCTGATTTACGAGCATCAGCTAAATTCCAAATATGTTGTAATATTGTGGGAGGAAGTCCCGACCTCATAAAAGTAATTTTGGCTTGTTCACCTATATAACAATAACCACAAAAATAAAAATTAAGTTGCGCTATTTTTATTTTTTTTACAAATATACACATATTCATTTTACCATGTAAAATATTATTAACAGGGTTTAATGATTGAAATATATTCATGTATTTTAACCTATCTTCTGGAGTAATTACATCTGTATTAGAGATTACAGGTGATGATTGTTGTTGAATATTTCCTGAAACATTTCCACTAAAGTCAGGTAAAGGAGCTAAATATAAATAAATATAAATGTATATACAATGTTTCAATGTTAATGAACATGTGTATAGTTTCAATCAAGATATGTATGTTTACCTTTAGTTGCTAAAATGGGCTCAGTCGTCATTATACCATTCTGTGCACAAGCAATTAGCTTTAAAATAGTACAAAATTCTTGTTCTGTAAGAAAACCCTTTTTATCATTATCAACAGCATTCCAAAACTATATTGTTATGAGTTAATTTTATGTTATGTTCATCAATGTCCTTGTTTTACCTGCATCAAGATGTTTTCGGGGATGCTTGATTTTCTTAAGAATGCCAAGGTTTCATCTTGCAAGATGATGCCCTTATTATCTGCATCTATTTTTTTGAATAAATCCAAATAAGTGTTTTTCTCTGGTATAGTTAATAATGATTGCCAATTAGCTAATAATAGTTGTAAATTATAATTAATAGAAAATTGTGTTAAAAGGACTATAACATTTAAATAGGAACTCTTCTTTTTTTTTTACCATTAGACATATTTATTATATATTATTTAAGAAAAAAAAAATAGAAAATAAAGTGTACAATATGCGAATTATAAAAAATAAGCATGCTCTGTTTATAATTCTATTTGATCATTTCTCCGCAAAGTTGTAGTACATAGTACTACATTGAAAACATGTGTTATTATGTAATCATCAGTTCTATATCAGCTCAACATAATTTGCAGGAAACTATACAAATATAAAAAAAAAATCAGTATGCGTGTGTAGATTGATAGTTCTTTGATAATATAACTTACTGAACCTATTTGACCAGTAGTGCAAAGTTTACCGGTCCACCAATCATTTTGATTATCCGTTTTATTTGTAATGACTATAATATCGCCTTGTTGGAAACTTAAATCACCTTTTTGTTCAGCTATAAATTGATATAATGCTCTTGCTCTTTGGGGTTTTGAAGCTTGACTTGGAGGTGGAGGTGGAACAGCTCGATGAGAGTTAGATTTTTGCAAACTAGGTGAATATGAAGATGAAAGCTGTGCAAAAGATGGCTGTGGTGATGTATAATTAGATGAAGGAGGAGTATTATAGATTGATTGCTCTTTCATTGGTGGTGGTATTACTGTAGTATTACTAGGATTAATATTAGGAGCACCATAACTACCTACAACCTGACGTGCAGGAGGGATACGTAAAGTACCCGGTGCAGATATGGACGTGTTTCTATATAGGCGTTCATTTTCATTTTGATTTATTGTACGTTGATACATAATACCAGTACTACCTAATGAATGAAATTTGGCATTTAAAGCTCTATAGAGTGCATCAGCTTCGTGAGGAGGAGGCACTGTGCCATTTAAAAGTTCTTTAGCTGAATAACGTTGACCATAAAGCTTTTCATTTGCATCATTGCGAGTAAATATTACGGAGCCTTCCAAAGATATGCCTGCAAATAATCCACGAGTTTTACTATACGAATAAACAGCAGCAATATGTTTAAGTGTAGCTGATCCAGATGCTTCTGCATTACGTCCAATAGGACCAGCAGCAACTATTAATATATGTATGTATATGTATTATATATATAAATATGTTGTCTGTTTATAATATATGTATATGTATATATTTAAAGAAAAAAAAAGGGGGGTTTTACTTGACACATTTCCACCTAAGGTTATGTTACCAAAATGACTAAATGTTTTGACAGCTTCCTTCGTATTTAAAACCAGAACAAAATCCGTTAATTCAGCGCCTGTATTATGCATATTCATTAAATTTTAACGGAATTTCATTATTATTGTTATTGTTATTATTTGCTTAATTTACCTATCTGACCACCTGCGCCCATACCACCTGTAATGATAGCAGATGGAGCAGACCAGGCTATATATTCAAATAAACATTTAAGTATAATTATCATTTATACATTATTTGTTATAATGTTCCTTACATCCATCAGGTAATCTAATCATAATAAAGTATAAACACATGTCTTTTTTTTTTCACTTGTTATAAATATTATATATTTACCTTGCAACAACTAAACCACTACCCACTCTTCCAGAAAATAAGAAACCAGCTTTTAAAACAGTAAAAATGGCTAAACCTTGCGCTTTATCAAGAATTGTAGATGGGATAACAATATCAAGACCTTGGCCAGGATCTAATTATAATATTTATTAAAATATATCCATTTATGTTCTCTTGTGTTCTATGATTATTACCAATAAAAGAGTGAAGGATTTTGGTTGCTTTTTTACATTCACCTGAAAAAAAAATTTTTTTTTAATTATTTCCCAAAAATAAACTTTCAGTTACTTTTTTTTTGTTTTTCATTCAAATACCTTTCAAGCTTGTTGGTAAAGGTGAATTAATTGAGCTTGGCAAACTAAGCTTTTTCATCAATTAGCTAATTCTAATCTGAATTGTATGCAATCAAGTAGTAAGATCTAAAAAGAGAAAGTGAAAAAAAAAAAAAAAAAAAAAAAAAAATAGAAACAATAAACCTGATATAAGCTGCTATATTTATAAAATACAATAGCTGGAATTAAATTATCTTGATCAAGAGCACAATAATAGGTAGTGCAACTTTGTAAATATATGCATCATGATGGCTATTATAACAATACATAATATCACATTTTAACTTTATATTTTTAAACTAATTTCAATATTGAAAATATTTTATTTTTGTTTTTGCTTATCAGATCAGAAGATATATTGTTATTTGATTGGTTGATTCAAAGAAACTATGAATACAATGTGTTGGCTAGAATAGTATAAAATGAATTATAGGTAAAAAAAAGTTAAATAAAAGTAAATAGATACAAATTTAGGCATATATAAAATAAAATAATTGATATTTTATTTTTCTCAATTAATTATTCAAGATGATATAAATATATATATTTATATACATATTCTTTTCCTTCATATACAAATTCTTTATTTAGAACGTCAGGAAGTTTTATACGCACTACTGCTGACTCTTTGACATCAGGTAATTGTATTCTTATGGAAAAACAGTAGATTATTACTATTCATCCGGATTCCGAAACATGATCAATAAAATAATTTTGCAAATACTATATATAAAATAACAATATACTTTCTTCGTTTTTTTCAAAAGCATGATTCTTTATATTTTCACTAAGGATGAAAAACTTTGATATTAAGGAATACGGTAATACAGATTTTTTTTTACTTGAAAAGTGTAACTTTTTTCCTCATATCATATAGTAAAAAAGTTCCAGTTTCAGTTCTAGTTAGCTCCTTTGCATTGAAAAAGATGTAAGTTTATCAGCCAATATTTAAAAGACTATGACTATCTTGCAAATTATCAACTAGTTCGTTTGATGCGTGATCAATAAAGCTTACTAACTAATGGGGGAAGAAATGAATACATTGTATATTTGTCATATTTATTTACAAAGCGTTTAAAGCTTCTTATGAATTAATAAATATTATTGAAGATCTGAATATATCTACATACAATTTTTCTTTAATATGTCTATCATGGACTCCACGCTATGTAAATATTGATTTGAAATTTGAGTGTCAAAACATGCTAAGCTGTTACCCAATTGAACTCTATGCTTCTTAAACACCAAGAAATAAATGATTTACTGTTTCGCGTAACCTTTTGAATAAAAATAAACAGTATGCATGCAGCAGACTTGCTGTCTAATTTAATTTACAAGTTTAACAAAATTGGTAAAAATATAAAGAAATAACAGGATTGCATGCTACAATTGAATCTGGATACGTAACTTTTTACATTTTGTTCATAATAAGTCTATAAAAAGTTAGCGTAATATATACACCCGTCAAATTATGATAATGTTCTATAATGTATAGTAAACTACTGAAAATACAAAGCACTGAAAGTGCTCTTGGGAAATTTTGAATCGTTAATTTTATATAAATTTCAGCACTTTTAACTGGTAAGTTTTTAAACCATTATAATTAAATATGAAATATGAAATATAGCATAGCCTTTACCTAGTTAGTGTGTGGAAAACCGAAAACAATAAGTTGACTAAGCTTCAATAAAAAAAAAATAAAATTTTGCTTTTGAACCTATATAGTATATGCTATAGTAAATAGCCCGCAAGTTATGTAAGGTACTATATTCAGGGTTCTATGATACAAGTCTAGAAATATTTAATCGAGTACTTAATTTTGGACCATTTTAAAGGCGATTTATTTATTTCATTTTATTTTTTTTGCAAATAGATATAGTTTACTAAGACATGCATTGATATATTTATTACTTAGCGCCTTTTATTAACTATAATGGAGCTTTTTTCTTTTTCTTTTTTTATAATAATTAATCGAATAATGAAAACTGACGAGAAGCTAGTTTTAATAATCTCTGAAGAAAAATTTATAAATGATTTAAGATAACGTTTAATAAAGTTCTATGAAACGATTGTATCAAAAGCATGGCACTAACGTAATATGAATATTTTAAATTTAGTACAACAACACGACAACAAAGTTATTTTCGATCATTGAAAAATTATACGAAATCAAAAAACACAAAAAATATCGTCGCCTGCAGGATTTGAACCTGCGCAGGCAGAGCCTATATGATTTCTAGTCATACTCCTTAACCACTCGGACAAAGCGACTTAGTTATTTTGGAGAGCAGTATATAAATAAAGACTCTCTCAAAAATTATTGTCAGCAGTCACGTGACCTACCGGACTTGTCCGGCAATTCAGTTCAATTTATTTTATTTTAAGAATAGTTTTTATATTTATGCGAATAAAATCAAGCTTTAAATTTTTATCAAGTTGTTTAATTGTAATTTGGTGAATTGAACTGAAACTGCAATACAGAAGGTTGTCGATCGAAAATAGGAATAGAAACAGAAAGAAACATCAATACATTAACGACAATATAAAGAATAACAGCAATATTCTATTTACATTTATATCTTTGTCTCAATATAAATATAACTAGGAGAAATAGTAGCTTCATCATTTAAAAAAAAAGGGTTTACTACACTTAAGCACCACATACGTATCAGTTTTTTGAAATTTTTTTATTAAATTGTATTCCGATTGTTATGATTGTAGTCGTCCTTACAACTAAGTTAATAGAAATAAACCATCATTTATTACATAGTAAAGAGGTTATTCACATAAAACTAGTATATTGAACTTCACAGCATAATATTCATTCTACACTCAGTTTTAATAATAGTCATTGTTAGAATGTTCGAGCAATAATAATAATTATATACATAATTCAAACAGGATTATGACTGGTGTATTCAATTACATAATTGTTCTTGAGTGATACATATCAGATATACATTGATAATATTGAATATTGTTAAATAATGAAATCTCATACAATGATAATGATAGTAGCTCATAAATAATTGGTATTGTTGCAGCTAGACATATTCACTGAGAATTAATATTGATGTGTCGCAGTCCAATAATAATGATTCGTTAGGTTTCTAGGAACAGCGACAACTCAGGGAGAAAAAAGAAATAAAGATATATCTTATTGATCGCAGAATTATTCGGAGACGATGTTTTATGTAAAACACTTTATTATAGTAAAACTTGCTTATCTGAATCATATTTCCATTGATAACACTTACCTTGTAAAAACATATAAATAACCCTCAATTTCTCCATATAATTTTCGTTGTACAATTTTTGTATTATCTTTAATAAACTATACGAAGTTTTCACAGATGTTGTGTATATAATGATGTATTACATAATATCTTATAATGTACAAATCAGAGTCATGAAGAACCGGATGATATTATGGTTATTAGTTATACACTTTATGCATACAATATTATTTGATTTCAGTTTATAAGACATTCTTGTGATGAGAAAAAATAATGTTATAATAAATACTAACTCTACAAAATAATGATAAGAAAAACATAGTGTAAGGAGTTATTAATGATAAAGATATATGAATTATAGATTATACCTATTAATTATATATATGCATTATTATTTAATGTTGTCTAAAATACTAACTTATAAATATAATCATATACTATCTATGAGAACTCTATTCTAATTGAATACACTATATAATATAATGAAATTCATTTAAGTAGTACATTGAGGAATGAATATAACATAAAGAAGCTGGTTAGAATATAAATCTATATATCAAAAGTGTCTTTCCTATATCATTCACAAGTATGAACAAAGGAGATATCATTATTTGGTTTCAAGAAAAATAACCGGCTAAATCAAGCACCAATAATTTAATGTTTATTAGAGTTAACTGAGATTAATTCTCAGTCAGGGCAAAGACTAGAGCTCTAACACAATAATTTTAATTATTCTATGGGAAATATTCTTCTTTCAAGATATCTTCACTCTGTTCCTGTCTCGAAGTAACCCGTTCTCCACAAGATATAAATAAGGATCCATTTTGCACTCATCTTTTGAAAACTCAGTTTTTTCATTTTTTAATTTTTAATTTTTAATTTTCATTTTGATAATAAAAGTTTTATACAAAGTTTTCACAGATTTATTCTGTCTTATTCTTTTGTTATCTTTGTCTTATCAACAACAGACTTGTCTTCTGTCTATTCTTCTTCCATTATCTTTGCTAATCAAAACTGAATGTTCGAGCACTAATAATAATAATTATATATATAATTCAAACAGGATTATGACTGGTGTGTGATGGAACGTAAATAAAAAATAAAAGAGAAAATAGAAGAGAGAGAAAGGGAACAAAAGGAAGTATAGTTTGAGACTGTTTTATTCAATTAAAAATAAAGAATAAAAATTGAAGGTTAAAAGAAAGTTAAAGAAAGAAGTTCCAGATTATTTTGTGTCTAAACAACTGCTTGTATTTATATTAATGAATCCTGAATCAAAGAAATAAAAATAACCGTCAAAGAACATGAGTCATGAAACAGTGTTAGTATTCGGATATACATCTTGTTGATTCAAGAGACTGATTTATATGAATTATCTATTGGGCGTTATAATGATCTGATTAAGGTTTTAAATAAAAAAATTTATTGCTTGATCTGAGTGTATGTCCCTGATGTCTTTTATATTTCTATTTTATTGGATTAAAGTCGACCTGAATCCTTTATCAAGGTTATAAAAATAAATATTTAGAAATGATACGATATCTTACTTAGTTGACACATTTAGATAACTGGATGTCCCTAAGTTTTATATTATTTACAAGATGTTATGTACAGAGTTTTATTTCATATTCAGGCTCATAGTGTATCCTTTATTATGAAATTCATCTTTTATAATATTACTTGTGCTTAAATTCAGAGCTTGCTCTATAATAAATATCATAAAAAGGTTCATATATACTATAACCCAACCGATATAACAAAGTATATCATTTGATGTTCCAATATAACTTATTTATAATGATAA